TTTGTTAAGAAAAAGGGAAACAGAACCGACGACGGAGAGCAGGAGTTTCTCATAGGAAAGCCGGACAAAGACAAAAACCAAAGCAGTCCAATGCGAACTGGCCACGTCAGCAATTTTAACCGGGAACCCCCCTTTAACCGTGCAACAAAAAGGGGGTTCACGTTTAGATATATGTAGATAAGTGAAGTTATTATAGTAAAGTGGAATATAATTATTCTTTTATTTTAGTATTAATTTGTGCTAATGATTAGGACTAGAGGGATTGTGATAAAGAGACAAACAAATTTAAGGCACTCAATGACTCAGTCATGTTGCTTGTTTAAAACCATTTCAGAAAATTCAAGAATAGTGCTTTTGTCAGAAATAATAGTGAATTGTTGGTAAATTCTCAACTAAAATAGTGTTTCCGAAATTGTTATAAAATAAATATTAAGAACTATAGAGAAAGAATAATAAAGGGAGAAAATAAGTTGAGAGAGAGAAAGAAAGAATTGATATATATTATTTCTGCACAGACTGTTCTCCTTTTATAGAGGAGATAGATACAAAGATAAAAATAAATAATGATAATATCTAACTAAATATTATCTCTCAATAGTTGATTGATTGTATAACTCTTCTGACTTGTGGACATCCACATTAAATATTTATAACACTCCCCCTTGGATATCCATTTCTAGGGATAATGCCTCGTTAAAACATTTACTAAAAATCCCAGTGTAATAAAAATCTAATAAAGGAAAAAGAGTACATTCTCATATATGAAGCTGCTTCGTTAAAAATCTTATTAGGGAAACCCATTGGGACAAAATCTCGATAAAGAGAAAAAGAGTACAGCATGAGATTACTCCCCTTGTTGAATGCATCACTTGTGATCTTTCTCACTGCATGCATGAATAATCTTGAGTGCTTCGGAAAATAGAGATCCATAACCATCGTACATCGAATGTATCAATGTATGCAATATTTCAAAGTCTTGAGTAATTGATAACATAAACCGATATTTTATATAAATTACACTATGGTACTTTAGGACCAAATCGGTTTACATCATTATTCAAAAGTCAAAACAGATCAATACGCACATCATGATTATAATCAAATGTGTCCAACAGGAGTTAAATATAAACATACTATGGTCAAACTAAGACCGAGATTCTATTCAAAGTCAGCTTATTTTCTTACTTCAGGCAAACAGCAACCTTTTGAACTTCTCTAATTTTGAAGTCTCAATAATGATGAACTCTTCTGGAGTTATATTAAGGCTATTCGAACTCCATAATAAGTTTCGATAATGTTCAGTCTTTTCAAACTTTTCAAGAGTTTAGTATTAACTGGGTTTTAAACGCATAAGTATGTAACGAACACACATATCATTGTCATATAAAGTATGATCATTCAAATACATAAAGATTTATAAATAGACAAACGTGACATATTAAGATAAAACATGTATATAGACGAGTGCATAAACCAAATATTCAAAAAATATGCACCTAAAATATTGTCTAAACACATGAAAACACTAGTATTTGCGCAAATCTTTCGAATTACTTTCTTGAGAATCGGAACCATGTTCCTTATTGAATCCTTCTGGGAATTCACATAGACGTCATTATCAAATATCAAGTATCATGTTCAAGTATCAAATTTCAAGTGATCACTACATTCAATAGACGCATTTTTATTTCTTCATTTACTACCAGATGTAGCAAATAATGGAAACAATTTTTTCCATCCACCACAAGAGAATATATCTCCTCATGATTAACATCCGGACTTTAAAAAAACTTGTGCAACAAGTAGGTTGCTCTCTATCTTTCGCACAGTCATCCAACAATATTAAACCGATATATTGTTTGCCAGAACTTTTACAGTTTCAAGCAACTTTAATTCTACTTACACATCTTCTTGTGTTTGTATTGCGTCTTTTAATTCATTATGGCCAAAAAGTTTATTGTCTACACTCACAATAGACTTTTATTTTTATGATCCTCATTTTATCCATTTTACTAACTGCTGCAGCATAAGCAAATTTTATGTCGATATTTTATTGCCGATCGATTTCATCTTTCTTTAGTACCGAGGATCTAATGAGATAATGATGTCGTCCATTCGATTAATGAGTCGGTTGTTTTCACTTCTCTCTCTGATGTTAGGATAACTAATTCGTCAAACTGATAGTCAGCCAATCGAGTAGTACATAAATCTCCTTTTGGAGTAACTAACTCGTCAAACAGACAACGAGCCAATCGAATAGTAAAACCCAACATCAATAAACCCAAAGGCTGGAGGTTCAAAATCCAGCATATATTCTTAACCTCTTCAAGGGTCTCCATCTTTGTGTGCATTGTGGTGAAACAATTAATATATATCGCATATCTAAATTTTGCAGATGATATGTCTGGTTTCTGACCAAGAACCAATTTATGGGGGAATTTTTGTAATAACCTATTTCGATTGATGTTTTCTATGTTTCACACGTCCTCAATTGTATGTGTGGGTACTTACTTTCCTTTTGAACGCATTTAATGAACGATTCTACGGGATCGTTTCACTTTTGCTTATATAGGCATTGTATATTCAAGTTTTATCGCTGAAACATTTATCCTGGTATTGAGTTATACATGCACTAGAACTAACAAATCAAAATTCTCTCATAGGAGAATATGAAATTACACATATAACTAAATTGAAGTCGATAATTAACTTTCACAAACTACAGGTTGCAAGTTAATGACAAGCATACAAATGGCAATTTTTTTAGCACATCAGTTAATTTGTTGGAAGAAACTCCTGGTTCTCCAAATTTAAAACACATGAACTTAGTTATGTCAAATGTATAAACTTATAATAATCAGTAAACTTCTGGTTTGACTTGTTGGTACGAGAAGTGAACTTCTAGTTCCTTAGTAAACTTCCAGTTTACTATAAAACTCAACTATAATAATACATGTATAGTATTTCAACACAAAAAAATATATAGATAAAATTTTTCTTTTAGAAACTGCATTCTTATTGTACAAGTATATGATAACACCTTTCTGATGTTCGAAAATTTTTTCTCCAATTCTTTTGATATTGGTGCAAAATCATTGTGCCGTTTTATTTACTCTTCGAGAGCCAAATTCACAAGTTCTCTTATAGAGATAAAGAACTAATTATTTAACCATGTCAAAACAACCCTTCTTCGTAAGAGCATTACTCTTATGGAGTTTTACTTACTCTGCTAGAGAATTGTGTAATCAGTAATTTTCGTTCTACTAAAGTATTCTTACTCTTTTGGAGTACACATATAAAGTATTATTTAACTAACGCTCTATAGGAGATTTCATCTAATTTTATTTATGGAGAAATGTACTTACATATTCCCAGTAGTTAGGGAGCATTCACAATATTGTATTTTGTCATAGCAAATTCTACTTTTATGGAGATTTTGTCTAATTTTGTGAAGAAATTCATACAGATGCTCTACCGGAGCATTAAATCAATTTTGTATAATAAAAGAATGATGACATTGCTTGAACTCATAAATCATAAAGAATAATAAAGTATGCGATGAGGTATATAATAAAGAACTAATCTAAAATATAAAATAAATTACGGCCAAATATTTTCATTATGAACAGATAACTAATATCACCTTTAGGGTGATCATCCATAAATTACCGCAATTGTTCAAACACCACAATTCTATATATTTATTTGAACTCCAAGTCAAAGTCGACATATTAAAGCCAAATAAAAGCATGAAATCATGAAATCATGAATCAGAAGGATGAAAAAACTTATTGAGCGGGATGATTAATCAATGGTTAAATCATCACCTTTGCAATTGAAATCGTTCCACTTTCAGACAGTAGTAATATTAGTCGGAAGGAAAATAGATGCGAAGGGAAAAAGATGGCCAAAAAGTGAGGAAGAAGACTGGAGGAGCAACGATGTGGAGAGGATCGATATTGGTTTTATGATTGGTGGACTTCTGCCGACTTTAAGTTTGTACTGAGGAGGAGGAGGAGGGAGTAAGAAACGTAAAGAGAACACTTCAATTTTGTGAAGGTTAAAGAGAATACTTATTTGTATATAGTTAATTTGCATATAATCCAATATATTGTGATGGTTAGACACACACACACACACTTAGATATAGTTTTGTCTGTTAATCTAATATTTTATTGTGAAATTTTGGTGAAATCCTCCCGGTGAGTTTCATATTCTGAGGGTTCACCACAACTACATGTCCACCTAAGTAATTTATCCTGATCCACTTAATACATGGATCATTCCCCTTCTAGCTATAAGCAAAGAGAGAAGGATATCCGACATCTTGAGCCACACTGAGCAGAATATTTAATCTGTAGTCACATGAAGCCTCGGGAGTAGTACACAGAATTAGAAAATTTGGGGATTGGTCCTTGTAACAGATTATTGGTTAGATTCAAGGCCGTCAAGAAAAGGTGAGTGACTAATGAATTTGGAATGAATTTGGAACTGGTCCAAAACTTATTATCCGCTAAACTAATTTTAATTAAGTATCTCATCCAAGTAAAGTCATGCAACGGTCCAGTAAAACAAATTTCCATCTAACATAATAATTTTGCGACTGATCATATTCTGAATTTGTTAATATTTAACTAGCAAAAATAATTCATGTCCATATGAAACAGATTTTAATTTAATCACAACATTTCACATATTCATGTATGAGCAACTTTGATACAATTTTAAATTTAAAATTAATATAACCCACATAACGTGCAAGATAAATATTAATATATTTATAACTCTTTAATTTCACAAACTCACGGTCCACCGAGATGATATAAAATTTAGACTGAATTTGTTATGTACATACACTGGTAAATCACAAATGATGTTTGAGATCTTTTGTTAATGCTCTTTTGTGTTTAACCAAATTTAGTTTTTTGGACAAAAAACAAAAAGCAAAATTAAGGAATAAATCAAGATTTGAGTATTTTCTAAACAAATTAAGCAGAAGTGAAAAACACGCCTTTGGAGAGCATGCTTGAAGTGACACTTCTCCTTCTCTGCTCTCGCTCTCTCTCTCACACACACACACACACACACACACACCAACAACCAACCCGAAAATTTTGTTAGCATCGAATCCGGCGATCCTTTAAACTCCCTCCCGACATTTTCTCTCACTAAGAATCCTTGTCTACTATCTCAGCTCCCGCCACAATGCGGTGGCCGAGCTTTTGCAGCCATTCATTCCGGATTTGCTTACTCAATATAGCACTATCCTGCTTAATTTTAGTTGGCACCCTTGGATCAGCTCTAGCCTCGATCCATATCTACGATCAAGATCAGTTCAGAGAGGTCGGAAATGCTTTCCTTGTCTCCGGCGGCAGTGAAGGCATTGTCGCCTCCCAAGTTACCCCACCTCCGCCACGCCGTTCATTCCGTTCCGCCGTTCATGACGGTCTCTCTTACATCAGGTGAATTTTGCTCTCTTTTTCTTCTCTCTACTGGAAACTTTACTTATGCATACGGCAACATTTGCCTTCCGATTTGCTTGGCGTTAATTAACTAAGTATGTTCTTAGATCTAAATCTGACTCTTTGGATTGCTTGATTTGGAAATTACTTTGGTTCGTATTTATAGTAAGAAAAGTTTTTTAAATGTTCTATCTGGTACAATTGATGACGAGATTGCTTCTAAGTTATGGAGGAAGGGAACAACTTAGGGATTATTATTACTGGTTTAATTTATGAAAAACAAGTTTGTAATTAAGATGGCGAAAATATAGGTTTGAGAATATCACATTCTGGAGGAGTGAAGCCGCGGCAGAGGAGGAATCGGAAAATGTACCTGTTACCGGGTTGATACAGATTGTGATTTTTGAGGCTGCTGATCGGGATAATATTGGTGGTTCACCTTATGGAGGACAGAGGTCAATTTGCTGCACTTCCGATCTTGCCAAACTTGAGGGTTGTAAGGAAGGGGAAGTCATTAGGATACCTTCAGCAACTAATATACATTGGCCTATTGTCGTTAATGTGCATTTCAAAGGGAATTCAGTGTCTACAAAGTTGAAGAATACGCAAGTGTACATAAGAAAGACGGGGATGTACAACTTGTTCTTTATCACCTGTGATCCCTCACTCAAAGGGATGAAGGTTACGGGGAAGACTTTATGGAAAAATCCTTATGGTTACTTACCTGGTAGAATGTCGCCTCTCATGAAGTTTTATGTGATCATGGCTTTCACTTACGCTGCCCTCAGTGCAATATGGTTTTTTATGTATGTTAAATATTGGAAAGATATTTTGCCGCTTCAACATTGCATTGCCGTTGTTATTGCCCTTGGTCTGCTTGAAATGATATTCTGGTATTTCGATTATGCATTCTTCAACAACACTGGAACAAGGCCTGTTGGTATAACAACGTGGGTTGTTACAATTGGATCTGTAAGGAAGACCCTTCTTCGCCTTCTTATCCTTTCAGTTGCAATGGGCTTTGGTGTCCTTCGTCCTACTCTTGGTGGACTTACTGCGAAGGTCATGCTGCTTGGAGCTACTTACTTCTTGGCCTCTGAACTACTAAACATTACTGAGTATGTGGGAACTATTAACGATGTAGCCGGACGAGCTAGAGTCTTCTTGGTAATCCCTGATGCATGCCTGGATGCGTTTTTAATCTTGTGGATTTTCACTTCGCTTTCAAAGACATTGGAGCAATTACAGGTAAATTCTGTCTCAACAACAAGTTGATTATCTATATTGTCTATTATGCTTGGCTCATTTTTCTATTTTGCAGGCAAAAAGAAGCACTGTTAAATTGGACATTTACAGAAAATTTTCGAATGCTTTGGCAGTGGCAGTCTTGTTGTCAGTTGTTTGGATAGGTTATGAGGTACGTTATAAAGAAGTTGTGTTTTGGACTCAAACAGAATCATAAAATATACTCCCTCTCTCCCAAAATGATTGTCTTGTTCGATTTTCACTTTTAGTACAATTTGTGTTGAAAATGAAGATACGAAGCGACAACCATTTCGGGGCGGAGGGAGTACATTTTATTCCTGAAAATTCATTTTTGGCTGTGGAGTGTCGACTGAACACCTGCATTGCAGTCTTTTTATAGATGATCCAAGATTCTTTTTAAATACATACTTTAGATGGTGTGTAATTTGATGTATTTGCTTGGATTAATACTCGTGTATGTGTGGATTAACTTTTTGAGATAGTTAGGAGCTGTTTGGGCTAATAGTCTTGTAGTTATCAGATAATTTGCATCAGTTTGACTACCTTTTCATAACCATGGGGGAATTTGAGAGTTGAGGTTGAAAATCCTTGTCTGATTTGCAGCTAACAAACTTTACTAACAATTAACAGCTTCCAAAAAGATTCAAAAGCAAAATTAGTAATTTTTGTGAGAAGGGAAAATTTTCAAATGTATAACATGATTATTGGAGATGCCAGTTTTCAAGTTTCAGTACTTGGTCAGTTGGAATAGCTATTGTGTTCCCTTAAAGACAGTGAGAGTCCGGACCTTATTGTGAAAGCTTTGAAAACTGCAGTCAAATTTAACCTACATGTGGGAATAGACTGGGACACAGTAATGGTGAAGGACTGACAATGATTGATGTTTGAAGAAACAAATGGATATCTGCTAGTGAATTTATTAAGCCTTCATAATGGTCAACCTTTTCTGTCATTCATAAACATTTGAAGGTCTTGGAAGAATAGTTTTTGTTGTTTGAAGAATCAGCTTGTGGCTTCTAACACCTAATCTTGAAATTGACCTGTCACTTCCTAAAATTTGATGGAAACTGCAATCCCAATACTGAAGTCATCTCATTATTTGCCTGGTTCATTTTCAGCTTTACTTCAAAGCATCAGATCCCTTTAACGAGAGGTGGCAAGGAGCCTGGATTATTACTGCTTTTTGGGACGTTCTAGGATTTGCATTACTCGCTGTAATATGCTATCTGTGGGCCCCATCGCAGAGCTCTCAACGGTATGTCATAGGTCTTCTAGACTAAAATTCTTAAATGTTAAAACATCAAATGTTGTGAATTATGTATTTCTTGTTATCTAAACTGGTATCTGACTTCCTTTTGAAACTATCTGATTGCCTCTTTTTGTTTCTTCTTCTGCTCGCTTTCCCTTTTGGACTTACTGCTTTTGAATTACATGTCAGTTATGCATATGCTGGTGAAAGGGGTGAGGAGATTGATGATGAAGAAACTGAAGCCCTGAACAAAGGTGACATCAGCCTAGTGAACCAAGAGAGAAAAAGAAGTAGCGATGACTCCGATTCAGAAGATGAGTGAAGGTGAATGGTGAATTATTTTTTCTACTTCAACCAAACTGCAGTAAACAAGGAGCACCTCATGCTGCAAATGACTGGAAACAATATGGTGGGAACGCTGACAACTTTTACTGAACAATGACTGGAATTGATTGATTCTTTATTTCTATCTACTTGTATATGATTAAAGAGTTTCCGTAGCTGCATGCCAATTGGGAGCATGAAATGGTTGTGAAACGAAGTCCAGGTGCATCTGTATGATGTTTTTCCTGTAATAGTTTTGTTGTTGTAGTGAGTTTGGTCATGATAGACTTGTAGATGCTTTTTCAGAACAAAAGATTTTGATCTTAAAGACAACAGTGGCCAACTCTGCAGAGGTCATCAAGAATACAAGTTTGTGATTCTCTTTGTTAATACACATTTGTGAGATGATAAAGAAACAAGGTTTTCCTGCGAATTACTATCATCGTAGATGTGCTGGTGGCACCAGAAACGGCTTATACGTCAAAAATATCCAAAGCAATGCAACATAACTGAAATGCTGCTTTATTTATCTTAGTGCTTCTGCAGAAAAATGCAGTTCACATTTGATTAGTACAAACAAGGCTGACTGAGCGAACACTAGGGTTCAAGAAGATATTATCCAGATATCTGAAAGGAGCGCGACCATGACAGTTCAAGAAGAGATGATCCAGGTATCTAGGAGCTCCTGACAGTTCGTTCTTGTGGAACAGAAATCAGTGGGATTAGTCGGTTAGGAATCAATTTAAAATCTTGAGCTTGAAGGTCAACCGGAAATGTAATTCGAGCATCGGCAGGTAATGGTCAGATGGTAACCGATCACTTCGAAGGTATATCCAGCACCAAGGGTAGCAAGTACTCTCTCCGTCCAAGAAAAATAGTGCACTTTGTTGTACTTTATGGACCATTTCAACATCATCGCCGAGTATGTAACGAAGTTCTGACCTCGACCAGCCTTGGATTGGCTCCATATTCTCCCTTGTGCAAGGTTATTTTGCGCAGATAATATAGATGGAAGGCGATAAAGAAGCTCTGCGCTGAAATCATTTCGGCCTGCGTTTTGCTGAGTTAACATTGCTTCTACCCGTGATCATCAGCTTTCTTGCTGCGTCACTTGTCTTGATTAGAGCTGCAGGCAGACGATATGATACGAATAGAATGGCGAGACTAGATCAAACTGCGTTTACCTTGGCTATTATATTATACTTCTCTCCACTTCTTACAAAATATGTATATATTTCTTCCCACGATCAATGTCATGATAGTACAATTTTCGTCTCAAAATAATTTATAAGGTCATGAGATTTTAACAATTCTTTTTTGCAAGCAATTTCTTTTTGGCCAAAATTGTAATAGAGAAATTTATCGGCAAGTTTTCCTAATAAATTGTTTTACTTAAAATCAATTTTAACTAATTCGGAATAGTTAGAACAATAATTTGTGAGTAATAATATACCAGAAAAAATTTGATTGGTTTTAGTAGGAAAAGATTATCAGAAAACTACCGAATGTACGTTTCACTTCTCAAAATGCAAAAGGCTAAAAAAGTGCATTGTAAAATGTAAAATTATGAAAAAGATGATGTAAATTATTTGAGCAATCTAAATACTAAGTACTCCTTCTGGTCCTTAATATAAGGCATTTTCATTTCGTCTTAAATTTAATCTAATACTTATTTTTAATTGATAAAAAAATTTTAAAAATATTTCATAACAATCAAGAAAATACAACGGATATGAAAATATATTTTTAAGGTTTTTTCTTCATTAAAAAATGCATACTAAGTGAAACCTATGACGAAATCAAAACGTCTTATATTAAGGACCAGAGAGAGTACAATTTAATTTAATACAACAAACAAGACTTTTCTCATTTTTTTTTGTTGGTACTGAGGAAAATATAAAAGTTTAAAAAGATTAAAAATTATTAAAAGGAAATCTTTATTTTTTATATTTTTAAAGTAAAAAAATAATCCATTCTCATTTTGGTACCTGCTAAAATAAAAGAAGCTTTACCATTTTACCACCGTACTAACTTAACCTTCGTTTTCTGGCAAATTACAAAAGATGATATAATCCCAGAAAAAAAGAAACGAAAATCGACTTCCCCCTCGCAAAATTTAACGACGATGGGGAGCAGGGCCAAGTGCAATGGTGGCGGTGGCGGTGGTGGCGGTAGTGGCGGAGGAGAAGATGAAGTGAAACAATTAGAAGCTGAGCTGGGCAAAACCCTAAAAGAAGGGGAGAGAATCCTCGCCCCAACTCGCCGCCCTGACGGCACACTCCGCAAGCCCATTCGTATTCGCGCCGGATATGTTCCCCAAGATGAAGTCGCCATTTACCAATCCAAAGGCTCCCTTGTATGTCCTCCTTCTTTTCCTCTTGTTCCTAATCATGTTTGAGAATGTTAAGTTTTTCATTTTCGTTTGGATGAATCATGCTTTTTTATTTGAACGTTCTGACAGTGGAGAAAGGAGATGGAGTCACTGCAGGATGTGCCGCCGGGGTACGATCCGGTGACGGAGGCTAAACCTAAGACAAAAGCGGCTAAGAGAAACGAGAGGAAAAAGGAAAAACGCCAGCAGGTTCTCTCTTTTGATCCGTTTTTTCGTTAATTGCTTGAATTCTGTCCCTTTTCTTTTTATGTGTGGGTATCCTACTGTGAAACTTTGTATTTTCCTGCATATATTTGTGCCAGCTTACCGTGCACACATTTTGGGCTTAGACTTAGAGTGGTTTAATTGCAGTCACTGTCTTTAAGCTTGTGGCTCTGGTAGATGTTACAATTTTACATCTGCACCATGCATTTTAATTTCACATTTTCAGGAAAGTGAAATCTTTGTGGTTTATCATTGTTGTATTTAAGAGGCAATGTGTTTTATGATCAATTGTCTAATTTTCTAATGCCAATTGAAGTCTTCACAAATTTTAAGGTCTGGTTTTCATAACCATTTGTAGGTTGTACATTGTGTTATAGAGAAACTGCTTCTTAATAGTTCATACTGAAAAGACTTTCATCCTATGTGCTAGGTCTGCAAGTAGTGTCCTAATTTAATTCCATAAACATTAATTAGTTGCTTCATTGAATTCACCATTATGTTTCATGTCACTTGTATAAAGTTCCAAAGGTCAAGACCCTTAACATTTTGGCATGTTTGAGTTCCAACTAACTTTAAACTTCCCCTCCCCCGTTGTGCGGATATTATGTGTTTGGACTTACCTCAGCCTTAAGTTGAATTACCCTTTCGCGTAGGAATATTCTTCAGATCTTTTAGACATATGTCAACCTTGGAGTTTTCAGTGTCAACCTTGTCCAATTTGAAGTGGATTTTACTAGTAAATTTCATGCATGCACTCACTTCAGGACTTTAAAACAACGTGATGATTTGTTTCAATATCTGGAGTTATATATTTGTTTGTTCCTAAATTTGTTGTTGCCTTAATTCATTGTGGCTCATGGCAGGCTGCTCTTGAAAAAGGTAAAGATTCGGAAGGGAATGATGTATCCCCCACTGATGATTCATATTTGAAGGAGCATGAAGAGCCAATTGCATCCCAGTTGAATGGGCTCAGTATATCATCTAGTTCCACAAACAGTAATCCCCCCAATTCATTGGAGGATTCAGCCCCTGCAGATCATGCCCAGGATATTGATAAGAAAATACGTGCCTTGAAAAAGAAGGTAATTTATGACCATTATACCATCCCAAACAGTTGCATAGGTGTAGTTGATATATCTTACGCAATTCAATCATAGTTTGTTCTTTTGGTGGCTTCTGGTTTTTGAGTTCTTGTTTACTGTACAAACTTGGTCAATATAGCAAGGCAGGTCATTTTGATATTGAGTGACCAACCTGAACACGCATGAGGTTTTTTTTTTTAATTTTTTTATGGGGTAGATTGAGGGGGGTTTACGGGTAAGTCTTGTTAAACATGGCTGAGAATCCACATTTTTCTGTTATGGAAATTAAGCTAAAAAAAAACTAGAGATCCATGCCAATAGAGTTAAGAGTGCTACTAATACTCTTTATGAGCACATATGTCTGGAAAGAATTTCAAAGATTTGGGCTCTGATGACACACGGGGAATTGAATACCTCTAGAACCAAGAATGAGGTGACTACAAACATGAAAATGCAGTGAATATAATGAAAGGCTATGTAAGATTTATATCTTCTGATGGGAAGACCACTAAGAGTCCTGATGCATTATGATAAAGCTACGGATTTTGCCCTCTAGACTCTGAACCCATGTAATGGACTGAAGCTTTCTCCTTAGTTGTTTGCAAAAAGAAAAATCAAAATGATGCTGATTGCGTTTGAAGCTTAAATACTTGGAGGCTTTTTGAGAGTCTTTCAAACACCAAGTCTTGGCACGAGTTAGGGTGCCCAACTAAACCTCTGGCCCTCTGGGTTTGGTTGGGGCGTTAAATATAAGCTGTAGGAATTTTCTTTTGTTTTACCTGCGATACAGCCTGAAAACTGCACTCTTTGCAGGTAAGGTTCATTATTCTTTCAATTATAGTTTTCTACATCCTGTCTGTACTGTTTATACCAACTTGTGTTATTACTCTCTGCAGATAAGGCTGGCAGAAGCTCAGCTTCAGAAAACTGGAGAGCAAGGCATGAAGCCTGAGCTACAAGAGAAGATGGCTAAATTGGAAGGTTGGCGCGAAGAGTTGAAAATTCTGGAGGATAAGAAGGCTGAATCAGTATCGTGATATCCTCAGCATCCTGAATTTAGCATGTCAGATAGGCTTGAAAGACTAGATTTTATTTCAATTGTTGATCGAATGTAATGACTTCCTGATAGATACTTAAATTTATCAAGATTTTGTTCTCAGGTATCCAGTCAAGTCTTTCATCAAACCTACCCACAAAGGTTTGTTTTTCAAAGGGGTTAATTAATTGTACAGGGCTTTCTGTTCTCTTTCCATTTTTGTGTACTCGTGTTTCTGAGGTTCTTCCTTTTACTGAACCACTTTTTCTGAACTTGATTCTGGAGTTGGACTTTTAACAATAATATTGCCTATAGTTGTACTCTGATTTTTGGTTGAGAAGTTTGACCGGCGAAGTGTTTAGGTATTTTTGTAATTTAAAATTGTGAATCTCATGATTAGTCCATTTCTGATGCAGTAGGTATCACTCCATATTAAATTACTCTTGCTAAAATTTTGATCTACGAGCTGTATATGGGAAAGCACCCAGGGTAAACTCTTATGTACTAAAATTATTGTCCTATGGGCTGTATGGGAAAGCACCCAGGGTAAACTCTACCTCCATACATCGGGTAGGAATAGAAATTAGAAAGTTAACCGCAAATCTTGATTACAGGTTTAATGGGCACGATTTCTTACAATCATACTACCAAAAAATATATTTAACATCATAATATGCTTCTGCAAAGAAGCATCAAGTTGTTTTTGTTCATGACATACAAAAATAACTCATCTACTCAAAACTTTCGCTATCCAAACTTTAGAAAGAGATCAAAGCTTATAACAGTGCTGGCTTGGGCTGAGTTTCAAATTTCTGGATGAAACCGCAAACTCAGAACATAATAAGTTCGCCCCTATGCGTTTAGGGTGACCAATTTGTCAACAGGAGTCTATGAGGATTCAATATCAGAACCTTCCAATCCTTCCATATACACTTCAAAGTCCTCAGAGCTCCATCTACAAACCAAGTGAAGCCGGAAAGTAGCCATCTTGGTGTCGAGAAGACGCTATAGCACAAAAAAACGATCATTAATGACCTCAAAGAATGCAGCGTTCAAATACTGCACAGCATGCGGAAATTAATCTCACTCCTACAATTTGATATCTTGAATGGATGTATCCATTTTCTTTTAACAATATCTTACAACTAAAACTGAAAATTTTGACGAGGGAAAACGGTGCAACAATGAAACTAACCAGTATCCGAGCTGATTCCGGAGAAATTGGTTGGCCTTCCTCACATACAACAAAGTCTGACACGAGCTCAATAGTGCCTGCTCAACAGAAAACCATTTTATTTAGAACGACATAATAATACATATTTGTGCCGATCCCAATAAGGGTAAAAAGAAGAAACGGCTGACATAGACACACCTTTGTCTAATCGGACTGGCATTCCTTGTTTACGTAAGAAGGGCTCCATCTCATGTGTGAACTGATCCAAAGGACCTTCTTTAAGCTCCACCTAAAATATAAGTTAAAATAACTTGAGTTTTCGACATAGCATAGAATGAGCTACAAAAGCAAAATATACACAAGTTTATAGAAGCGTATGAATACATACTACAGACACAATGGAGACCAGATTTTCAAAACATTGCTAAATAAACAGAAGCCCGGGTCACTTATCAGTAGCAACGATAACATGCCATCATTCACAATCGCATGTCCAAAATTACCAAGAACAAGAGCAAATGCTAAATTGAGCAAGCTAATAGAACCAAAAAAGAAACCCTGACTCCATGAAAGAGAAATCACTCATACTAAAACCAGTCCTTTAAAATCCAGGATGTAGAATAAGCATTTTATAGGAGTAAGCAATCCACATTGAGCCATTCAAAGTTTTATGTCCACAGTTCACATTCATTTCATAAGAGACTAAAAGGTCTGAAAACTGCATACTGTCTCAGTGGCAAGGCTCCCAGTTCTTGCAAAGTCATACTCTTCAAATGCATTGAACAACCTGAAAAACAATTTAACGTTCAGAAGCTAAGCAAAACAGGGTACTGATAGATCTATTTAAAAAGTAGGAGGTCAAGGAGAATGAAGGGAGGGGAGCAATGGTTTGGGTGATGTATCAATAATGACTATCTAACCCATTATCATTAGTGGGGGGTTAGAATGTGCTGCTAACGATAAATAAATATCTGTCATAGTTTAACTTTTGTAAGGGATTCAAAAACCAATTCATGATAAACACTAAGTAGAAGTTGCAAAGTACCTCTCCATAGCTTCCTTTGGTAGATTAGTAAAACAAAGTCCAGAATTGCCACGAAGAAGCTGGAAACAAAACACATGGTCATCAAATAGAGTACAAAATAAAAATAAGATATGATGGAATCATGGAAAGGATATACAGTTGATCCCAACCTTAGAAACCTTGTAAAGACCTGGTCTCATCTCTTCAGCGGCTGAACGTCCAAGGGCCACTTGCATCACTTTGTTTGACCCAAGAAAGAATCTGTCAAATTAAGAAATAAACTTATGAGAACCAAAAAGCATATTTGCACATGAGCTTGTGCTGGTTCATAATTCATATATTCTCATTTCTTCAAACAGACAAGCTGTCTTCTAGTTGTAAGTTCCATCAAGGTTTCATACTGAATGTAATTAGCTTCATTTCTATGTTCAACACGAAACAAATGCAGTAGATTCATAGATACAAGATACTGTCATTAACACATGGACGAAAACGAAGAATGGCACTTTTAACACTTTTATGCTGGAAATACAAACTGCTCATAGACTAACATGAAGAAGCTGCCAGATTAATGTAAACACTACAATGATAGCAGAAACAATGAATTCCCAGTTCAAATTGTTCAATCGTAACCAAGTCCAGCAAGCTGAACTCCAGGTCCACCAAATACAAAGAGCATTTCACATGTGTACGGCACACAAGCACGGTATACTAGAAACGTAAGTTTGAAAAAAAAAATGTAAGAAAACGGGCAGACATGATAACCGAGAATTTGAGCCTTTGTAAAATTACCTGCTGGAAGATTTAAGCTGTTCTCTGAACTCCTTGAACTTAAGATTTCTCATGTTCTCGAAATTGAAAACATAAATCGACTCATACTTCTCAACAGCTTCCCTAATTGAACTCACTATGTTTTCTTTGTGCTCTCTGCCCTTCTTCTTCGTCTTTGATAGGGTCACTGCAGTCCAATTTGAAAATTAGTAATAAGAAAATACAAATTCATCGAAGAATTATGACCAAAAAAAAAAAAGAAAAAAAGAAAAATCGATTCCGTTGGGAGGAAATGATGTACCGGGCCTGTTGCGCTTTGATTTAGGCATGTTTCCCGACTAGAGCGGGTGGTGGCGACGGCTGCCTGCGTCTTTCTAACTTCGGGAGAGGTTTATGGTTGCTCCGGATATATGATTCTAAAACCCTATTCTTTCTACGACAATGAAGGGATACTTGTTTTTTCTGTTTCCTCCGAGGTTCTTTGGGTTTTTGAACTGTCGTTTCAGAGCCCGTTTGGCTATTGGCCTGGACTCTATCCCAAATTACAGCCCAATTATTTTTGCTTGTTGTGTGGAGTTGGGCTCGTGGCCGTAAAATTATCTTCTTTTCCCGGTTTATGTTATATTTTTGAAAGTAAAAATCGAAGGAGATGAGGTAGAGTGATAAGGACTCCTCCACCCTTAACAATAGATCGAAGGTTCGAAATTCGCCGTGAATATGGAGCAACCTTAAATTCATTGGACAGCTCTCCCACTCATCGAAGTGTTTACCATAAGCGAGGAGGATTAGTCACTGTTGTCGACGGTGTACATTCTACAATATGGGAGGAAAAAAAAAAACACATTTTTTGTGTTAAATGTCTAGGATTAGGAATAAAATTTTGAGCGGGATGTATGTATCCACGAATGTAGTTTGCAAGAGACAAAATAAACGAAGCTTATCCCAGTAATATAAACAAAAAGGTCAAATTGAAGGATAAAATAATGCATCATCGGATTAAACTTTGGTATCATTCATGAAATATGGTCTTGTCTATATGGAAATATCACTTAATACATATTCTTGATTTGTGTCATTTTTGCACATCGTTACAAATTTACCGGATGTTCGCGAAAGTCAAATTTGTCATTAGGTGGTTAAACTTCAAAGATTCTAATTTATTTCAATATTTATTTTTTTTTAATTTTTCACGTGATGATAGATTTTTTTGCAAAATATTGGCTTATATCCAGACTCCAGAGATAGCTAAACACAGACTTTTCGTTAGTTGACCAACCCCAATACTACTTTTTTTGTGTCCAAAATCACGGAGGAAATATATTTCCAGAAAGAATCTTGAGAAGTTTGTTAAAGAACAACTTCTATCATGGATCAAGAAACAACTTCACTTGTAGTCTCTTTGCTCTTTCCATTCCTGGTTTCCACTTTGATTCTTTACATATTCCTGAGAAGACACCACAAATCTTCTTCTTCAAGATCCCTTAAACTCCCACCATCGCCTCCGAGACTTCCTATAATCGGAAACATTCATCAGCTCAGTCCCATCCTCCATCAATCCCTGGAATCTTTAGCTCAGAAATATGGCCCAGTGATGATGATTCACATAGGCAGCAAACCAGTACTCATAATCTCTTCTTCAGATGCAGCAGAACAAGTCTTGAGAAGAAACGACCTCAATTTTCTCGACCGGGCTCAACCCACCTATATTGGGAAACTTTCCTACGATTTCAAAGATATGATTTTTCAACCCTATGGAGATTATTGGAGGCAATTGAGATTCATTTGTGTTTCTCAGCTTCTGAGTAACAAAAGGGTTCAGTCATTCAGAAGCATACGCGAACAAGAGATTGGGAAAGTGTTGGAAAACATACGGAAGTCTTGCGTATCAGGTTTGTCTACTTAATTAGAAGGATTTAAAAGTTATAATTTCCTAATTAGATTTTGCTTTTAGGTTACTGATTATGGGTTTTATTTTATTTTTTTCCCTTTTTTTTTTTTTTTTGTTGCTGTCCTCAATTTTAGCAGGAACAACTGGTTCCATCATATGCTTAAGTGAGATTGTAACAACTCTTACTAGTAATATACTTTCTTTGGTGGTGTTGGGGAAAAGGCACTCTGGTGAAGAAGGAAATAATGGGAGTCATAAGTTGTCTTCGGCCCTCAATTTGATAGCTGGACAAGTAAATATAGGTGATTATATCCCCTGTCTTGGATGGATTAATCACATCAATGGGATGGAGAAAAAGGTGAATAGGGTTGCCAAGGAGGTTGATGAATACTTAGAGGGTATCATTGAACAAGGTCTTAAAAAGCAAGAGACAAACGAAGTGGATGTTAATGGAGAAGGGCAGCAGAACTTCTTGGATGTCTTGCTTCAACTGCAACGGGAAGAAAATGCCAATCTTCATCGTGATTCGATTAAAGCTATTCTGCTGGTAACTGTGCTGAACCTGATACCTTTTTCTTTCTTTTTTTTTGGTCACAAACGATAATCATTTTTTATAAAATAAGGAGAAAAGTTTGTAATTACAAGCGACCTAAGTCGAGCTAGTACAGTCAGCCATAACTGCCCTTTCTAACCACACAGGGGATGAACATACCCAACCATGCGAATCATTGCTAGAAAGGGCTAAGGTAGCTAAACTGTGACAGGATGTGTTCCACCTTTTCTTGATAAATAGGAATTTACAATCATCAAAATGGTTTTAAGCAAAGAGATGTCGTCGACTATCGCCATTACCTCTGAAACAGGAGCCAATTTTCCCTGCAACCAGGCCACGATATTCTTTTCATCTAACTGCATCTCTACCTTTTTGATTCTTTGGAGTTGCGCCTTCAAATAATGCTAATCTGATACCATTCGCGTACAATTTGTTCGGTTAATAAGTTTAATGTCTGATTTCACTTCCAGCCTTGAATTGAAATGTGTTTGTTGTATGCAGAATATGATGCTTGCTGGTGCAGAAACTACGTATTCACTTATGGAGTGGACATTTTCCCAGCTAATGAGAAATCCAAATGTTATGGCTAAGCTACAAGGTGAGGTGAGACAAAAACCGGGTCGAAAATTAGGTCAGATGATCACTGAAGATGATTTAGACAGTCTACCTTACCTTAAAGCAGTAATCAGAGAGACTCTCAGAACAAATCCTCCGGTTACATTGTTGAATCGAGTATCAAAAGAGGCTGTCAAGATTATGGAATACGACGTTGCAGCTGGAAGTGAAGTGTTCATAAATGTCAAGGTAATCGGGAGAGATCCTCTCTTATGGGAAGAAGCTGATGTATTCCGACCAGAGAGATTCTTGAATAGCCCTGTTGATGTGAAGGGACAACATTTTGAATACTTACCATTTGGTTCTGGAAGGAGGATTTGTCCTGGTTCATCACTTGCTCTAACAACTGCTCAGTTGACACTTGCTAATTTGATTCATAACTTCAACTTTGCATTACCTAACAATGCAAAACCAGATGAATTAGACATGTCGGAAGGCCATGGCATGGTGACGAAAAGGAAGATCCCGTTGGTTCTAGTTGCAAGTCTACCTAGTTCGTAGGTTCAGCTGTAATATATTGTATTGTACTTATTTTGGAGACATTACTTTAGTCTTCCTGGAAAAAAGATATTCAATTTAATAGTCTTCAATGCTTAGTCAAGGCATTTGTAAATTTCGTAGCTTGCATTGATGGGTTTGTAGTTTATACCACGGTGTAGTCCTATCCTATCAGTTTAGTTCTTACTCATTGTATAATAAATAAGATTACTTTTTGTTAGTATTGTTTTGAATTTTTAATTCTTATTATTTTTTAAATATAAACATAGTTATATTAACTTCTTGTGAATAATAAAACACAACTTAAAATCGGCCATAATACTGTAATTGCATTTACCAGAAATACACGCAAGTAGATGATAGATCTCCAATATTGAACAATGGATGTATTACAAATCTAATAATAAGATCATGATAACTGAATTTCTTGAACCAAATATGTCAAATTTTAGAAATGGGAGCAAATTTTTTAGAGTAAGAGCAATTTTTTTCTTAAATATCCATATTATCCTTCTAAATAAATTTTCCTTCATTCATTTATCATCTAAATTCCTTACCATTTATTTTGTAATGGAGATAATCCTCCACCGTTCCAGTCACAATAATCGGCTAACAAACTTTGTTTTTTAATTCATAAACACAAAACTAATGCGATGAATTTTACCGCCGGCCTCCCTGAAAGCAATGGAAAGCACAAGCGCTTTTTTGCCAATCTCCCCGTCTCCCTCCCCCCAGTAACTCCCCCAAAATTAAAACTCACCGAAGCACCAATAAAAACCGAAACCGTCACAGCCTTCGCGAACTGTTAGTGGCAGCATCACCATTGAGATCGAAGTTGGTGCTAGTCGAGTCGAATTAATAGACATTCCCAATAATGATTCAACCCGGGCCACATGGCTGTCTCGTGCTAGTCCATGTTGTCGCAATCATGGACTTGAGATTACCGGAATTCATTAATTCCGCACCATGAAAAATTTGAAAAGAATTACATTGGCTTAATGAATTTCTAATTTGAATTACTGTCAATTTATGTTTTGATTAGAAAACATAGGTGGGACTGTTAATGTTACTAGAAAATTCATCTTAGTTTCGAAGAAAATAATTAAACAGATGATAAAGATCAATAACATGTAAAGAATAAATTAGTTTTCAATAAAATTAACAAAGATGTACAAAATCTTGTGGAAGAATAATATGGGTAGTTGAGAAAAATTTGCTTTTAATATAAAAAAATTGCCCTTAATTTATCAATTGTCTTTATAAATTAGTACGACATAGTTGTCTTACTATCGAAACTCACAAAGAAAGTTGTTACCATGTCATGACTCATGACCACAATTGTAAATAACTGTCATGTAATAGTACTTAGTGGATCATTTGTAGAAGGACAAAAAAAAAAAGGAAAAAAACTATGAATATTAGAATCTCACTTATTACCATAAAAGATAATCTAACGAAATTATCCCTATCCTCCTATAACAAGAAGGCGGGGAGAAGCGGATAAAGTTTCATTATAAAACATGATTCATTAGTAGTTGAAATGTAATAACAACTTTATTAGTTTAAGAAAATTGGATAATAACTTACAACTTAATTGATGAGAAAAATGAGATATAAAAAATTTAGATTCAATCATGTCGAGTATTTTTGATATATGATCATCAAGCATCGTTAAGAATGTGACATCACGCAATGTGTTTTCCCCTCTAGTATGAAGTGAATAGTAACCGTGTAGATTTAGAAAACTATGCTCATGCATAACTCTTTCAAATTTGACTAAGAGCAAGTGCAGCGGTGGTAAATGGCTTTGAAGCCTATGTAACTTACAACTCCAATCAAACCTCCTCCACTGGAGAAGGTTGAGTGATACTTCTGAGTCAATTTCTTATTTTCCCTGCAAATTCTTGTAAAATGTGGTGAAAAAGGTGGGTGATCATGATTTTGGAATAGAAATTAGAGTGTGAGGGAGATAAGGGTGCAAAAAAATAGCTCATTTAATTTACTAATTTTTTATAAATCCAGTACAAGAAGTTATAGAGTAAAAAAAATTGGGGTTATTTATGCTTATGTGGAGGGAGGAATCCCACTTTTCTACTCCCATCAATGGAATTGCTATAAGGTATAAAAAGATGTGTGGAACAAGATGAACGCTTAAAATATTATTTTGAAATAGGAAGACTTACTCAGTTTTCAATTGAAAGGTGTCTGGTTCAACCTTGGTATGATAAATTTGAATGGGATTCGTAGTGTCCATAGTGATATTCATAGAATTGGAATTATAATTGGAATCAAAATTTCACTTTCAGGTGGGATACCCCATTTGCTGCATCTACACTATAGCAACAAATTTGGTGATCTACCGTAGCAAAAGCAGCACTTTGCTGTTTTGCTGTTACATTGGAGCAAAAATACATCAAATTCTCCAACAATTTGATGAATTGGTGCAACATTGGGGATGCTCTTCCATATATCTTAAAAAAAAAGTTGAATTTTCAATTTTATCCTTTTTATATAAACCCTATCTAACCACCAGTTTCTTCCTTACCGTCCCACCGCTGCCACTTCCCCTGTTTCCCCTGCCACCCTAAAAATACCACAACTGGAGAAACAACCAACTTAAATCTAGAAATCGACACATACCAAAATTAGAACAAAAAATAAAGATCAAATATTAAAGAGTAGGGACATAATAGAAAAAGTAAATCTTTTTTTCTAGGCTATCACACCCACCTAATTGGCTGATGGGGAATGTAATTTTTGGATTCAATCCAAATTATGTGGCTCGAACCCATTCTCAATTTTTGAACCAAGCAAGAAAAATAAGAAAATTGGAATGAAAGACACAAATTGGTTATACCGAAACAAGCACACATTTTTATTTTTGAAATTATTGGAAGTGGCTACATTTTTTCCCGCCTTTACTAATTCCCAAATTTCCACATATGTCCCAATCTTCTCCATTACGCGCGTACTTCAATCTCCCTCTCTCTAAACACATCACGCTTTTCCACCGTACTCTTTCCGCCACCACCACCACCGCTGCGGCGGCGGTGGCGTTACCTCACCGATGAACTCCATCTCGGAGTCGTCCCTGTTATCCAAGATCGAATCCTCCACAGATATCCCCGAATTACACACCTTATTCTTCAACTACCTCCAACCTTTCAAGACAGTCTCAGGACCCAAAAAACCCTCTTCCAAGTCCTCAAAAACCCCAGAAACCGCCACAATCCGATCCCTAGCGAAGCAATTCATTTCATTCCTCAACAAATCCCTCTCTCTTCTTCCCAAACGACTTTCCTCTGAAGCCGGCTCCTCGTCCCCTGATAAGATTTCCAGGGATTGCGCCCTCAAACTGTTTGAAGTTTACCGTCTGTGCCTTAATTGCCTCAGTTTGATTGTTCCCGTCTTGGAGTGTAAACCCCACGCTATTCAAGTTCAACAGGTTCGATTAGTTCATTGTTTGGATAGCTGGGGTTTGCATCAAGAGGCGCAAACTGAGTGTTTTGTGGTGCTTGAGAGTCTGCGGAGTATTTCTGGAGACAAAGTGAGAACGAAGTCAGCAAAGTCAAAGGGGCAGTTGCTTCCCAGGTTGAACGAAGAGAATGTGGACCAAGATTATGCCTTGCTGGTCGTGGAAATTGTGATCATACTGATTAAATGTGCTTCCATAATCCAGAGTGAAGATGAACGTGATTATAAGAGAGTTATTGCGATGGTTCATGAATCCAAACCTTGGTGCAAGTCAGACTCTCTCTCTCTCTCTCCCTGCCCACACATGAAAAAATAATGCATTTATTCTGCATCTTTCATTTTCATAGAGGTGTATCAGCAGCAGATTCATGTGGGTATGTTTTGAGTTGCTATAATTTCAATGTAGAAGCAGGGTTTTAACTGATGTTATTTTGGACAGGGTTTTAAATGGCAATTCCTACGATAATTTGCATAGGACGCTCGTTGCCTATCTGAATAGATTATGCATACATTTGGTCAAGGGTTTGGAAGTTTTTGATATAGAGTTGGTTTTAGAGTTCTGCGAGTTGACACTTACACTGATTAGTGAATCTTTCCTAAAAGATCAGATCTGCAAGGTAAACTGGAATCTATTCTCGTGTTTGGAACCATTAATTTGAAGTTTAAGTTTTTCTTTTTCTCATTTTCTAACTGTTCCTTCAGTATGCTTGGGGAATATGCTATAGCCTCTTCTCCAAGAAGAGCAGTGGAGTCCTACACATCTCTGAAGTGCTAAAATTTGTTCTGAGCTTTTTAGCTGCTGCTTGTGAGGTAATATGGTGAAAAGGCTGTAGTAATCTTCTTTTTAAGCATCGGGTTGCTTTAGAAAGTCGAGGCCTCTTATTCATGTTTGTTAATTTAGAGGTCACTCTAGAATTCAACCCCCTGTTTCAGTTTTTCAAGTTTTCTTGCTTGTGATAATATATGTTGTAAGGAAGGGGGTACTTGACTGAATTTTGGATATGCATTCACCATATTAAGTGGCCAACATGTCAGCTTTTACATGTGGTTGCAAATTTGAAGGACTTCCCCTTTGGTCGTGCCAGTTGATACACAGGCTAGTTGATTCCGTAAATTGCTATAGATCTTCAAATTCAGATTTTCTAAGCAGTCAGTCCATACATCTTTAATATTTTCTGCTTTTCTGTTTTGGTGCCTAGTTCTTATCTTATTCTCTGTGCTTTTCTGGTTTGATCATCTCCGGATACTATGCAATATAGTTAAATATACTTCAATCCTTCATACATTTGTCCCCGGAAGAACTTAAGGTGCAGATTAGAAAGGGAAAAGGAAAACCCTGATTTTGTTTGAGGTTTTTAGTCTGACTCTAATTTTGTTCTCCATGGTGTTGAATCAGTCAGTGTCTCAGACTGTATATGTTCTTGGACAGAAATAAAATTCTTTACTTGGTACTTAAAGAAATCCTTGATTGAATAAATTCATTGCTCGGTTATACATGGTCTTAGTTCTGTAATTGCAAGAATCAAATCTGATGTCTACCCAAGTATTGATTCTCTTGACATTTTCGAGTTCTGCATGTAATTATTCCTTAGTGAATCTATTTTGATGAGTTTCGGTTAATGACAGTTCAAAGTGGAGCAGACCATAACAGAGTTTTTGGAAGTAGTCCAGAATTGTGCTAGAAGTTGTAAAACAGCAACACCAACGATTTGCAATGAAGTTGGAGAACATTTAAGCAAATTAGCTGGTTCCCAGGTTTGTGATGTTTCTTTTGTACATTCTAAATTTGGCTGGTTTGTAAGAGTAACTAAAGCTTTTGTGCATGTGAAGGATACGCTACTTGTCGGTGCTATCATGGGGGTTTACGCGTCTGGATTGCTTATAAGTTCTTCAGAATGTCAATCTATAATTGGTGAATGTGCAACTGAAAGAAATGCGGAGAATGGATCTATTTCTGGGGCTGTTCATGGTTTTGCAGTGCTGCTTAAACGATTGCACGTCTATCTTGAATCAATGAGGGGTTTTTTTAATTTTAGTGACAACGGGAATAGGTTGTCGAAGGAAAAAACTTCATACCTGCTCTCCTATTACGATGCTCTTAAATTCTTTTGCCTGCCACTCGCTAGGTCAGTATATGCGCAGAGGAAAGAAATTCTGGCTGAAGGAAAGAATGCTGAGTCTTTTGCCAACCTAGGTGTTATTCATGATGCATTCTATCAGTTATGCAGCATTGTTATTCTTCTTACTCGGTAAGTGTCATCATACTTTAGTTGGGGCTTCCACTATGTTTGCACTTCTCTCAATTCATGTGAAGCATTAGAGCATTTTGTGTTCAGCGCAGGTGAAAAGATTAATGTGCCTGTGGAATATGCTTGGGATGGCATGTTTAAAGTAATGCATGATGTACCTGTTGCTGCTTTTACTCTGTCACTTCAAAATGGGCATCGTATTAAGGTACCTGCCCAGTGAACAAAGATATTCTTCACTATCTTTAATGATTTTCCCTATCAGAGGATAAACTTTGTTTATCTTTTATATTAGGAGAGTGCAAATCTTGTGAAGTATGTTCTTTCAAGTGATCGGATTCAGGCTGATGGACTCAAGTATATCTTTTCTTCGCTTTACAATGTCTACGTGATTCAACACAGAAATAAGCATCTTGAAAAGGTACATGCATCAAGCATGCTGCTTTACAACCACATACTACACAATTTATTACTGTTTAATTTAATGGAAAATATTTGATATTGCTTTTGCTATGGTTGAGTTTAGTTTTTGGTGTTTTCACTCTGAAAGGTTACATGTGTTGTGTAGTTAAAATTGTTTACATCGTAATGGCAAAGAGCATCAGCTTGAAAACTGGACATGATAAACTGGATTATCGTTGTCCTTTAATCCCATTTTATGCATTGTTTTGTATCTAGAATATAAGATATGGGTTTAGGCTGTGGTCATTTAAACATTTGACTGAGCATTGTTATGTTGTTTGGCTTTGTTGATTCTAAGTTTCTAGAAGTATGTTTGACTTGATTTGGAACGACTGTCTTGTGGTTTGTACTTAAAGAAAGTTTTTATACATCTTCTAAGGTTTTGCTTTAACAATGTTGTTTTTTCCCCATCTCACAGGCTTCAAAAGCTCTAAAACTAAGCTGCATGGCATCTTGGAAGTTATTGATGCTTTATTGCAAGTCACATGAGTTACACGGAGATCTATCGGAAGTAAATAATAAAGCTTTCAGGAAAGATGCTATGGGTTATGTCAATGAAGCATCTGAGAAAACAGCTATTCTCTTGGACCTTCTGTCTGAGAGAAGTCATCATAAGATGAAAAAACTTCTGAAAAGTAGCCTTGAGAGCTGGTGTGTTGCTGAAAGTATGTTACAAAATATTTCACCCCCCTTTGCTCTAGTCAAACGTTGGGTAAAGGTAAGAGCTGACTGTATCCTATTTTTTCTTCTGATATTCAGAAATCTAATTCCTACTGGCTTATATTCTCAGATAGGACATAAGGTCCGCCAGAACAAGGATTCTGAGCATAGTTCTATAACCTTATATAACTTGCTTTCATCATCGGATATTGTGTCAGAAAAAGCTCTTGGTGTACTACTGGAACAGGTTTGACTAATGAAATATTTCACTCAATTTCTGTAGTTTTTTGTGTTTGCGCATATATGAATAGTAATATATTATTGTTTCACAGGAACTGCTTGCTTATAAATCAGGGGGAGCTCTGGATTCAATATTTTCCTCAAAAATGCGAATGGAAATCATTGAGATTCTTTTGGAGAAATTATATGGCTCCAATGATACATGTGTAGAGAAATCTAGAGTTCTTATTGCCAAAGCAGGGGAATTGAGAGACCTTGGAAGCGAAAACCTCGACGAGTGTTTTCAGTGCTTATCAGAAGCAATTTCTATATTGGTGAGCTCTTCCTGTCTAGCTTGATCTTTGAATTTGGTCCATTCATTTATTGCCTTCGATTTGCAATCTCATCATGTCTGTGTGATTTCAGTTCTGACTAGCAATTTTGAATCCTATAGGAAATGTGTTCAAGTAACCATAAATGCCATAAATGTGATATTGAAGCTCGGCATTTGAGGGCATGTGCTCATTGCTTACGTGCATTGTGTACCCTGGAGAAATCCATGCAAAAATCAAAGGTTTTATTGCTCAAAAGGCTAGTCTCCATCATTGAACACAAACTTAGGAGCTCCGATTGTTGTGGATATTCTATGTAGTTCATCTGTTATTTAGTGTTAATAATATCTGTTGTTTTCTCCAACAGTAACTTTGAAGATGTTCGCAGCGCGTTGAATTTGTGGTTTCACCCATTCCAAGACCATTCGACTGATCATTGCAGTACTTTGGATGGCATTTTCAAGTTCTTCAATGACAATGGTCACTCCAATATGTTTTTTGAAAATATGCTGAAGATGCTGCATTGCCTTCTTGATTTGTTATCAATGCAGGTAGAGCTTTTTAAATACCTTTGTGCACATTAATTTGTGAGGCAATGGATGCTTATCTTGGTTGTAAAGAAATTTATGCCTCATTTGACCTATTCCTTCAACAGGGTTATATGGAAATGCATGCAGAAATATATGAGATAATTGTTCGGTTGTTCAAATGGAAAAATCTTTCATTAGAGGATGCTCTTGCCTTGTTCTGGAAAAGCAGAAGTTTTGGACATGGCCTTTGCGCTTCACCTTTCAGCGAAATCATCATCTCAAAACTGTCTCATTGTTATGGAGAACAATCCAAGTCTATCAGGTTTTGGATAAAATCTATGCAGCCTTCACGAGCACTTCTAATTGGGTTCCAACAGCGGTTCTTTTCTTCTTTACCTGACTCTTCGCTGAGAAATTTTTATGAAGGAGATATGAAGGTTGCACATGATGAAGTTAGGTCAGGTGCTTCTGGTTCTCCTTTCCATGTAAGGTCTTTTGTACTTGAATGTCATTCTTTCCACGTACCGTCAATCACTTGATAACCTCATCAGTCATCATGGTCATTCATGCCAGGTTTCTGCAGAAGATGTCAAACATGTTGTTTCCGATCTTCTTTCAAGTGTAAGTCCTAACTCTTAGGTAACTTACGGCGGCTTCTACATATTTCTCTAAAGTTTTGACATGTCCTATCTTCTCTTGTTTCAGGTACCTGTATCTGGCAATTCATTTTTTCTTGCTGCATATCTCTACTATGACTTGAGTGATAGATTAATTATGAAAGGAAAAGTAACTGAGGTAGGTATTTAAGCTGTTGACTACCCTAATTTTGTGTTTGTGTGTGTATATATTCAGTGTCCTTTTCTCCCGCTTGAATGCTTTTTGCATGTTCTCTAGTCTAGCATTTGATTTGATTTTTATTACAGGTTGTGTTGCTAATTTACATTACAAATTCAGTGTTCCTTAATATCTTCAGTAAAACCACTTATGCATTTTAATTTTTCTCAATATCTCATTCTTGAGGGATTTCATGATATTTCAGGCTCTCTTGTATGCAAAAGAAGCCTACCAGTGGCGCTACGATCTCCTAAGGAAGAAATTCAAGTACTCTGTAAGAGCTATGAGTGACAGCGAAAATGAAACAGAAGATGGTTCCCGAAGGCATTTTGATATCCTTGCGAGCATCCAGTTGCGGGATTCAGTGGCTAAAGAAGTGTGGTTTGGTTGCCCTCCATGTGATATTGAAGGCTGTATTCTGACCCCTTGGAATATACTTAAGTGTTATCTTGATAGCACGCTGCAGGTTGGTTCTCCTTCTTTCATCAATCAATGTTAATTTGATCCCACGTTTTAAATTAGAGTTTTATTAAATGAAAGTGGCGGTCTCTCAGTTTTGTTGGGCTCGTGTCTGTGTTATAGGTATCAAAGATAAATGAGATACTAGGTGAAGCATCAAAGGCTGAAGCTCTTTTACAGTGGGGCAAACAAATTGCCGTCCATCGTTGCCTGCCAGTATATGTGATTTTTTTCTCTTCTATGCTAGGTACTAAGATTTTTTTACTTCCTGTACTCCCATGTAAGACATGTGTTTGGAATTTTTATCAGTTTTATGGTCAGCGGACTATACATTTTAGCTTCTGGTTCCAAATTTCGCTAGGTAAGCTCTACCGCAAGCAAATGCTCTGGCGATTGGCAGAAAAGGAACTAAAAGCTGCTTCACAAATGATGGCCGACAACAAAAACATGATTACTTGCTTGAAGTGCAGGATGTTTCTGGATAGTACCATTTGTCATCAACTTGGTGATCTCTACAAGAGCCATTCTTGCAATGACATGGGAAATCCTTCTTCTGCTATGGCAAATTACAGGTCGGCCTTACAGAAGTTAAACATAGTAGAATGGGATGATTTTTCTAGTAATTTTGAGGATGGAAAGACTGAGCAGATTGACCATAGAGATAGAAGTTCATTTTTTGGCTGTTTAAGGGATGCTTTGGATAAAGTAGTTCTCCCTTCAAAAAGTGAAAGGCCAGCAGGGAAAATCCAAAAGAAGAAGGCTCAGAAGAAAGGGAAAAAGCCTTCGCCACCTCATGAACAGTGTTTAGTTGCTGGGCATAATTTGAGGATGACTCGATCAAGATATCGCTCATTGGAAAAAAGTGGTGATGCTATTTTCCAAAATATTGAGTGTGGGCCTGTGGTTAATTCACACAATGGTAGCTCGTATTCTCGCAATTGTGAGCCCGATGGCATAGATGTTGCATCAGAAGCTGAAACTTCCATAGCTGAATGTGCATATGAAATCACACGGCTTTCCAACAAAATCAAGTGCTGGCACTGTCTTGTTCTTGAAGCTCTCAAATCTGGGTCAGTGACAGATTTTGTGCATTTGAACTGGGAACTAGTCAGAAGGCGGGTTTCATGGCAACTACTCATCAAGATAGGTAGTTAAAGCCACAAAGTTATCTATTGTCATATTCTCCGAAATACGTGTTATGCAAGTTGCATAATGTGATACCTTCATTATATAAAGATGTCAAAGTATTTTTTTTTTCCTTTTTCCAAAAAAATGAGGCTATTTTCTCACTATCTCTTTGTTCATTTCATATTTAAGTTAGTATTTTCTATTTCCATTGTATTACTCAGGGTCCATTTCTATTAAGACTGCCTTTCCACTGAAATTACAAATACGCGTTTCTTTATTGTAATTGAGAGTTTGTTGGTGCACCTAAAGTTTTATGACCATTATTTCTCTTCATATTGTTATAGTGAAAAATCTGTTCTTCATTCTGTGATGTTTGAATTATAATAAGTGGAAAACCAGAAGCACGATGGAGTCCACTTTTTCTGGCACAAAACATTATGCATACGATAAAAGAAAGAGTTACTTTAGAGACTCTTGACAATATCATTACTTCAAAACATTTATCAACTAAAACTGGTATGAGTTAATGCATGTCTTTCGAGTGCATTCTGGTTGTAGTGTCACTATGAGAAGATTCACTGGTGTATTCTCTTTACAATTGTGTAATCTATTTGCTGATTCCTTGTGGCAGGGAAAAGCTTTGGAGCTTATGATGACAACCATAAAGCACATCAAATAGTTTTGCTGAGTGTATCACTTTTGGTCAACCCATTCTGTGGGAAGTATTCTTCTGTTTCCTGGTCATCTTTAATTGACATGCTCAATGAGGATTTCCTTCGGGATATATTTGCCGTTGAGCATGCCGTTTTACTTTATAGCATCTGCTGGATTGCTTTGCGAAGCTATGCTGACAAGATTACCAGGTACTGACGGAAATATTTTCTTTTCTTAAGAGAATAATCCATATCTTGTGGGATTTCATTGTACTCAGATGACTTGTCTACTGTTTCATACATGTTTCCACCGTGAAATTTCTTTCTTCAATTATATTGACCTATCTAACAAGATACCAATATAGTTCCAACTCTTTTGAGGTCTGCTGGTCAAGTGTGCCCAACCTTATCCCTGTATTTAAATACAAAACGAGGCTGTTTCTATTGCGACCCTAGATGCATTCCTGCATTTGACCCATCTAAGTTCTTTTATTTTTGGATTTCAACTGGAGAAAGAACTCTAATATCTTCAGCACTGACGACTAAGTGTCTGACATCTTTAAGTACGGACGCCAGTTTCGGATTAAGTCAGGAATCGCTTCTTGTATTCTAGCATTATTCATTGGCATGCTGCTCTTTTATGTATGATTGCTTATAAATGTATTGTAGCATTGCAATCATTGTTTCTGCTCTTTCTATTCTTTCTGGTGTTTTCATATTTGGTGTCCCACTTCTTTCTTTGAACTCTGTTATTCAAGCAGGGAGAATCATTGTCAAATATCAACCATTGGGATTCCTAGGATTTTTTCTTGGTTGAAGCTGGCATTTATGCTCTCTTGTGAAGTTCCGATACTTTCTCAGAAGGTTAGAGACATTTTCTAAGATTTTGTTTGTAACTGAGTCTGTTGCCTGCTGCATAGATGAACAGGGTTAGATTGGATGACACTTAAAGATATTGTTAGCTGGTATTTTCCTTATTGACAATTGTTTTTGAATCCTGAGCAAACTAACTTGGTTTAATATTGAAAAATATAAACCCATTTATCCGTGTCCCACTTAGTAAAATGAATCTTACATTTTGGTGCCTACTGCCTACCACCTACATTTTGCTGCTTGTTATGAATAAGACAAATGCTCTTAATATTTTGATTATGGTATTGGCCCAATATTTTGCTTTTTTGATCTTCACTTGGTTGATTGCATTCCGTTTAACTTAATTGCACAATATCATGTGCGTGATTTAACTTTTTATCCGGAACACAATGGAACAGGTTTCAAGGTTGCTTAGTGTCATCTATTTGCTTTCAACCTCAGTGAAGGCATTTTCTCTGCAAAGAGGGGAAGCACTCTCCGAAAACTATTGGGCTTCATTTTTTCATCAAGCTTCAATCGGCATCCACTTTAACCAGCGGGTGCTTTCTAGCATGATGCAAAAGACAAAATCGGGAAAGATGGTAAATCTTGAGATCTGTCTTATTTGAATGACTGAAGAGCGTTGGTTGGTCTTTTGAGTAGTTTCTTTTCACATCTCTATGCCTGCAGTTCAGTTCTTTGTCCATGAAATTACTGATGCATATATGTTCTTGATGTCAACATCTTCTTGATGTCAACATCTTGGTTTAAGCTGGTTTTCTTTAATCACTCCTTATGTTCCTGTTTCAGGATTCTTGTCTTTCTAGCTCAGATTCTGGTTTCTTGAGAGCGCTCAACTCGCTCAGGTAGCTGCTATTAGTTAGGAGACATGACCTTTAATTTTTGAAGGATGTTGTGCCCGTAACATCTCCTTTCCCAATGCAGGCTAACACCTGAAGCACTGAGTGATATGGGTGAATTTGTTAGCAGATTCTTTGAAGGCCTGCCTAGTTCTACCATTATCTGTGTCAGTGTCATAGGGGGAGCAGAAGCTATTCTTTTGAGAGAGTTATTGTGTTGTGCTTCAGCTCGAGCGTGGATTTTAGTTTCCCGCCTAAATTCTAAAGATCAGCCCGTTATCCTACTTCGGCCTATGGACTCACTATTACAAGGTAATCATCCTCGACCAATTCATTGGTTATGAAGTTATTTCATTATTGAGGACCAAATAGCTAAATGTAAGATGCCAATCTCTCCTACATCAACTGCTAAGCATTCACCCCATAACGTGGAATGAGCTCTGTGAATTATTCTCGCAGATAGGGTTGTAGAAAACTTTAAACAAAGAGGCATCGCTAAGTTTTCCTTTTAGTTTCAAGTTGGCTACCACAAAAGGTTGGAATACCCCCTGGGAAATGTGCCAATGGAATTTGTTAATGATGGTAGTTTGTGTTTTGCAAGCATAAGTAATCTGAGTTGTCTTCAAATAGTTCATATCTTCTGCTGAGGTGTCTGAAGTTCAGGAAAACAATATAGATGATAAGTAAACAACACAATGGAAATTCTATTCTGTGCTTTTCTCTATGTTACTGTGAGAGATGCTGCTTTTTAACCGAGCAAGTTTCTTTGGTTCCTTATTTGCAGAATCATCGATCGTTGATTTGGGCTCTAACTCGGGGATCTCCAAGGAGGACCAAGATCTTGTCAAGCAGTGGAAGTGTCCGTGGAACTCTTCCATTGTTGATGAAATTGCCCCAGCTTTCAAAACAATTATGAAGGAAAATTACTCATCGTCAGCATTTCAAACAGAAGACAAGTTATTATGGTGGTCACAAAGGAAGAGTCTTGACAAATGCTTGGGTAGATTTTTGCAGTAAGTCTTTTCCTCAAATATGTTTATACAGCAATAAAAAATCCTGTCCTTGCAATTTGAGTTTTTAACTTTTCTCGTGATAAATCATACGGGCATCCCTTTGCTTTAGGTTTCCTTTGGTTTTGAGATTAGAGCACCTTTTCAGCATTTTCTTGGTTTATCACTTCTAAGCTAGAGGCATGACATTATTTTTCTAATCCAATAATGGTATGTGGGTTGTTTACATATTTGCTATTATCTTCTTCAGAGCAATTCTGTTTATTTACTGAAGTGGTAATTTAGCTTCAGCAAAAGCTATTATCTATTTCGAATATGGCTGTGTTTTCCCATTTTTACCTTTATCAATGCCCTTGTGGTGGGAATTTTTCAGTTACATATTATAAGCTCTTGGTTTGGTTTCAGATTTTTTGGTAAACGTACTTCCTTGTATTTTATTTTTTGTTTTCCTGCAAGTTACACATAATTACTTCATCTCACCTCAGGAACTTGGAAGATTCATGGTTGGGTCCCTGGAAATTCTTGCTTTTAGAGAAATGCGCAGACACCAATCATATGGTTTCTCTTGAAAATAAACTCATAGAAGATCTGAAGCTCAAGTGTAAAGTGAATGTCCCAAAGGATCTTCTCAGAGTATTCCTCAGAGGGGCTAGTTGTTCTTCTGAAATTAGAGAATGTGCATTGCAGCTTATTCTAAACAAAGGATGCTACATTGGTGGATGCTGTGAAGCTGTATCAAATGCATCTGTTGAAGTCAAGAGCCTTTCCATTGAAGTGTTTAAGACAGTGTCTAGAACTGACGCACTTGGGGAGATTGACAGCCTTACCCCAAAGCCCGTTATTCTTGTTTTGGATTCTGAAGTGCAGGTTAAATTTTGTATCTCAATACTTGCTTTCTTTTTTTCCTTTTTTTTCTTTTTCTCTTTTAAAAACATTTTTTAAATTGTCATTAGTGTATCCTACAACTTATGGTGGTTGACAAGGGAGAGATCAGTTGGAATTGCATGTTAATATCATGTGTTGGTTTCTAGTTACAGGGAAAGAAACACGGTCATGTTTGTTCCTGTATTCTGCTGCTCTGTGACTTGTCCGCTACTCGATCTAAATTTCTGCTGCTTTGTGCTTGATTGATTTTGTTTATGTCACCTCCAAAAATTGGTGGAAAAAGTAAGCTATGTTGCAAGAACATATTTTTAGTTCAGTGTGTCTTAGTCTTGTTGTCATCTTGTTAAAAGCTTTACAGAAAAAAAAAAAAAAAAAGAAAGAAAAAGAGTAAGAAAAGAGATGCAGCGTGATATATGAGATTTCTCTGATTATCTTTGAAATGCTTAGGGTGTCAAATTCTGTATTTTATGGATTCTTTCTACTGGAAAAGAACAAAGAAAAAGATGTAGCTGCAGGAGTGGACTTTCTGATTTCCAATTTATTCTGGGGTTCTTGGAGTAGATAATTTATCCTCATAACTATTTGCTTTCATTCTAGAATTAAATAATTATTATCAATGTCAATGCAGATGCTGCCTTGGGAGAGTCTACCAATACTTAGAGATGAGGAGATCTATCGCATGCCTTCTGTTAGCAGTATCCGTGCAACACTTGATAGATGCCATGAAATATTTCCTGTTATAGATCCGTTGGATTCCTTCTACGTTTTGAATCCCAGTGGTGATCTAAGTAAGACACAGTTTGAGTTTGAGAAATGGTTCAAAGATCAGAAGATTGAGGTAACTTTGTCCTGAATTTCTCACGAATGCTAAATGTGAATTTTAATCGATGCATATTCCTGTAGTGTTTGTAGCTGGACAATTGCTGTGTGGTTCTTTTCCTGTGTTCATTTTATCTTGCATCTGCAGGTTGATATGTGTGTCCTACCTGTAAGAGCTTGAATATGGAGAGCTTATTCAATTTTCTTTGACAGGGAAAGAGCGGGACTGCACCCACATGTGAGGAAATGGTCACAGCCTTAGAAATTCATGACCTCTTTATTTATCTTGGCCATGGATCTGGTATGGTTAACCAAAAAATTCCACTACTGACTGCTGGCAAATCTAGCGTTAATCTTCATGTTTCCAACTATCACTGACATTAATAATAATGCTTTTTCAGGGTCACAGTACGTTGCTGGACACAAGATTGAGAATCTCAGCAGCTGTGCTGCTAGTCTGCTTATGGGTTGTAGTAGCGGATCTATGTTATTGGATGGACATTATGCCCCCATTGGAACTCCTCTCTCCTACCTCTTAGCAGGTTCTCCCGTTATTGTAGCTAATTTATGGGATGTCACAGACAAGGACATCGATCGATTTGGTAAAGCCATGCTTGATGCATGGTTGAAAGAAAGATCAGCTGTTTCAGCACGATGCAATGAATGTCATGAACTCCTGGATAAATTCAATTCCCTAAAGATTAGCAAGACAAGAGGAAACAGAAAGGAAAAAGGCTCGACAAACAGTTCATCTGAATCGTCTGACAGCTTGTATGTTGTATCACATACTTGTAAACACAGACACAAACTTGGTTCATTCATGGGACAAGCTCGTAAAGCTTGCAACCTTCCTTACTTAATTGGAGCAGCACCCGTTTGTTATGGTGTTCCTACAGGTATAGCTAAAAAAGAAAGAGTTGTAACATTAACTCCATAGAGTTGTCTAACAAATTATTATAATGTTCATTCTTCTAAAAGTACTTTTCTCCTTTTTATTTGTCTCTGTCCCATTCTGCGCCCAGTTAGATCATATATTTGAGTTCAACGAGCAAAGTGATTAATGAATGTGGACGGAAGGACATACTGTGACTAGTCTTTACCACGCGAAGTTTTTAAAATCGGATACCCTATTTTGTCACAACATATTCAGTTATAGTAATTTGTGTTAAACCAAAGAAATATGTTCTAGAGTGATAATATTACCTCCTGGGCACAAATCGGCATTGCTTGTTCACCGAGCTCCTTTGTGAGTATTTCACAATTTGAGGCCTAGACTTTTGGTTCCTCGGCGTGCCAATAAACATGTTATTCTTTTTTGCTTGTAGAGGACATAATGTTCTCGTGGTTGCAGTTTTTATTTGCAAAACCATGCCGTAAAGCGATGATCTTCCAATAAAACATGTCAATCCTTTTTGCTTGAAGAGGACATAACGTTCTCGTGGTTGCAGTTTTTATTTGCATAACCATACCCTTAAGGGAGATGATCTTCCAACTATGACGTACATCCTAAATCACCACCAATCAGAAGGATTATGAATGTTGTCGATTTCCTGTAGGTTTCCATAACATCAGTATCAGTGTACATGTCCTGAATAATGTTATGACCAGTCTTTTGATTCATTGTTTAAGACAAAAAATTGGTAAATGCAACTTTTGGAAAAATGCGGAAAAATGAAATTTACTCCGAAAGTTGGAGTTACGTTCCTCCCCGGACAAAACGGAGTCTGGTTGTTGAAGACTTTAAATGACAAAAATCACACAGCGCAAAAAAACCAGAACATGAACTCCATATGGAGAAACAGAATCGAAGTAGATTCGGTGGTTGTGGAATTCACAAGTACTGTGCAGGATTTCAAAGGTACAGCCAATCTAAAAAATTATACATCTTTGCGCCCACAGAGTCATGGAGCTACCATCTATCATACAAATCCATGAAACCATGGAATATTATCAGTGAAAATGCAGAAGGGGAAAAATATGATGATGAAAAAGTACAGCTGAATCTCTTTTTCTACCCCTAACACTAACTCCTAAAATTCAGCATTCCTATCCTACACGTTCCACCCACCATTTCAATTTCTATCCTCTCTCTGGTTTCTGGCCTCCCTTCGCCTTCGTCTCCTCCCAGAATGCCCCAAAAGGACTCTTCCTTGATCACGAAGACGCCTAACAAGAGACATGCGATTGTTACCACGCGCGTTTACTGCACCATCATCATTGTCACTTCCACTATCTTCATCCGAGTAGCCATATCTTCCAAGAGGGGATGCACGACCACTGCCAACCGAAACTACTTCAGTTGGATGATTCGAGTTTCTTTCCGGCCGCCTAATACCTCTATTTGAGGCAACATTACCTGCCTGATTAATGGTTCGCATAAGAAAAAGCATAAAACTTCTGTCAATTCCCACCTCGAAGCCATCATGTTGTTCAATAGGATCATCATCAAAGCCATCATCCCCATCTGAAACAAATCCATAATGACCTCCCTCAATCACATAATCGCCAAACACTACAGCTCCTGGCATTGATGAGGTTATCGTGCTAATAACATCTTCTCTTTCTCGCTCCCGTTCAAGTCTTCTCCATTTCTGTTCAAGAAGAGGGTCCACCTCACGAGGTTTAGCAGACGGGTGATCTGCCTTCACGTGCTTACGTAGCTCCTTATAAGTTCCAACAAAAGAGCAACAATCCTGCATACAGCTTCTCTTTTTACCATTTAAATAATCCCGTGCTTGTTCTACCACAGTCCAGCCCTTTACTTGGCCCCTACAAAGAGGGCAAGCAAGTTCAGTGACTTCACATTTCTCGATAGACCAACTAGTCAATGGGAACATTGCTGGCCTATCAATATCACTGCCAAGATTTTGCCCGTGATTGGTTGATGTCACTTTGGTATAGGCTTTTCTGTATTGGTCAAGGCAGTTGGAAAATCGGAAACTAGTCCCGCACATATAGGGTCGGCAACCCTTGTCATGCGAGGAACATAGAAGAAGAACAGCATTGTGAGGGTACTCCATGCACACAGAACAAGTGGCATCTTCCCAGTCTTTTTTCACGAGTGCCTTTGAGCACCGTTTCTTGTGAACTGCCTCAGATTGATTACGGTGTGGCAATGTGTAAGGGGTAGCCCTACACTGACGTGAAGCAATCCTACGTCTTCCCCTGGAAACTTTGGCCATTTTTCCTATAAAAGAGCAAGTCAATAGGGAATAGACTTATGATGATCTATCTCTTTGACAAAAGAAAGCACAGACATCTCCAATAATTTTTGAAAGGGAATCTATCAAACGATCAACAGAAAGTAAGACTTGTAAAGCAAAGAGAAGATTTTGAGGTACAACTAGCTCAAAACTATCAAGGAATCATAAGGTCTGAACTCTGCACCTTAAGACAACAATTAAGAATGTGGAGGCAGTTGATACTACAATGAGATATTCAACTAACAGAGAAAAAAACACTGCACAATGGCAGAAACCTCCTAGCAACTAGAAAATTCTACAAGTAAATGCAGGCAGATAACACATTCAGTGTATTACCCTCTCAAACTTGAAAACTGGGAATGACAATATTGGATGTTCCCAACCATGTAAGATGTGCAAAAAGGATAGATTGAAGCAGAATACCCGAAGTCTGGAATAAACAATACTGACAAAGTTCAATCAAAGAGCGATAGCTTCATGATCTAGCCACAAACACATTGGTCTGATAAATTAAAATGTCCTCAAAAAGTCCAACATGTCACTAAATAGAAAAGGAAAACATTAAATTAATAACACCAGTAACACACCCCACTGTCAAGAAAGAACTAAAAGGGACTTGGAAAATCATGCAACCAACTTATCTAATTATTTCAGAAGACCCAGGACTTACATTGGTATGAAAGAACAAGAAACTCATCCTGATTGTCAGGGTGCTGACATTAATTTAACAACCAAAAACATAGGGAATAGAAACCTCAGAAACAAAATGTCGTGTATACATGCCACAAAAGGTAAGAGGTTTTCCTTTCAATAAATGAAAATGGAGGCAAATCCAACAAAGTTTAGGTTGTCTTTTCCACAATTCAGATTCAATGTAACATTCATTCCATCTCTTGATGAATGGTGAGAGAAAATATATATTGATTTGGAAACAGGGAATCAGAATTCAAATATAGAAACAATTCCCACTTCCCAGGATCCGAGTCCACCTCAATCACCCCAATAAGTCTAAAGCCACAAAACTACCGCCATTTCAAGATAGGAATCGAAGAAAAGATACAGTTGAAACTGCCGGCCTCCTATGCATCGATTCCTCAGACAAGAAATTCAGCAGTAAACAAAAGAGGCATAAAAATCAACCAAAAGAAAGACAATCCAACCTCTTAATCGCGCAAATCTGGATCTCAGGAATTCACGGGTATCCAAAAATTGAAGCTTCCTCAACTAATCCTAAACTAAAGACTCCATCTTTTATAGATCACTGATACTGTACTGTCGCCAAAATGACAATTACACCCAACCCACGAAACAACGTGCGACAGCGGCACAATCACGCGAGGAGACAGTTAGGAAATGAATAAACAAATCGCAAAACTACAATGAACACAAAATTATAAAAAAAGAAAAAGAAAAAAGCAGTTAGAAGATTAGGCGAAATTGCCCTAGCACATGACACAATCTGACTTTCAAAATTATCCAATCTGAGATTCATACAACTTTTTTTTTAAAAAAAAATATATACATCAATAATTCATTAACAACAATATCAACAGCGAAATCAAAAGCATTCAAGCTCAATCAATGAAATCATCCAAAAAAAAGGTTCGACTTTTTTCTTCGTACCGGTGTATATTTTCTTCGAAATGGATAAAATGGGGGAAGATGATGAAATTGCCTGTTAGAGAGAGAAAGTAATTGTGAGAGATGATTTATAGCGAGGGGAAAAATAGAAAAAGAAAAGTAATAAGGGGCCTAGGAAAATAATAAGCTAAGGTTACGGGGAGTTCGAGGGAATTAAGAAATGTAAGCGCGGGCAAATCCATTTCTACTTTTATTTTTTCCCTATTTTTATTTTTTAATCATAAATAAAGATATTAAAAATTAAAAAGAACAATAAAGAAAAAAAAAAGGCGTAGGGAATATGTCACAGAATAATGGTGAGCCGTAGCAAAAAGTGAGGAGGATTCGTCGAGTTATTTCTACGCCACTCTCTCTCACTCTCTCTTTCTCTTCTCTCTGGACACCCACATTGGCAGGGAAAGCGATGGGTATCTTTCCTTGTGCCAGTTTCACGCTCTGTGGGAGAGTTTGGCGTGCACGTGAAGTGGGCAGGGTGTAAAAGATTTAATTTGAACTTTTACTTTTAATAATTCAATTAAAACTAAGAATCTAAACAACAAAAACCTATCATTTCGGGACGGAACGAATATTTTAATAGAACAAGCGAATGTTATCATCAAATTTACTAGAGTTGATGCATCGTTATTTGTAAATACAACACATACATTATGACATTTTTTTTTCCAATCTCTATATTTAGAAGTTATACATAGTAATTTTCACTATAAAAGATTTTGTACGCTAGTTATAATTTTGTATGTATACCATAATATGGAGCAATGATTATGTCGAAGTGTCAAAAAAATCTAAATATAAGTTATAACATGATACAATATCTAGTATATAAATGTCACGGTCAATATATATGTGATAAAATCATTATGTTGAATAAATTGAAGTAAATTTTTACTAAAGTTATAAGTTATTGATTTAAATAAAAAATATTAATTCAAATAGTTTTCTTAACGAAACAAATTCTTACTACATTACGTTATTTTTCTAAGTATCTTCATAATCTGAAGTAAACAAATATTGCAATTATTCTCAATACTAAAACATAAGCATAATTTACATCATCAAGGACTAATAATACAAGTATTAATAGTTCATACGTATAGTTTTTATTTTTATTTTTCATTTAGGGTGATTATTAATTAATAATTTTGTCGAGACCAATATCATTATCTTATTATTTTATTAATTTCTTATATCAGTTCCAAGTTAAGACAAGAAAATAATCAACACTCAAAATCATTTACTTATATACCTCTATTATAAAAATAAAATCTACTTTTATCCCAAAAAAATAGTCCAATTTTAGAAATACAAATCTTAAAATTAGATTTATGAGATTGGTATAACCTAAAATTGTTTATTAAATAGATAAATAGTCATAAAATTTTATTCAATTTTCATATCAACTTCTTAATTCACAATATTAAGCCATCTAGTTTTTATAGTTTAGTTTTTTAAATTGAACCATTTTTCTAGAACATGAAAATTTTGTTACATAAAATTTTAAATTTTGTACTAAAAACAACATAAATATGAAAAATTTAATATGGATTATTATTATTATTTTTTTTCAACATGGAGCTTGGGGAACCCTTGTAAGAAATATGGGTGGGGGAATAAGGAGCGTGGCGCAAAGCGACGCTGAGGGAGACGTGGTGTAGTTTTGGGATCGTGGTGACGTGATTGAAATTAGTTTTATCAACATGGAGAAGCGTGAGGATGACTACATTGTGTTTAACGCTGTCGTCATTTCACTCCATTTTTCTTTCTTTCTTTTTTTTTTTAAAAAAAATTATGCTTGGATTGGTAAATTATTGTAAATGCTGACAAATAATTCAAAACATAGTTCGAGTAAAAATTAGAAATTTTGAAATAAGTATGTTTAGGTCTTCAGATTATGTTTCCTGATGATGAGGATATAAAACTTTGTTATAAATAATAAGCCCTTAATTGTTAGTATATTTATTAAATACTCCTTCCGGTCTTAATATAAAGTTTTTTTTTTGTCCTAAATTCACTTAATACGTATTTTTAATTAATAAAAAAATCTTAAAAATACTTCGTAACAACCAAGAGAATATAACGAATGTGACAATATATTTTTGAGATTTTTTTCGACTAAAAATATATCTTAGGTGAAATTTATGACAAATCAAAATGACTTATATATTTGAACCGAATGGAGTACCCCGTGCGTCATTTTAATTGTCTAACTTTGAAAATAAATTTCAAAAATTAAATTAATAATATGATTAAATGGACTAAGTATCATTTTCTCACGATATTTAGACAATAAAAATATATCATTACTAGTATAATAATTTTCAAATAATTAATTGCAAGAATTGGATTACTGAAATGCGACCAACAATGTAATAATTAATTTTGTTAAGTTGTTGGAGACTTTTTGAGGAGGAAAAAAGAGTATGAAATGAAGGTTTATTCCGGCTTACGCCATACGCCACATGACAAACTAATCTTCAACAGTAATGTTCAAAATTTGAAATCATGAATTGGAATATATGTGATTCGGTTGAGTCCGTTTTAATGGCAGAAAATTGCACAATTTTGTCAATTATGACTTCTTTGATATCAATTATATTTTAGTTGAGTGATCAAGAAATTATTAGGCTATTTATAGAAGGTTGAGGTGACTCAAGTGTGACGTGAGACGAATTTTGTGACGGATTACTTTGTAGCACTAATGGTTCATGATGTTAATTTTAGGGATTTGTTTCACTATTATATGAATGAAGCATGATGCAGTAAAGATTACTAGTCCAAAAAATATTTTACGTTAGTGTTCTCCGGTTGTACTTCTTTCATAGCAACCAAAAAGAAAAGCCAAGAAACAAAATAAAGTAGTATTAACCCATAAAAGGCTAATTTTGATAAAATAGAACAAAATATTACCAAATAAAGTACAAAATGATTTATAATAATCCCAACCAAACAGACACTCAAAATTGCGCCTTAATACAAAGAGCATTATTGTTAAGAAATTTCTTTTTACATACTTAGCAAAAGCAATTGTTTGTGTTTAATATTAATTATATTAAGAAATACAGTTTGGAGGGGAAAAAGCAAGATTGCTGGTTAAGCACGGAACTCATTTAGGTGATTGTGTTGTGTATATATTGCTTCCAAATGACACTTGATTATACTTTGCTTTAACGACCGAGAGACCTGTAACGTGGCGGCCGAATATTTCAGACATCTTTTTTTATTCTTTACTCCGTAATTTTTCTTTTTATTATTGCTGCCTATTAAAAAAAAAAAAAGAAAGAAGAAAAACTCCAAAGCACTTGGTGAACTTCTGTAGTTTTAAGCATTTGCATCGTATATGAAAAATAAAAAAAATAAAATAAAAACGGTGCGAGTGGGGGTTTCATTCAACTGGAGAGCATAGGCTGCTGCCTGAATGAATGAATGTTACTGTATCTTACACGATGATGATTGAGACAGCAAGCCTATACTCTTTTCTTCTCCAGAGTACATTTCTGGAAGTGCTGAGATTATGTTCTCACTGTTTCATTGTACTATCATCTTGTAATAATAAGAGGTCATCCTAATTCGATTGACTGGGGAAAAAATTACTTGGTGAACTAAGAGCTTTTTACAAAATGCACAAATGTTAGGACTTAGGAGCTTAAGACCTCTCCAGAGTCATCTTGGATTGATCTGTGCCAATCGAAACTTGGAAAGATCTAGCACAAAAATGACCTGCTATTCTATTATTATAATAAAACACACCAGCAATTCCAGTTTTAGTATTCAATCCAGAATCTGCCTACAAGAGATGCAATCATAAATCATCTTATATGCTGCAGAGTGCACAATCTGCCTACTAAAGATGCAATCAGGAATCATCTTATATGCTGCAGAGTACCTACAAACTTATGCTATGAAATTCTGAATCAAGCTGCCATATAGATAATCATGTAATCTTCATCATAACTCATAAGCTCCCGGTTCCAAATCACTCAAATTTGTCACTTCTGGCTATCCTAAATATGAAGCTATGAGCAACATTTTCGCAGCCAACCCACTTAAGCAAAAGGTTAAACACCAATAACAACTAAATAGGGGTTAACTCTGAACCAGCAAATTCAGTGCGGTTACACAAGTATACACCGGGCTTACGAAAAGAGAAAAAACTGAAATGAAACTCAAAGAGACCACTAGAAGTTTATACATGTTAAGCAGTCATACATGGGGGAGGCTCGATTTAAATGGTATGCCTAGTCTAGGAGACCTTTGTTGTGTCATCTGCAGGTAAATCATCATCATCATGGTAGATGTTCTCGGCCATCTGCCATATTTGTAGTATGTTATCCTCAGCTACACTGGCCACAACCCAATCCTCACATGGATTCCATGAGAAATCTGAAACTTTACTCGTGTGTCCGCCATGAATGAAAAGTAACTCTGGAGGCCCGTCTTCCGCATCCTCTGGTGTCTGTTCCTCATCAATCCTGGGGAAGAGGAGAAAAAGTTTGTTTTAAAAACAAAGTTTATAAGTGGGGTCACGGGTGGATTTTATTTTATTTTATTTTATTTTATTAAAAAGGAGCTCTGTTCTTTAATTAAATAATATCCATTTTGATGAAACCATATTTCTCCCCATGGGCACCTTCGAAAGTACAATCCCATTGTATATAGTCGTATGTAAACCAAAAAAAAAAAGAAAAAAAGAAGAAGCTACTATTGCTAGTTCAAATATAAAGTACCTGCTGAGATCCCAGACCATCAATCTCCGACCAAGACAACAGGAAGCTAAGATAGTTTCATTCTTTGGGTTCCAACCCACTTGGAAAACCTCTTCCCTGTTGATAAAGCATCGCAAAAGTTAAGTTAATTAGACATAAATCCCTGACTACATCGTCTCTGCAATGGAAAATTTCTTTCACAGTCAAATGCCAACAAGGATACATTATTAGACGTAAGAAGGATTCTTACTTGTGACAATCAAAGGTATGAAGAGGTGCTGTAAGTTTACGCAAATCAAATAGCTTGACCGTCTTATCAGTAGATCCAGTTGCTATCACCCACTCATTGAAAGGATTGAATGCTAAACAGTTAACCTACAAAAAGTTCATGAGGTTCAATCTGTCACTGAATTCTAGTAAAGTTTGCTGACCCCAAAGCAGATGACTAGGAATTTCAAGAGAAAAAAGCTGTACTTCCACCCAACCACTCTTTTTCACTTATGAAATATATATGCTGAAAGGCTATCAATTCTCACGCACGGTAATGTATCTTATTAGTCAACTACTAATGCTAATGAACAAATTCATACAAAACAAAATCATTCAGCTCAAAATGTCCTTACAAATCTAATTTTTCGAAAAGCATGAGAAATTGTTGAATGCAAAATGCAAAATGCAAAAACAGCAATTTGAAGTAAAGCAAACAGCAAACACATCATTCATCAAGCACAACCTAAGTCATATGGTCAACTTTGTCATTTGTGAATCACTATGCAAAAATTTACACTTTCCAGAAAGTTTAACAACTCCTCTCCTCCATGTATCATGGTTTCCTTTTCCTCTTTTAGCTTTGCTAATGAATTAGTAAATAATGTCATAAGAACAAGTGACGAACACTTTCTTCCTTAAGTTTAGGAATAAAATTTATATCCCAAACGTAGCATATGGTTTCACTAGAAATGCTACAACAAGAAAAGAGTTTGGAAGAATAGAAGCTGCGAAGCAGCTAAAGAAACGTATAAACAAATTCCCACCTTAGAGAATCCAAAAAATCGTTCTCCATCCAAAACATAGTAAAGCCATGAGGAAAGTTACAAGACCTACCTCACTTTGGTGAGCAACAACGGACTGCATAGGCTTGCCAGCAGGAGAAGACCGGAGATCCCATATATGCAGATATTGATCATCTCCAACGGAGCCAAATAAATGTTCGTGCCTCAGATGCCATGCCACATCTTCAACAACACCTTCATGAATCTGTTTAAAAACAAACACCGTGTCATTGTAAGTTCGGCTAGAGTTTCAGAACAATATGCAATGCAACAATGGAAATCTGTTGGTCATAAACTCAATCATTACACGTTCTGCATTATTGAGACTATTATTGAGACTGAATCTAGACTGAAGATATCATCCTAGAAACCAACAATCAAATGCAGATACAAAAAAAAGAAAGAAAAAATTTACATTATACCCATTCCAACAGTATAATTTGCTTGTATAATATCAACTTACCAGTCCTCCATCCCCACCATCTCACCAATTTCACACTTCAAAAGCCAGAAAAGCCTCAACAACTGGAGTTTACTAGGGTACCATATATTTGACATGCTAAAGATAAAGAATGTACCTTAAATATCTGCATTGCATCCAGAGCCTTATTTTTTGGAGTTGCATTTATGTCCCACAAGCATATTTGGGCATCATCAGAACCACTCAATAAATGACCCTCCTTGAATTGACTCCACGATAAACCATATCCTTCAGTGCTATGTCCCCTCAGCCTCAAATCAGGATTGCATGCTCCATCCAGAGGAGGTTTTGATGGATGCTTGCTGTAATCAAAGACAAAAACCTCTGCACTGACTGTCTTTGTAGCAATAACAAAGGAATTTTGGGGCATATAACGAGCTCGGTTAACTTCTCCGTCATGATTTATTTGCTGGATGATTTGAACCTGAAATAAAATCGCACCAGGTTATGTGCCTGAAAATTTGCCACATGGAGCACAAAGAAATACCATATGCCAAAGCAGCCAAACAGTGCCGAAGATATAGGCTTCGGACATCAAACCATAGAAGAACAGAGATGCACAAATGACTAACACGATCAAAAACCAAAGAACCAAAAGCATTAGTGAACAAAAACAGAAGCAGATGCATAGATTTACCAAATTTACATTAAATATTTCTCCATCTATTAGATACAAAAGAAATGAAGCATCAAATCGGTATCATTTCAATAATAATTGTCATTCCCAAATTCTTCCCGTCTCCCTACATAAGCTTCACAGAACCAAAATCTAGATACCTAAACCAAACTTAATACTAAAAGAGGGGAAAATTAATAAATTCATCAGAATTTTGAATAACGAGTGGCCAGCTAGATTCAATTTTCCAAAACCCACAACAGTACAAGAAGTTCACAACACAGCTGACGACCTGAATAGTAGTATACAGTCACCCAGGCAAAAATGCACAAAGGAAGTAAAGACAATTCACCCCCAAAACCGGGAAAAAAAAAATAAACAAACCTTGCCATTGGCGCAGCCGAAGCCACCAAACTCAGAGCGATCGTCGTCGTAATGACGGGCGTCGTTTTCAGCATCCTCAAGAGGGAGCTGGACCTGGGCAAGCATGAGGTAATTGGGCTCGTTCTCAGAGGTGTGGGTCCCCAAAATCATTTTCTGAACGGAGTAATCTTTCCCCGGCGGCTCCTCCCGGTCGGGAAGCCACTCGACGGTGAGAGACGGCCATTCAAGGGCATGGGTTATGACCAAATCGTAGAGGAAGGGAGTGTTCTTCTTCCAGATTTTGTACTCCTCGTTGATTAGCCGCTCTTCAATTTCACCCCTCATCTCGTCCTCGTCTTTTCCCATTCCTTTTTGCCCTGAGAATTAAAAACAACTTATATATATATATAATAAAAACGGTAGTGGGTTTCCAGTGAATTCTCTTCCTGGGGACTCAAAACGATAAAATCTATGGGGGATTTTTTTAGCGGGAAAGAGGTAAAGAAATTGGGGGCGGATTTTTATTTTCTGGGCAGAGGAACTGAAAGAGGCAAAAAGAGTGACGAGGGTTAAGGGGGTTTTTGGAGGGATCTGTGTATTTATTCCGCCCCTTCCACTCGGCTTTCTTCCTACTACTTCTTTGTTGACTTCTTTTTCTTTTTATTTTTATTTTTATTTTGGGGGGGAATTCTATGGAGAATTGGAGGGAAAAGCACCAAATTTTACTCCCATGTCCCAAATCTACAACATTTTTTTCTCCTAGAGAGAAAAGGATTTTTAATCATTTCAGTATGTGTATATATTTTCCAACATTTGTGAGATTATATATATATATATTTATATTTTCAGTACAAAGAAGGAAATTATAGCCACAAAGTTAAATTTTATACCAAAAGGCAGGTTATGTAAACTTTATTTTTTTTTTTACATATTGGCAGGGTGTCCAATTTTACATTAGAAGGCGAGTTATGAAAATAAACTTTTTTATTTTTTTTTAACACATTTGCAGGGTGTCCAATTTTACACCAGAAGGCAACTTTTTTTTTTTTTTTTTTTGCATAACCACAACCATCACAGCCACTTTGGTTAAAGTAAATTTTTATTGATTATCTGAAAAAGCATTTCTGAACTATGCATTTCACATGGATCACGTACACAGAGTAAATAATAAGGGAAGCCCACTCCGATGAGCAAGAAACCAAAGGCCCAACACAATTTCAAAGTGTTTTCTTTTGTTTCTTTTAAAAATCTGAAAATGCGCCACGTACCATATTGGTAGCTAATGGGCGGGAAACCTATACGGCACACACTCTCTCACACACACTCACGCACTAAATCAGTCACAGACTCACTGAACAGTGAGAGAGAAAAAGTGACCCCAAATTTGAACCTTCCGCCACGATGAGAAACGCCGGCCGCCGCCGTGCGAATGACTCACTAGCTCCCGAAAGGAGACCTCCGCCGCCCACGCCGACCAGCGTCGCCGGCACCCCCGGCGACCCATGGCATTTCCTCTCCACCGGCCGCGATTCAGACGCTAGCTTTGCCAGCACTCGCCCCTCCTCCTCCTCCATCGGCATAAACCCTCGCTCGTCGATGGTCCCAATCACTGACAAATCCTACCAAGTCTCTGCAATACGGACTATCAACGCCTACCTCTCCTCCCATTCTTTCCCTGTAACCCTAAAGCCCCCTTTGCCTTCTGCCAAAGACATCATGGAAACCCTAAAATTCATTCTCTCTCGCTTGGGTTTCACCGCATCCAAAATAGAGGATGACCTCCAAATTGTGTTAAAAACCCTAAACTCCCCTGTGAAATTGAACAAATCCGCCCTTCGAGCTCCTGGTACGCCTCATTCATGGCCTAGTTTACTTGCAGTTATTCACTGGCTGGTTCAGGTTAATTTGCACGACGATCACTTATTGAGTGTTAAGCAAACAAGATCCAATTTTGAGCACAATGATATGTTCCAGTACTCGTGTGACAGCTATTTGTTCTACATTCGCGGGGATGATGCCTCGGTCGAGGCCTTGGATGATGAGAATATGAAGAAATTGATCAGTGCGAAAGAGGAAGTAGCTGAAGTTTTGAAGAATTTGGAGGAGACTGTGAAGGACTCGGAGAAGAAATTGGAGGGATTCAAGACAGGGCCCAGTGAGAGGGAGAAACTCGAGAAGGAGAAAAGCCTGTTGGAGGAAGATGTGAAGAAGTTTCATGACATGATTGAGCAGTTGGATGGGCATATGGTCTCTGTAGAGAAGCTTTTGGATGAGAAGGAGAAGGAGTTGGAAACTAAAATTTTGGAGAGCAAAAAGGTTAAGGAGGAAAATGAGGAATTGAAGAGAAGAATCGAGGAGCAGGGAATTAATGCCTATGATGCAGAGAGGATGAGGAAGGAGTTAATGGCCGTAGAACGGGATATTGCAGAGACTGAAGATGCCAGAAACGGATGGGAGGAGAAGACTTGGGATCTAGATTCTCAAATTGGGCATAAGCTTCAGGAGCTTGAGGGACAGATAATTGAGTGCAATCAAGCTATGCGGAGGTATTTTATATTTTTATAATTTGTTTTTGTTTTTTCTTTTTTGGTATGAATCTCATTAGTTTTTCGTGGCTTTAATGTGATTAACCTTTATGCTGTCTAGGTTAAAGCTAGGGAATGAATATCAGTATCATCTGAATCCAAAAGGATCAACACCTAGTGAGGTGTTAAGTTTGGATTACAAGTCAACCATCAAGCCAGCACTTGCATCTTTTGAAGATAACATAAAGAAAGGTTCAATGCACAAATTGGAAGAGTTGATATCCCTTCGACAGCAATCAGCTGAGAATGAAGCTAAAATAGAGGCTAAAAGGAACAAAACTGCAGCTCTTATTTCCCATATTGTAGAGGTTATAATGCATTTTTCTAGATTTATCAAAGTTGCCATTTCACCGATGCTTTATCTTCATCAACTTCATAGATAACAGGTTTGGTTAATTTTGCCTGATTGTTTCTGAAGAAGCTTACTGATTACCAGCCAAAAAACAAGAAAAAAATAGATTGAATGTGATAAATACATGCGCGTTATTAAAATACTACCTTTGGTTTTTCTGAAGAGAAATAACAGTTAGTTATATGTTTTCTGTACGTCCTTGGTTGGCTTGTCATTGAAATACCTAAGGACGAAAAAAAAGTTTTGAAAAATGGTTTTGGTGGACAAATCTGTTTCAAGCAATTATGTAATCATTACCTTCTTAGGTTAGTAACAATATTTTTGTGGTGTTGATATGGATATAGACTTTTGAGAAGTATTGGACTCAGATTGTGTCCTGCTCTGGTCCTTGAAAGTCATGCAGTGATTTCAGCAGTTATTGTCTCTGTACAAAATTAGTATTCCTGTTTGGTTGTTTAGGATCCGGATGACTTGTATCAGTCTTAGAGAGATGAAACAGACTATGACTTTTATGTTTGGAACTGTCCAGGTTGAGGTTCGTTTGAATACGGTTAAGAAGGAAAGCCAGGATTATACTGCAAGATGTGCATCTGAAGCTAGAAAGCTGCTTGAGGAAGTCGAAGCAGAAGCACGGAATCTGGAAATTGTTGAAAAAGAAGCTACCGAAATGATCAAGGTATCTTTAAACAGTTGTTGATTAGTAGTTTTGTTCTTGACATTCAAGAATTGGTATTTGTTTCTACTGTCTTATGCATCTCTGTATTGATCACTGCTCTCCTTAGTAAGTAGAAGTTGGTAGCGAATAATGCAATGCTGGAGCCTTTGGTGTCACAGTTATTTTCTTTTCCAATTTAACACGTCAGGCTAGTTACTATAACTTGGGGGTGCGGCATTAGATGACTGGGTATTCATTTTGTTGTATCCTTGCTTTCCTTTTAGGCATCTAAGTTGAAGCTCCGGGAAGTTATGAAGCACACCGATGAGGAAATTCAATTATGTGCTCGTGAACTCTTTATGTTGATTGATTCAGTTTCTAAGAATAAGGAGTACATGAAATCAAAAATTGTAGACATGAAAAAGGATCTCCTAGAAACGACAGGGGCCATAGCAGATGTTCACAGAGGTTCTTTTTCGGCAACGTTGGGGCATGTGTCTGCAGGCAGCCATTGATGATGATGTGCATATGGTGGCAATTGAACAAGCTTGTTGTTTTAATGTGAATACTGTAGGGTTTCTGTAATTTATCTGTGCTTTGTGTCTTCCTTTTTGCTGTGAATGGATTATGCATTGATGAAGAGTAAAGTTTCTTACAGTTGTTATTTTTGTTATTATTATTATTATTTTTTCTTGATTTACTGGAAATCGAGATTTTTAAGTGACTGACGGTTCCAAATTATAGTACTGCACTTGTCTAACAAGCTGTGAAAATTGTTTATTATTTGAAGGGTAAATTCCTTGAATTTTCTCTTCCAAGGAAAAAGGAAACTCTGGATAGTAGAAATTTTCCATATTAAATCTTTGGGTTGGCCGGATCCATATTAATCAGGGTTTTGCCAGCGAACACCCTCCTCCTCCAGACGTTCCCGGTGCCAGGACAACTAACACCGCTGCAGGTAGAAATACAATAAGATCAAGACCACGGGTGATACGACTAGAATGCAGTATTATTGGAAACGTGCTGCTGCTTGCGAATTCTCTTGCATTCTTCTGTTAGTTGATCGTTACCAGTATATTGAACACCAATAAGACTGTAGGAATCGGTATCTCGGTTCCGAATTTGACCATCTCCAACAATCAAATTTCGGGTGATTGGACAATCGGATTGACCCTCGTAAATCCATATCCCCATGTTGCTGTTATATATGACTTCCACCCGATTGTTATTTACACTAATACGACCACTGAACCTTATAATCATCTTTCCTCTGGAGTGAAGAACAATGTTGTTCAAAACCGGAAAAACCAAACAATAACTACCTCCGAACCACAACCCGGTTGCTGGATTTGACTGATGCTAAGGTTGGTGATTCCATGATTCGAGACCTAACTACCGATGGGGTTATTGCGTTTGACATTGAGCTGCGGGTTCGTTATGAATTAGTTTACCATTTCCACAAGAATCGTGTTAAGTCGGTTCTTGCGGGCTGTCAAGGTATCAAGGTTCTGATCAAACCACCAAAATCAACGCCAACTAGTGTACGGGAAATGCTACCACCATTCCTGTTTTAGAGTTTTATGACTCAGATTTTTTACATTGTCGGTTGCTAGTGAATTCAGTTAGGCTTTAATTTATTTGCGGATCTCTTCTTATTGAGTTCATAATACGTCCGTTTCCTCTGACATTCGGTTCTTGTTCAGTTGTTGCAAGACAATAACAAAAATTGTGTAATTTTTACTCTAAACTAAGTTGAGCTATCAAACCACTCTCTATTTACAGTCAGTGGGACAAACACAAAACAATCAAATGCCGAATGGTGACACTACCGGCCACCCGAAAAGATTTATAAGTCAAGCACTCAAGCAGCGTAGCTTTCCCTACATGATTTACAGTTAACAATGACTAAAAATTAACCTAAACCAGATGACCCAATTTTGAGTACCATCCTAAGAAGCGCTGGATCTGGAGTTACAAGCCTATGCCCAACACTTGCGAGTCGGCGAGGTGAGGCTGCATGTGGTCTAAAATTTATCTTTACATTGAACACCGGAAAAAAATCTCGGAATGGAGAGATGAAAGAATAGGAACCTGTGGCATTTTCCTTGAAAACATTGTGTGTCTGATGAGGCAGAAAAAGTAAAAGACACGGATTCCTGCAAAGTAAGGAAGTAAACTCTCACCACTGAAACAGTAAAAGATAACTGAATTGTATGCAATACACAAACACACACATAGAGAGAAAGAGAGATAGACAAAATTTAAAAACAATAAGGATGTATATGCACGTGAAACAAGATAAGGGATAGGAGTCAAATAATTCTTTAACAAAATTACCATTCCTTTCTTCATAAAATATTGCTTTGAACGATGTTATCAGCATATTCAATGGGAATAATTAACTTTGAGTATCCTATGAAATATAAAATATTTTTATTTAAGATCATAAAAGATGTTTACTTCTAGAAGGGAAGTAACATCTTCCAGGAATCAGAACCTAATATGACTCTCGATTCAGTTGATTTGATGTAGTAACTGAATGTTGAAAAAAAAGCTTGATGAGGCTTCAACAAAGAAGGGCAGTGCTCACCTTTCTAAGATTAGCAAAAGTTAGCTTTGTGAAGTGCTTTTCATGGCCTTGGAGATACAGGGCTTCGGAATGTCAATGATGGCTTCTTAACAAATGGATGATCCAATAATTCAGCTGCAGTAGGTCGTGCAGCAGGATTGACTTGAAAACATTTGAGTAGAAAATCCTGAGCTTCTGTTGATAATGAATTAGGAATTTGAGGAGGTTCACCCCTGCCAATTCTGAACAATGCTTGCATCTGAACCAAAGAGCAGCAGATTAAAAAAAAATAATAAAAAAAAAAAAAAAAAGATACCACTTAGAGCTTTGATACACTAAATATGACAGACACCTGATCCAGAGTACTAAAACTCAGGTCCAATCAATTACTGATGATATTACTTGAGTTTCTAGTACGCATTCTTAATATATTATCACATATGATTCAAGGTGTTTCATGCACAATTACAATTATGACCTGACACCAGATGTAGAGCATTACAGATCAGGCCCAATCAATTACTAACATCTCTTATACTTCTAATATGCAATTATATCACAGATGGTGTTCTGTGTTTTATGGACATGTCTTAAAAAGATACATTTTTGCATTTTATCCAGCAGCATCGGGAGGAAAATCTTGCAAATGCCTCTGCCAAGACAAGAAACTAAATATTTAGATAGGCAAGTGAAAAGTAGATACCCCTTCCAGATGCGAGTATGGAATTCGACCAGTTAACATCTCCAAAACTGTGCACCCAAGGCTCCATATATCAGCAGCAGGTCCATACCCATTAGTTTTTCCATTCACAACCTGACAAGAGACATGGAGATTCACACTACAGAAAGCGTCGATATTCCTCTAAACATTGAGAGTATGAAATTTCACTTCAGTCTGATAGCACATAAGGAATGAAAGTATGAAACTACAACAAACAACAGCAATAGCAGCATAGCCACTATTTTCCAAGAACAAACAAATTGTAAAATACCGTTTAGTAAGTTTTTAGAGGGATTACGTAGAAAAGTGTATCCTGGAACATATCCAAGATCCTCATCAAGTAAAGAAAAATAAATTATAGTACTAGGTTTTTTTCTCCAAAATATTGCGGTTGGTTGCTGCTAACGTTGTTCTTATTAAAATGTAGTTGGAATCCGAACCTTACATTACGCTGCAGCTCCACAAAAATTCAAATTTAACTCCAGCTAATACAAGTAAATTAACAGAGTGGAAACAAAATTTTGCAGTTATATAAAACATACTCGTATAATTGAAAGAAAGGAAACCAACATAGAGTATAGCTCTTTTATGTGCCCTTTTGTAGGCAAGGACCCAATTTGAAATGTAATATATATCTCAGTTTGTGTCATTAATTTTGAGCACGAGTCTCTGCAGTTTGCCCTACTCCAGAATAATCCATTGGGCTACAAATCTATAAAGAGAAAGGAAAAAGAGAATTTTGACAATACCTCTGGAGCCATCCAAAATGCAGTCCCTTTGCAGGATTTGATGTCATTCAATGTAGTGGCCTGAAGAGAATGGGAAGAATGGTTATTCATCATAAAAATGCAACAATCAACTAAAAGAGCAGCGACAGAAACCAACCTTTGCCAACCCAAAATCTGCAAGTTTCACTGATCCACTAACGTGAACCAATATATTGGCACATTTAATATCCCTACGAACAGAAAGAAAAGAATATTAGTCTCATAAGTGGGATGAATCCAGATTATTTAACTTAGATCTCAAGTTCTCATATTAATTTGAACAAACAGGAAGATATTTCTTTTACCCTACATAAAGTTTTGAGCCTTAAATCCATCATAGTCGACAATATTGTACAAGATTCCCAAGTTTAAAAACCAAATTATGCAACTTTTTTGTTGTCTTTCCTATTTTAAGGCCAGTTAGATTTTAAGTCAATTTTCCAATGACAAAGACAACCTTTAACCTAATCAGCGACTGAGGTGCCTGCAATGCCAAATCACTGGAATAAGGAAATGAAGGAAACTTTTTCCAAAACAATGATGTAGTATCCAGACTTTTGGTATTTAACTATTTAATGAATTAACAATGGAAAATCATTTGCATTCACCTGTGGACCACATTTCTTTTATGAAGATAATCTAATCCGCTCAATATTTGCCTTGTGTAAACAGATACTATAGAATCCCGCAGCGTGTATTTTTGGTAGAGACTTAAAAGAGAGCCCTTAGTGACAAGCTCTAAAAATATGTAGAGTTTGCTGTCATCCTGGAAAAAATAAACTCAAGTTCAAGTTCCAGAAGTGCAATGGAATCAAAAAAATGATAACCATAAAAAGACCAAAGAAAACAGCAAACTGAGCATCAGAAGCATACCTTCTCGGTACCATGATACCGTACGATATTTTCGTGCTGGAATTGGCTTAAAAGAGAAATTTCCTGAATCAACAACAAGAGATTTAGGTTTAGGGAGAGAACAATGAATGGAATTCCTCGTAAACACAAATACCACCCACATTCACCTAGGTTCAAATGGAGCAAACAAATAAAATATGTGAACCAAACATAGAATGTTAATTTGCCTACCTGTTCAAGTTGATAAATGCTTTGCCTGCCTTGGCTTCCTTGATCAAGTAAAGAAACCTCCTTGACAGCAAAGAAGAACCCATCACTGCAGAGTGAACAAAAAGCCATATATCAGTACTTTATTAGTTACCAAAAGCGTTCAGTATAACAAGGTATTAAGAACACGCATAGAGTTATGAGCATTGTAACACAACAGGGAGGACAGAAGGTAAGCATTGGAGGCGACGAAAACATACAAATGAATAAGATCATCGCCATAAAAAAGAACTCTTACTCGGTAAAACCTTCATAAACAGTTCCAAAGGAACCACTTCCAAGGAAGTCTCCCTTTTGCCAAGAAGTGATTCTGCGCCTGGATGTAACAGTGGGTGAAACGCTATACACAGCTTCCGCCAAATTAACTGAATTATCATCAGTATCACCCTCATCGTTTGATGATTCAGAACAAGATTCTGAAACCGCGGCAGTATGATTTTCCACCTCCTCCACGTCATTTCCTTCTCTACTATGACTAGATTCATTTGACTCCTCATCAACCGGAGGACCAAAATCCCTAAATATATCCCAAGTTGAACTCACATAATCCGCCGGCCTCTGGGTACTCACCGGCGGAGGAGCCAATTTAGAGGGCCTAAAACCTCTAATGCCTTCCCGATGCAATTCATCCACACGAAACTCATCCTTATCAATTTCAACAACTTTTACATCACCCCTCAACTCAGCCGTGTCCCCATCATCGTCCCTAACCGTAACCCTAGCCGCAAAACTATCCGACAGCTTCGGACTGTCAGCCAAATTCGCGCCCCCAAAATTATTCCGTAGCCTGGAACTCCTGAAATCAGCTGAAGGAGACGAAGTTTTACTGGCTTCCCAGGCGGCAAGAGGAATAGAGAAGTCCTCCGGTCCAGAAAGCCCTAAAGACCGGCAAATGAGATCAAACTCTCCATCAACCCCTTCGACTCTGAAGCTAGATAAATGATCTAGAGATTGAAGCCGTCGATGTAACGATGAAGAGGAATCCTCAAACGAAGACGACGAGGTGGACGGAGAATCTGAGGCTTCGTAGTTAATGTTATTATTGGCGTTCCGGCGGTCAAGCCTGGGCCTACTATTTCTCTTCAGCTTCGCATAATTCATCATCTTTCATAATTTCATGAAATTAAAGCCTCCACCACACAGCGGATTAACAGTAAAAAAAAAAAATCAATAGCTCTGAACGGAAGATATTTAGTGAAAATGACAACGAGAAAGTCCTCTCTTTCCGTCGAGGAAGATATTCAGAAGACACGGCGGCGAAGACGACGACTCGGGGGAAATGGCAGCTACGCGCCTTACGCCTCTGCTTACGTTTGCTTGAATGACCTTTATTTTGGCACTTTTAACAGTTTTTTTAATAAAAGAAAAAAAAAATTAAAAAAAGGAGGGAAAAACAATGAAAAGAAAGTTGAAGACTTGGAAGCGATTCAGTTGGTGCCACGTGGAAGCTTTTGAAGTGAAAAGATAATAAACAGCATGTTTTGGTGCCTCTTTTTTCTTTTTCTGTTTTCTTACAGTGATGACTGATGAGTCAGTAGAAATGTAAAAGCTTTTTTTTTCCCCCAAAAAAATGGTAATTATGTTTTTATAGAAAATTTGATGGCTATAAACCGAGTCCAGATCGTCTGTCCCGCCTTCCTCTGTCTTACCCTGTCTAGGGCTCCAACGACGTCGCTTCACAGTAAAAAGATTGATTGCATTTATCCTTTTGTTTTTTTTTTCAGTCTTCTACATCAAAAATATTTCTTCAATACCCTTTTGCTAGTGTAGTTAACCGCCGACTGACACTTTTCACCCTTCTCTTCAATTGATCGGTGCGGATTTCAGAACTTTCTAGTGTTTAAATTAAGATTTTAAAGTGGGGAGTCGCATAACCCGACCAATTTTGAGTTCGGGAGAAGGTTTGATTATGTTTCATTTGTTTTTGGTTTAAGGTCTAATGATATATCCCTTTCGATTAATTCTAAATGGGAAGGCTGAGATTCACGAGAGATCTTTTGGCTTCGTCGATTTTAAAAAATTGTGACTTTGTGGTATTTTTGTAAATTTGGAGGTTTTGGCTATTATTTCGGATTGAAAACTGCATTAGGTTGCTTCAGCTTAAAATTTTTAGATATGTTTATGAATTTCTTTGTTCGGTTGGTTTTGATTCTTACGCTGCTCGGAATCAGTCTGAGAGATTGAAAAGGAAAAATTCCAGAAATTAGAGATGGGTTTGAAGACAATAAAAGAAATACTAAGTTAATCTTTTAAGACTGTGAAAAATACTTTAACAAACTTCAACAAAACCTGAGTAAAGATGAAATTCTTATACGCTGAAATAGAATTCGAATCTGGATGAGAAACATCTGCCGCGCTAGTAACATATCCGGAAAGAGAGATGATGCAAAAGTCAATGAATATATATGGTTGAGGAGGTTCAGAGAAGGGAGTTTGGGTGGGCAAGCTTTTTTTTTTGGTTGCGAAACGGCACCATTTAATCTCCTAGACAGAGTAAGACAGATGAAGGGTGGACAGACGATCTGGACTCAAACCCTATCAACCTACAATTATGTCTTTGTGTTAACCACATTGGAAGTTACAATCCGAAAAATGAAAAATTAGAGTTGTGAAAATTGACAAAATGCAATTTTATTTTATTTTTGTAAAGTATTACAACCATAAATTTGATATAAGTACATTATGTTTGTATTTTTTTTTCACGTTGCTCAGTTAATACAACTACTAAATCATAAACTACACATTACATACCCAATTATATTTATAATTTAAATATGGTTTGATAAATTAAATTATGGCTAAAAATTATTGGTTTATGTAATTCCTAAATTAACATGTTTGATAATGAAAACTTACGTAGTTTACTTATTTGATTGTATAAGCACTACTAATACTACAATACAAATACAAAAATTAAGATCTAACTTAATGATTGTTAACAATTACTCTCATCCATCTTCGTCTAAGTATTTTATATTATTAAATTTCAAAATACATGTAGGGTAGTTAACTATTAATAAACTATTTTCTAAGAGCTTGTTTGATAAACCCACTCAATTCTTAAAATTATTAGATTAAGCACTTTTTCATTTTAGCGTATTTGATAACAAAAAAATGAACATCTTAATAAATTAAGTGGTGCTCAAACTCCAGTACAAAATATAATAAATAAAAGTTAGCTTATTGCTTATTCCCTAACAGCTTAATAAATTCAACAATTCTAATTCAATATTAAGCATTCATAATTAAGCACTAATTTTTATTTTTACAACTTGTTTTAGTCAAATAAATACTTGTTGCTATTACCTCTAAAGTTCTTAATTTTTCCATGAACAAAAATTAATTTCCTAAAATTATTTATTTATTTCATAAATTTAAATTTTTGATTATATTGCAAAAGGCATAAATTTAATACTTTAGAATTTACCTCATTCCATTTTATTAAAAAGGATGCCGCATTGATGTTAATTAACTATTTTACAATATAGACTAATTTGATAGTGTTTATTTTAAGCTCAATTATCTTGTGATTGTTGTATAATTGGAAGAAAAAATTTAAAATATGCTTATTAAAAAAATATAAAAGGTTAAATTGGTACAGTTTTTCAATTCACCATTTATATGAGTATTCTTATCGAAAATATGGTTACATAAGCATTTTGTTTCAGACATTAAAATTTTAAAATTAAACATTTAGAGTAGCTGTATAATGAATTAAACATTTCTATTTTGACATTTAAGATTTATAATCAAGTGTTAAATTTAACGTGCTGTTGTGTGTGATTGTGTTATGTATGGTCCGTATGTGTGTTTTAAGGGTCTCAGACTCTCGATGAATATGTCAATAGACTGCCTAATACTTCACTTTTTTTTTTTTTATTATTTAGGTTCAATGTGTTAATAGAAATAAACTAAATGTTTGTGATAAATTTTAGAATTTAGACCAAACAAAAGTCTAGAATTCCATTCCATAGCATATTCACATAAGCAACTTTGTGGCTGGAATATCCAAGTCCCAAGTGTACTGCTACTCGTGTGCACTTGACTATGCAAATTAATAACAAGAATAAAAAAAAAATTCACAACACGATGCTATTTTTTAAGGCACAACACTAGAACATATATTAGTTGTATCAAAATGACAAAAATTATTGTTTACACTAGATATCTTTTACATAGGCATACCATTTTCATATAATACTTACTGTGGTCCAATAAAAAATAATGTACGCATTCAAATGAAACGACTATATTAATTAGTGAAGGTATTCATAGATTGTGAATTTCTCAAAGAAAATCTTCGAGACCATCCAATACCGGTGGAGGCTCAAACCGTCATTACATTATTACTTTCAGTTATTAGTTTTTTTGATTATTGTAAATTGATTAAAGTTAATGGAAACGATGAAGTGGATATGCACAATCTAGCTTATCACATAGTACTTTGTAATAGATTAGGTCTTCCTATCTAATATTCTTCAAAAAATAAAAATAAAAATTAATTAGTGCACGCATGTCATTAATCTGCTATCTATTAATATATTACTATCTTCGTTTTTAAAAAATAAAATAATAATCTATACTGATCTAATATTTGAAGTATTTTTAGTTTAAATATCAAAGCTCAATGTTTTATTTTAAAACATAAGATATATTTTATCTTCACATCCACTTAGCTAATAGGTTTGGATATTTCTAAAAATAAATGATTTTCACAACAATATTACAATGAACAACGAGAGACTTGATCGAGTTACGACAAATGAACTGTAAAACAAAATCGCTACACTTTATCATAAAAAAGTTACTACGAGTGCTAACGAGTAACCACAAACTTTTCCTCATAATGTGGATTAATACAATAAATCATTAGGAAAATCAGCAGTTGTGAAACTTGTTGGTACAACATCTAGCAAGGGAGAGAGTGATTTCAACTGGTAAAAGAGGTTAAATGATGAAATAAAACAAATCATCTTCTCATGGACAAATTGCACAAAGAAAAAAAAAAACTCAATTCGTGGTTATTTGCAATTAGTTGTGTAAATTGGATTGTATATTTACTTCAAAAAGTAATACTCATTCGTCTCAAAAAATAATTATTTAGATTTTCATTTTTAATTCAAATTATAATATAAAATTGAACAATAATTTTAGAATATATAAAATAGTTAATATATTGTTTTACATCTATGATGTGGAATAATGTAACCATACACTAATAACGTTGTCCAAACAAAAATAAAAAAATACGTGACTCGAAAGACACAATACAAAAAAAAAAAAAAACAAAAAAATAAGAATACGAACGCTCAAGAACCCAAAGTCATGGTTGGAAAAGCGTTGGAACTTTCAAACTCCAAAATACTGATAAAGAATTCCCTAAAGAAATCAAACAAATGGATGCCAACTGCAAAGAATTACTGTGCGGGAACAATTTTACGTACCCCAAGCAGCAAAGTAAAATTGGTCAAGATGAGGTTAAAAAATCACGACTATGGAGGGGAAAAAACCATTAATTATATTTTTACCATTATATTTTCACTTTTTTCTTACTGTTATTATTTTTAAACATTATCAATTAAGAATATAATATATACTATGAAAATGAATAACGAAATGATATAGTGATTGATATAACATTTATGTATTTATTTAACCATCCTTTATTATATTGACAATTATGAATTTAGTAGGACGATATCTTTCTTTTTGTAAGAGTAACTATTCCGTTCCGCTATATATAGTCATTATTGCTCAATTGATTATTAGCACCAAACAATTTAACAGTACTATCGAATAATCCCACACTAACCAACCAGTTAGGCGGTATCTTATAAAAAAGCAATAATGTTTTCAGAAAAATAGAAATAAAATGAAATAATTGTTCTAAAATCACATGTTGGAAAACTAAAATGTTGTTTCGGGGTAAAAAAGAGTGCTCCTGATTCAAAGGAATTCAAAACCGTTTACAATTGAATTTCCCTTCTGGAAATTAAACATTTTAATAATATATATAAAAAAATAAAATAACAAAAAACACATCACTGTCTTTTAATCTCCGCTCCTTCTCTGTATCACACAAATACTTACAGAAAAATAAAAATACGCAGAGATAAAAAAAAAAAGGAAGAAAAAGAAATAAAAAATCTTCGTCTTCCCCGAAACACAAAAAAAGCCCAGCAGGCGTTTCTTTCTTTCTTTCACCCTTTCGCTGCCGTTTTCGTACTTCCAACAATAAAACTTCCTCCTTCAAAAATCAAGAACAGCGTTAATCAGTTTCCCAGTCGTTTCATCTTCTTTTCCCGTCAAAAACGACCGGACGGACTTCTGGTTGTGGGGGCTCTTTTTTCTGGTATTCTAGAAATTTCCGAAGGCTGAACCCGGAGGAAAAAAGAAAATAGAGAAATAAGGAAAAAGAAAAGTAATTAAACCAATTAAGGCGGCGTTCGCCGTGGGCCAAAACGGCGTAGTAGTGTTGTGGGTTGCCAGGACTTTTTGGGGGGTTTATACATAATAATACATATATATCGTTTCTCCATTATCAACAATCCGGCGGTTACCTATCTGCGAATTTCTCTCTGGCCTGTTCTTGCAAACTGGTAATCGACTGCACTGTTGTTGCACTTAGGGTTTTTTGTTTTGGTGTTGGTTTTAGGGTATTAAATTTGTTATCAATATCTGGGAGACGACTAGGGTTTGATTCTATTGTTGCCCTGAATGTGTTTTGGTTCTTTGCCCCGAGAAGTTGTCTGTCTTGGGGTTTGATTTTTTGGTGTGTATACTGTTTGTGAGTTCTGATTGAGTTTGACTGGCTTTGAGAAAGGGGCCTTGTTCTGTTTTTTTTCCCCCGCTGAGCATGGAGGCCTTGAGATGCCCTTGTTGACGGATTGTCCTCCGGAACTGGGTATTGAACAGGTTTTCATTGTTATTTATTGGTCAAGTCGAGCTTTTTCTTGATTGCCCTGGCGTACTGTGAATACAGAAAAGTACAGAGTAGCTGAACCCTAGATAATAGAAGGAAAAGTTTTGGTATTTTCTGTTAGGTTGTGGGAGTTTGAAAAGATTGGCATTGCATTTTTAGGAGTACCTATACACGGACCGTTGAGATAACAGCTATTACCAGTGCCTTTTGCGGGGGGTTTTCCCCTGATAGAAGACTATATAGCTGTAGATGCTTTTGTTGTAACTTTGGAAAGTTCTAGTGGATGCTATCAAACAACCTCTTGATTGCCGAGTTTCTTTGACGAGAGTTATTAGAGGTTGTCGTTTTCCGTTGTATGATGTTCTGTGCTAGTTATGGAAAGAAGTGAGCCCTCATTAGTCCCAGAATGGTTAAAAACTAGTGGGACTGCTACTGGAAATGGCACAACAACCCATCCTCAGTCATCTTCGTCTACACATCCTTCAGGTATTGTTTAAGAATTGTTTTAAGTTTGTAGTTGATTGAGGTCCCTTTTTTTTTTAAGACTTTCTTAACATGCTTGTGGTTTTTCCTTTGTATAGATGATCATGCTGTATCAAAGATTAGAACTAAGTCGTGGAATCATAATGGGCATGAATTAGGACGGTCACCTGGTTCTGATAGAAACTCTTCCTCCTCATATTTCCGTCGGAGTTCCAATAGTAATGGTTCTTCTCACTTGCGTTCTTATGGTAGCTTTGGAAGGAATTCTCGTAGTAGTAGGGATTGGGATAGGGATGCATATGATTGCCATGACGGGGAGAAGTCATTTGCTGGGGACCATAAACAACGGGATTTCTTAGATCCACCTTTCTCCATTGAGAGGGATGGTTTAAGGCGTTCTCAGTCAATGGTTTCTGCAAAACGAGGTGAGGCTTGGCCTAAGAGATCAATTAATGACTCAAATACTGCGACAAGGATGAAAAGCAGTGATGGCAATGGTCTCCTTGATAAGGGCAATTCAGTTGGTAGCCTGCATAAAGCTGCATTTGAAAGAGAATTCCCTTCCCTTGGCTCAGACGAAAAACCTTCAGCTGCCGAGATTGGAAGAATCCCTTCACCTGTGTTGAGTACTGCAATTCATGGAATGCCACTCAATTCGTCTGCGATGATAGGTGCTGATAAATGGACATCAGCTTTGGCAGAGGCACCTTCAATAATTGGAGGCAGCAATGTTGGACTTTCTACCGGGCAACAAGTATTGCCTTCCAGTTCGGTTCCTTTGCCTTCAAGTGCTTCTACTGGTCTCAATATGGCTGAAACTATTGCTCAGGGTCCTCCTTCTCGTGCTCCGGCTGCTCCAAAGGTACCTATCATTATTATTATTGATTTTCACTGCATGTTTTGGTTAGTCTTGTACTTATCTTCCTGCTATAATATAGACATCTACTGGAATACAACGGCTTGAAGAACTGGCTATCAGGCAATCTCGGCAACTGATTCCTATGACTCCATCAACACCTAAGCCCTTGGTAGGAGTTCTTGTCCTGGTTCGGTTAAATTTATGAATGCTTTATTGGTATCGTAATTTTACATAGACGATTTTGCTTGTCGGTTGTATTTATGAATATTATTGTATTTATGAATATTAATTGCACTTATTGTTAAAGGTTGTAACCGTTGGGAGTACTGATTGTGTGAAATGGCTTTATCTTTAAATTATATTTGTTTCTTAAAGGGCATATTCGCGAAAATCTGTAAGTATGGTTAGTTTGGTATATAATTGATGGGTAGTCACGTGTACTATAACTCTTCTTAGACTTTTCCAAGGAGTTACTAACTGTCTAAAATATAAATTTGAATTTTTGATTGCTTTTCTCCGTTTAAGAAGGACAACAAAAAAGAAATTGAACTCTTCGTCTCTTTTGGCCTGCATCTTTTTCTACCATTGTGATTTAGTAGCTGTTGCTTGAACAAATATATCCTGTTAGGATGCTATTAGATCTACTTGTTCAGATATCGGAAGGGAAGCCCGTGAAATTGAACCAGACTATCAGTGTGTTAGGCAATTTGCGCCGGTTTTAAAAGTTCAAGTTTGATTCAGAAGTGATTAGATCTGCACACTTGATAGGAAGGATAAAATTGTTGAGGAAGCATGTTCCTGGCCTACAAGGCTTTGTTGAGTTATGCGTGCTGGTTCCTTTTTCCCCTACGAGGCTTGTTCATCTCACTCCTCTTTTCTGCATACTGGGGTCTGGGAAGTAAAGTAGGAATTTAGGCTTACAGCCGCCCTTCTTGTTAGATAGTTATGTCATTTGGATATCCTTTATACATTAAAAATGAACCTTTGGAATGCTTCTTTTTTTTTTCAGGTACTTAATTCTGCCGATAAAGGGAAAGGCAAAGCTGGACAGCAGCAGCATTCTACCCCTCTTCCCACTCCATTACGTGGGGTGCCTGCTAAAAATGATGTTGGGAAGCCCAATAATGCCGGAAAACTTCTTGTCCTTAAACCTATAAGAGAGAGGGTAGCTGGGTCTTCTGCTTCCAAGGATAACTTGGGTAGTAAAGAAACAACCTCTTCCCTAACTGTTGCCGCATCAGTGACTGGATCAGCTACCACCAAGGGAAGTGCAACTAATGTTGTATCCCCCAGTGCTGAGCGCAAGCATATTCTTCCTATGCTGGAGAAGAGGTCGACATCTCAATCTCAGAGTCGACATGATTTTTTCAATCTTGTGAGAAAAAAATCTCTGCCGAACTCTTCTGCTGTTCCAGAAACTGGCACTGCTGCTGTGTGCTCACCTGCAGATGGGCCTGGTGAATCAGCCTCGACCGCAGACGAGCCTGGTGAAACGGAAGTTTCTCATGGTCCGACTCATGAGAGGAGAGATGTCCCGTTAGTAGATGTCTCAAATGTGCACCAGCCTTTAGAGAATAGGATTGACCTGAAAAGAAATAGCACAGAGGCATTTCATAAGGATGGTAATCTTCAGAATGGGAGAAAACATTCAACTTCTCTTCCACTGTTTTCGGAAGAGGAAGAGGCTGCATTTTTGCACAAGCTGGGTTGGCAGGAAAATGCTGATGAGGGCGAGGGTGCTTTGACAGAGGAGGAAATCAATGCTTTCTTCAGGGATTTGAGTAAGGTATCTGTGAAATATTTTTATTTGGTATAGATTGATTGAAAATACCATCATTGATTCTTTTTTGTGATCAGAAGTCCATGTACATGGCCAGAAATCAAAATCAATAATTCTATCCACTTTTTTTGTTGTGTCGCTAAATATTAAATTGGCTTCTTTGTACCTTTGCAGTATATGGATTCAAAGCCGTCAGTTAAAATTTTGCAAGGAGTCGAACCAAAGTTTCCAATGCTGCTCAGCTCACAAGTTCGTGCTGTTACTTCCGGTCTAAGTTCGTCTGACTCTAACGCAGACTCTTGATTTTTGTTTAAGGAACTGCCTGCTTGCGGCCCCTTTCAACCGAGTTAACGGTGGGGAGGGGAGTTTAGCAGTTAGCGATTTTTTTTTAGATTGTTCTTTTGGTGAGGATTCAGATGGAAACTCCAAGACAACCCAGGTTTACTGCTAGGGGGTGTGGAATCTCCCTGCATTATGATGGGAACAGATGGAGAAATAAGTACAGATGGACTGGATTGTGGTGGCAACTTCTGAAAGGGCCTTTGGATGATGAAATTAGGAATTTTGAGGTTTTTAGGAATTGAAATGAGAAAATATAGGGATAGGATACTGTAAAGCTGCGAAATGAAATTGGTTTATGAAAGTCTGGGGGTGTGTGGATCAGTGTTGAAAATTTTGACGAAAGGGTTTAGATCCAACAGTTTTTGTGATATTTTTTGCTCGGTTCTTAATACAGTACAAGGGGGAAAAAAAAAGAATCATCTTATCCAATCTTATGACTTTGCTTTTCTTTTTTGTCATGCCTTATATATTGTACAGTTTCGAACTTTGTTATGGCAAACATTTAGTGCTATACTCCAGGCAACAATGTTGATTAATGTGGTTACTGACAGAATGTTGGCTATCCAGAATGATTTTTTATACTCCTGGATCCTGATTTATTGTTTTTTGGTTAACTGAGATGAGAAGTAGCAGTTTCGACCAAAATGAAGCATCGGCCTTGGATTTGATTGGGATTTTCATGGATGAAATTGGGCCTTACATCCAATTACATAAGTGGCAGGTCACATATCAAGCGATACATGAGTCATTACTTGTCCAATATGGTAAAACCTTTTTTTGGAACAAAAAGCTATAATAAAGACTCATGTCAAAAAGATAGTTGGGGGCGCGGTGGTGGTTTGACTTTTCTTCATTAGCCATCATCCAAATATATATTACATCTTTCCCCACAAAAGTAGTCTACACTGAATTTTTAAATTTGTATTAAAAATAGTACAAAATTCAAAACTCAATGTGAATTATTTTTGTGGGACGGAGGGAGTATATGTATTCGGCCTTAACATTTTAAAACAACGTTAAAACTTCAAACTCTTACCCTTCCTCCAGCGGGTGATCTTCATCAGCGGATAGTTATGTGCATAACAATCAGTTAATCACAAAGACAATTGAACACCTTCTATTGTTTCTCTTAAAAAAAACAGACTCATTGAACTTTTTTTTTTCTTTTTCTTTTTTCGTTTTTTTTTTTTTGGGTTTATCAGCACAACAACAGATGCCGATTATAGGCGTGCTCTTCTCCCTAGATACGCCTCCACCAAACTAATATCTCTATTAGGACAATCATCATACACAAGTCCGAATTGTGGATCTTTCAATTCTTAGTAGTATTTATTTTTTATTTTTATTTTTATGGATGAGGCTTTATTGTCCAAAATATTATTCTTGCTTGAACAAGTTAATGTGTCCACGCAACTAATGTAGAATTTGGATGATTTGGAACCCAAATAAACACACACCATAGACGGGGAGCCGGCCTAATACGTCCAATTAATATATACTACTACTATATTTATATCGTTGACGCTAATTGCACAAGACAGCTGAGTGACAAAACAGAGAAGAATGTAAAAAAAAAAAAAAAAGTAAAAAGGAAAGAAAGATTGAAATATACTATTTCGACATTGTGCATGAATAAGGCCATTAAACAGCCGGAAATGGCGACCATGAATGATGATCATATATCCAATATTCTTTTCCAAATGGGTTTTTTCTTTTTTTCCATCTCAAAATTAAAACCCGCTAATATCGTCCGCCATGTGGGTCTAACTCTGTGTGTGTGTGTGTGTGTGTGTGTTTTTTTTTTTAATTTTAAAAAAAGAGAAGAGTCGTCGCCTGCAAATACAATGATAAATATCATTGCATGGGAGATGTGTAACTGTACTCAGTCCAGACCGATCCAGAGAGGAAGTCAAGTTTAACGAAACCAATGTCGATCGGGTCAACCCCTTCTTTAACATTTGTCAATTTTGCTTTTCTTTCTTTGTTTCTTTCGGCCAGTGTTTTGAATCGGAAACCCACGACTTCCAAGACCCGATTTGTCCTTGGTTCTTCCACACTCCAGATCCGTTCCTGATTCTTATTTTTATTGTTTTATTTTTTTAAAAATGTAGTATTCCATACATTAAGTAGTTCCACATGATCGATTCATCCCATTAAACATTTGGACAAATTTAATTTTCACAAATTGATTGTGAAATACATATATATCGAACAGGTATTTCTAAGAATTAGTTTAGTGTATATATCTAACTTTCAAACTCTTTTGGCAATATACTCTCTCCTCCGTCCTATAATTATTGACCAGTTTGGGTTTTCATTTCTAGTTCAAATTATACTAAAAGTGAAATCTCAAACTAGACAATAATTTTAGGACAGAGGGAGTACTAATTTGGAAGTCTCGATTCTCATATCATGTTTTCTCCGCAGTCGCATGATATTGAATAAATAATAAGATTCATAACTTAACTTTAACGGCCAAGTTATTGGAGCTACATATCATGTCATACACTTTTAACCAAAAAAATATTCTTTTGCCTTAGATTCTTCTTAGGATGGTTTGGAGATGTGAATAAATGGAGAGAAATTTGCAAAGTGATGGAGGAGGTCTTATATTAGTATCTGTCTTATTACATAAGGAAAAGAGAGGTGGCCGAAAATATAGGAAGATCAAGTCCGTAATTTGGAAATATGATCATCATCATATTAAGCCGTGTCAGAGAAGTTGACTATAAAAACCAAATACTACTATAATCATATATAATTACAAATAAATATTCTGGGGATGACAGGAAAGAATGGATATGAAAGATACCTTTGAATCTCTCAATAGTATGAAACTGAGACTAATTTATTTTATCTGTAGGAACTGTCTATGAATCACTCCATTGACCAATAGTTGCAGTGGAAAAAGAATTTCAAACACGTCTTCTCATTATATAGTACTAAAACACCTAGTATAATTAAAAATTATTATATATATAAAGACAATGACAATTAAGAAAAAGAAATTGTTTTTTTTTTTCCCCTTCGATCGCCACCATCGTAACATGTATTTGATGAGGGAAAGATAGAAAACACAGATTACAGATACTGCCTTCTTGTAATTACAGTGGTTCGAATTTTCTGATGTTTAATATTGTACACAACTTTTACGTTACGGCTCGATCTCGTATTTGTCAATTTTTGTGGAGTGTGGAATGTGGTTTATATTTCTCATCTTCAACATAGATGATTCCGATCCGAAGAGCTAGAAAATTATAAAAAAAAAGTCAAGACTAACTGCATTGATTTGAGACTAAATATGGATTCATGTCCATGATATACAAGTATTTCCTTTTCAAAGTGTAAGAAAAAGAAAACAAAAAGACAAAAAAGGAGACAAAATAAGCGTAGAACAATGGTCAATGACACTACAGCAAATTAAGTCATGAGAGGAATTTGGCCAGTATTAGGTACGGCATTATCCATCGATCTTTACACAGAATTTTAACTTCTGGATTCATGAAAATCATTATTACATTGAAAATTAAAAGTTCACTCTAATAAATCTTCCACTCCACTCAATCCGATCCTATTTTATCAAGTACAAAATCCATAAAAAAAAATGCAGCTTCTCGTAATTTAATTTGTAACGAATATATATAATGGCAAATTTATCCTAAATGTCAACATTTCCAAGTTTATTATCTGATGGATGATATCATAATTTAACTTATTATATATTGATGTACTGTATTCATTAATCAATTAATAAATGAATCCGTAAATGCAGCTAGCATGCATTAACCTCGAAGGTTCCTCCTACGTACGACTTTTAAACTGAAGCCCGGAGAATGCATGCATGTTTATTCTTTTAAGGATCTCCCGTGAAGGATGGATCCATCACACATCATCGAACTATTGTTAATTAGGGTTTTCATGGCACATAAATGTCAAATAATTTAATTACTTTGGAATAAAAAAAAAGTATCGTTACTAGTGTTGCAATTAATTTATAAAATAATTATCTTATTTGTTGTACATCAATCATTTTAATGCGATTTTTCTTTACTTAGTGTTGTAATTCATCATACGTAATTAATTCGGGCTAATCCCTTGTTGTCATGTGAATGGATCATGGATGAATTAAAGTAAACATTAGTATAAGATATACGAAGTTATAAAAAGGAACGGACAGACCTAAGTCATCAAAGATTCAAAACTCATTTCAAGAAGCTGGAGAGGATGAAGAAGGCAATCTCCTAGATTTTAATTTACTTACAGATCAATAAATGAATAAATAAAAATTACATAAACAAATCACAACTCAATGGAGATATAGTAGTATTTTAACTATGCTTGTGGTATGAGTGATGAGCTCAAATATTAAGAATTGAAATTGGTCTTCCGGAGTACAAAAAAGAGGAGACCTTTGGCTCCTTTTTTGGGTTACATCTAACATTTAACAATAATAATACTAATCATTCATCAATTTGGTACTGCTTAATTATTTTTATTTTTAAATAAAAAATTATTAGATGTAAAAGGCAGAGTACAACCAACGTGAGAATTTGCTGCGGCGACGCTTGCTCTTCCTGGAAGTCCACGATTTTACATTATTTATGCATTTTGATGCATTATATGATTGCATACGATTATGCATCCATTTCCCCCCTGCAAAAGTCGTCTCTTCCTATCCAATCATCAATCAACAAAGTGAGAGAGAGACAGAGACAGAGAGAGAGAGAATTTTATTCAATTACTCTCAGTAACTCCTATGTAGGTAACATCAACTAAGAGATTATATTCCAACTAACTCATAGTATTAATTGTTTCAGTTTATTAAACTTGATCATCAATCTCAGTTACAAATATTAATTAGTTTAGTAAAACATTTCTCCATCTTTAATAAGTTGCAAGGTCAGATTATATTCAAAGACAATTGTTAATACAAATTTTACTAACAAAAAGAAAACTTAGCTTACCTTATTAATTATATATATATGTAGGAAAAAGGAATGGTCATCACACCTGGATTGATACAGCCATTGCTTTCTAGATGTAGTGATCGATCAACTAGGCGCGTATTGAATTTGTAAGTTTTTGGAAATTCTGGGAGGGAAGAAGCTGGCCGCGGTTTTCAACATCTAATCTGATTGATGATGAGTTAAACCCCCTCCCAATTGAATCATATATACTAATAAGAAACATGCAAATTTACGCGAGGCTTCCCCCCCCCCCTCAAATCATGCAAAACTTCAATTTTTATTTAAGCCAAAAATCAATATTTACCCTGACCATAACTGTCTTACTTATTACACATTAACTAGACAGTTATTACGGGAGGGTTGGAAAAAGAAATTATTTAGGCATTGAGAGTTGAGCAAGTGGCAGCTAGCTTCCTAGAGCGAAATGTCCACGATTACACAGGGACAATAGTATATTGCTCATCAACCAAGTGGAAATTATGTAATTAGCTAGATGAATTAAGTGGACTTAATTTAACGAAGACACGGTACCAAGTTTACATTAGAAAAAATTTAAACCAAATAAGTTAAAAATACGGAAGAAGGATGTTGATAATATTAATCCGGGGTGTAACAAAACATTAGGCAAAAGAAATATAATTTTAAGGGCTTAATTTGATACTCTAGGTAAGGATTATTGGAGAATGTTGCATCTATTGCCATAAATGCGAAAGTGCAAAAATAAAGAGACATTTTGTTCATCAAACTAAAGTAGTACCATCCATATTTATTAATGAGCATACTAAAATACCATATTTGTTCATCAAACTAAAGAAATGGGAGATTAAACACTCTTGATCATTCAGGCACGTAATTGACCGATTTCTACTCCTTCTCCAGATCTCCAATATAATACTTTCCCAACAAGAAAACTTGTAGTAACACCTAACTACAACAGCTTGAAGCTTGCAACGGATTCGGCCGCTATCGTTTGCAATTTTTAAGGATCTGTCACATTTGAAAAATGTTGCAACTTGTTACCTAATTAAGAGATTCAACTGCCTTGTTGCTCCAATAACATGCTTGCTAGTTCCTAAGGTCAAATATCTGGAACTCAATTCTTAAATTTCACTTCTATTTCATCTCATATTCCTTTCATCTGAACATTAATTGTTTCTTTTGTAATAATATATTTATTTGGGTTCATTATATGGAAAATCATCAGAATTCATAGTCTTAAATAAATCAAGTCTTCAGAGTTAACTCACAAGATGAAAAGATTTTCTTATTCCTTTTTTTTTTCCCCCCAAAACTAAAACAAAAAAACCAAAAGAAATCTAATGAGAAGAAGGAGATGGAAAGTTGTGCAGGGGCCAGGAAAGGGTCTCCGAGTTGACAAATTTCATGAACAGATCCCAAGGTTTTCTTCCACTTGTTATGGGATTTCGTATAGGGCTCGGATTCCTAATTGAAGTAGATGGATGATGTCACATCTTTAATTTGGTCTTAAACTAATCTCTCTGAAAAACAAATTTAGGTTTTGGACTAAAGTGCACCCGCACGAACAAAACGATCCAGCATCAACAACTACCAATTCGAAGTCCACAAATGGGATTAAATTATACTTTTTTTTTTCCGTTTTGTTCCAAAAGGATACGTCAAATTTATCACAGTATATTAGTTAAAAATCCAAAAAACAGGTTCAAAATTGTCCTGGGATGTGACATCAACAAGGTTATGAATGTTGTTGTTGCCCATGGAATAAGGTAGCATATTGCCGACGTCTAATGTTATTAATTTAGCTGCCAGAACTGAGGTGAAGCTTAATTAAATAAATTTAGACCTAGTCTGGGCTGCTACTTCCTTCTTGCAATTAGATGATTTAATTAATTAATTAACTAGACATTTCTTGCACTTACAGCTAACCTATCCAAGACTACATGATACATTACCCATAAATCAATTTGGTTAACTGGCGGTTTAACATCCCTATTATGTTACATGGCCTAATGTGGATAATAATCCAAATTAATTAAGGAGAAAGTAAATGAGACTCGTTATATTTTCTAAGTGAAATTATTCATAAAAAATGAAATGAAATTTTGCTTAATCTTTTTTTTTTTTAATTTTAAAAAAATCCACCCTAATAGACCCCACTTAAATGTGTGTAAAATCCCCTCTTACAACCTTTGGAGGAATCGAATCGTTTTACTTTTTCAATTTCTCTATCACATTTAGAAGAATGAATTGAAAACAGATTCTCAAGTTGGTGAGTTCTTACTAGTGAAGTTGGATCTCAACTTCTTGTTTTACTTTTATCTTCAATGACACGATAAATATAAAAGTAAGTTAAGGAAGCTGGCAAGGAGTTAATAAATGCGACTGCTACAATAGTCTTTTATTCTTGTACTTGGGCCTAAATAATTGAATAGGATAAACTAATAAGCAGAAGAGTAGTATTAATTTGTTGAAGTTGAAGATCCCAGTTTACACAAAGTCAAATCTTAGATGCGTCCTTGTTATTATACGTTCTAATTTTAATTTATTCCATCTTAGAGACGAGGGAATTGACTTCGGTGCCTCAAAAGCAGCACATTGAGGGGAGAAAAAAAAAAGAAACTATAAGATAAACAAATTCTTCATAAGAGAAAGAAAGCCGCGGAGAACGCTGCAAGAATATAACATCTTTTTCAATGGAAAGAGAAGAAGGCCGGAGTACTTGTGCAGCTGAAATGGATATTGATCTTTCTCTCAAGCTAGATGCTCAAGAAAACCAATCATCATCATCAAGATCAGATGATCATCGTCATCATGGCCATGACGATGAAGATCAACAACAGGCAAAATCAGTTCATGGTGATGATGATGATGAAGATAATCAACATCAAGAAGTAGGAGAAGTTGCAGCTCATGAAGAAGACAAGAAGATTAATGAATCAGAAGTTATTGTAGATAATAATAATCCTTTATCAGACAGTATGAAGACAGAAGAGGTAAGTTCTTCTGAGACTAATATAAGGTTGTCAAAATTTTACATATGCATGTGTCGGTTGTAATTAAGTTAACAAATATGGATTCTTTAAAATCTCTCCTCATCCAAAACCCTTTTTGAAGTTTCATCTGCAAAATTAGATTCTATACTAATTAGTGTTATAGAGATTATTCATTTTGGAACCCCAACCATATAGGTGAAAAACTAATTAACTGTTTTGGAAATTTTATATAATCAATCAGCTGTCGGTGTTACGGATGGAGATGGATCGAATGAAGGAGGAAAACAAGACGTTAAGAATGGCTGTGGAGCAAACCATGAAGGACTACCATGATCTTCAATTGAAATTTGCACTTGTCCAACAAAATGTTTACCATCACAAGGTAATTAAATTAACATCAAACCCATGATCAAAATCAAACTTCTTCTTCTTGTTTTTTTTTTTTCTTTTTTCTCGAAATTCGAACCCAGAACTCAAGATTACTACAGTATTTTTTTCCCCCCCTCCACTCGGTTTGTATTAATTCTAATTATTTGGTTAAAAAAATATGTAGGGAGATTCCAGAACTTTTCTTACGCTTGTGGGTAACGGAAGCCCGGATCAGGAAGAGCAGAATATTCGAAGTTCGAGATTGGTAGATATGAGCAGCAATCATCATCAAGCAAGATCATTTGATGAGAGTAACAAAGCAAATAAAGCAGTAGGTGATCGATTAGGGTTGTCGTTGACTCTCCAAAGCAGTTCTTCAAGTCAATTCAGAGATGATGATCATCATCATCATCATGGGGAAGTCAACTTGACAAACTCATCAAAGGAAAAGGAATTAGATTCTGCAAACCCTTTTTCCCAAGCAATTCAAAACCATAAGCTGCACCGGACCGGCAGCCTTGGTGGTGGAGTCGGAGGAGGGATCATCCCAAATCACGTTTCTTCTTCCCCAGCTGCTTCTAACAGGAAAGCTAGGGTTTCTGTCAGGGCCAGATGTGAAGCTGCCACGGTAAGCGTTTATTAATACATTTTATTTTGTCTCTTGTTAATGAATACTCGTTCCGTCTCAAAATGATTATCTCTGTTTAGATTTTCAATACTAGTACAACTTGTACTATAAATGATCATCCAAACTAGATAATCATTTCAAGACGAGGGAGTATATATAATGTTAATTCAAAACCACAAGACAGATTGAATGATGATTTAAGTATAAATTTTTGTAGATGAACGATGGATGTCAATGGCGAAAATATGGTCAAAAAATTGCAAAAGGAAATCCTTGCCCTCGAGCATATTATCGTTGCACTGTGGCTCCTGCATGCCCAGTAAGAAAACAGGTAATTAGAAGATAATCTCACCTTTCCTTCTTTCTTTCTTTTTTCCCCCCTATTTTTTCAATATATATAATTTCTTCCTTGAAGTGTATAGTCTGATGAACAGTAATAAACATGGTTTGATGATCCCTTTCTTAAGAGAGCCTCGAGGGGGAAAAAATGATCTTAATTTGAAAATTTTGATTGCTTTTCATTTTTACTCTTAATTTTGTTGTTTCAATGTTTCTTCTCTCCTCTGACTTTGTTTAATTTCCATTGTCACATGTGCATGTGCAATGTGTGTAAATCATCATCATTAATTATATATATATATATATATATATAGGTCCAAAGGTGTTTGGAGGACATGTCCATTTTGATCACAACCTATGAAGGAACACACAATCATCCCTTACCTGTGGGTGCTACAGCAATGGCTTCTACAGCATCAGCAGCTGCATCCTTCATGTTGCTGGACTCAAGTAACCCTCTTTCATCATCAGATCAAGGGACCAACTTAGGAATGTCATCCAATTTTAACCGAATTTCGCCACATTTTCCTTTTACTTCTACTACTACTACTCCTCACCATCCACTCTTGAACTCATCTCCTAATAATCCCTATGGATCGTCATCAAGCCTATTCAACATTCATCCAACCGATCCCTCAAAAGGGATTGTTCTTGATCTCACAGCAACCAACAATGCTCATCAACAGCCGGCCGGATCGTATAACTCTTGGATGCCTAGACCAATAGCGGGAAATTATATGGGTAGTAATACTACTGTTGATCAAGGAAGCAAGTTGTTGGCTGAAAATGTGAATGCACTTACTTCGGATCCTAAGTTTAGGGTTGCTGTTGCGGCTGCCCTTTCCTCATTCATCAATAAAGAAGGCAGCCAAACTAATGGCAGTAATATTGGTCAAATTCCTCCATTAAATCCCCCTAATTCCTTTGTTCCTAGAGATGGTGAAAATGGTGGTAGCTCCTCAACTAGCAAAAATTGGATTCTAGGATCGTTATCCACAGGTGGTAGTTCATCAAATTGATGAGAAGATATTGCTTTTTAATTTCTTTATCATATATACTGTCAAACTTGTAATTGTAGATTATGATATATTAGAGTAAGTAGTGCTAGTTGAATACTTGAATTTGAGTAAATTTTTTTGTCAACACAAGGTAAGGTTGCAGAGTTATGATCATACTACTGTTACTTGTAATTGTAGATTATATGAAGATAGAAGACCAGTAATAGTTGATTTGCTTATTTCAGATTGTGGATCTAATTAAATGGTACTCTCAATTTGTAGTTGTTTATTTTGTTAAAAAAAAAAAATTCTGATCTGCTAGCTGCATGCTACCTTGTTGTTTAATGTTCAACTAAAAGTGCAAAAATTGATGTATCAAAGTGTCCAAATAAATATTAATCCAGAATGAATTTATTCCTTGATCAAGTACGTACTCTCAAAGTACCAAAAAGGGTGGCTTAATATGTAGCTTGGATATATGACAATTTCCTCCTTGTTACACTTACATGAAGCCATTGGAAAAGCAGGTGGAAATGACTCATGAGCAGAAAATTCCCGCCCTAGCTAGCTTAACATGAACATGCAGAGAAGTTCAGTATCGGAATAAAGAATTTCAGGAGAATGGTCTAAATTTTACAAAAACAATTGATAAAAATTTGTAAATGCATATATGTTAATGTATTGTATTTTTTCGAGAGTTACTGAGAAAATGTGTTAAACCACATAATCGAATTTTACCGTTAAAATTAGTACTCTTTCCGTCCCATAATTATTGTTTAGTTTGAGTTTTCATTTCTAGTTCAAATCATATTAAAAGTGAGATATCAAATTGGATAATAATTTTACAACAGAGGGAGTACTTATTTTGATGCAATGCAGCGCTAAGCATTGGGATTAACTAACACGATATACTGCAGTAAAGGACTAAAGGGCGTATTCATTCAGAATTCAGAAACCTTGACCTCATCGTCGGCTGGGAGATCAGTTGTAACCTGGACTGGATAAGAGTGCAACAAGGCCTTCTTCACCAAGCCCATGGATACTATCGTGACTGTAGTTTTAAGTTTACTTGACCATTTTTGTGCAACTTGGACTTTTAGTGGGTTCAAGATCTTTCCTGAGAAAGAGAAAATGTGGCCCAACTTTAGCATCCAATTTATGCTAAACCAATCATTTTTTTGTCCTCAACATTTGAGAATAGTGAATTGTTAATTAAAAAAAATTTCAATGTTGAATGAATCATTAAAAATAAAACTGTTATCAAATTGTACTAAACAAAAATAAACGAGTTTATGCTTGATATAAAAAACGATTTTTTTCTTACAAAGGTATTATTTATTTATCAAGAAGATTAATAACATGGATGTTATAAACAGGAATACAGATAGGAAGACAAACGTGTACTTCAGTTTGTAGCATCAAGTGGTTATATATTTGGGATCCGCCGTACTACATCAGCATATTCGTTGTACTAAAATAAAGAATACGATAAAATGTATATAATATTTTCTTATAGAATTAGTGATTTTTAATTAAATGTTTAATTTAAAGAGTCGAGTAAGTCGAAAATAATTTTTCCTTGATCAATTCAACAAAAAGAACTATTCTGAAGGGAAGAGTATTAAATTTTCCTTGATATGGATTAAATATATACACAGTATAATGCATGTTGTCCAAATCTAATTTACCCTAGGCTCCTTGCTTATACATTGTATTCCTACTGTTTATGTATCTAATGGATTTTGCAAGAAAATAATAAAAAAAACTTTTAGCCATAAAAAGGAAATTAATATACTAAAAAAAAAAAAGGTAAATAAGAAGACAGCAGGGGAAAAAAGAGAAAAAGAAAAGGCAGCAAGGGAAGAAGATTTGGGGAGGCGCCCAAGGGTTTTTGGTTGGGCACTACTACTACTACTACTAACTCAGAGTTACAACGACAAACACCTTGTGCCTATCTCCTTTAATCGGACTCTGAGTGCTTCAGAACCACCGGCAATGGCGACCGGAGCTGTGGAAAAGTCCGAGGAAGAACTCCGCAAAGAGATCGACGAACTTCATCGCCAACAGCGCGAGGTAAACGTCAATTTGCCTTATTAGTTTCAATTTGTCTAGCATTCCCCCCACGTTCCTTCAGATTATGCAATTCTTCTTCAGAAATTAATTCGTGAATCCTTTTTTTGTTTTTGTCATCTCATAGATTAATGAGCGGCTTCGCGATCCCAGGGGTCTGCGCCGCGGTGGTTTATCAGGGCCTGGTCCTCGTAATCTAGCTGTTAACGGAGGACGGCAGCGTGGCTTTGTTAGACCTGTATGTTGATTTCCTCGGTTGCTCCCCTTAATCTATCACATTTACGGAATTATTCTGTTGTCTTGTTTTTTTTTTTTTTTTTGTTTATTGGAACGGAAGTATATTAAGCTTGTGATTTTAATTTGTTTTTAGGCGGATAGGACTGATTCTGAAGATCAACCGGCTCCTAAAAGGCGGCTTTCTTCCGCTGTTTTTAAGGTTCTGACTGAACACCTTGAACTCTTTCGTTATGCTGTCTGTTTGCTCAGACCTGAGTTGGTTAGGTAATTTGTTTTTGGATGGTCTTGTGTGCGCAGGTAGAAGATGGGGAGATTGTTGAGGATGCTTCGGAGCAGGTGAAAATAGCGGAAAACAAGAATGGTGATGTTGAGGAAGAAGGTAGAAATATGACTCCCACCTCAAGTGATAGAAAGCCATCTAATTGGTCCCTCAGGGATAATAATCAAAAGTCGTCTAGGACGGTAAAGTTTTTATCTTTTTTCCTTTTTGTTTTTTTTTTTTCACTACTTCAAGCTTCATGCTACAATGTACTGTGTATCTGTTGGCTGTTTTATCTGAATTGTTGTAATGATTTTGTTATGTAATTAGGACCTGGAAGTTCCTCCAGCAGAGCATGTTCCCAGAGTACTGCCCAAAAATGAGGATCCAGGTTTGGTGAACAGGAACAAGAGGATGCTGGGCCAGCTTTTAGGTACCCTGGAGGTATGTATGAGATTTATTGCTTTGTCTTTTTTTAGTGCAGTCATCAGCAGATAGAATTTTGGTGTACTCTTGCACAACTTCAATTTATACTGTTCACCAAACAAAAAATGGAGTGACTGACTATTCAAATCATGCTAGTTGATGACTATATGTTGTTGGCTGACATAACAAAAGTTGGTTAGGTAGCCTATGTTCATTTATGGTCATGTTTCTTGTAGAGCTTGATTTTTATCCCTTTCTAACTTTTGAATTGGAATGCTGTTTTATTGTTTCTCATAAAACATCAATTTGCATTTCTGAATTTTAGTACCAAGGTTTGGGTTACGTATGCTGCTTTGTGGTTTGACTTTGATTACTGAAATATTTGTCCAGTGGATGGCTTTTCTTTGTAGATGGACTGCAAATAATCATCAGTTCTGCAATTGGAAAAAAGAGTTGACTGTGATTTTCATGTGCTTCTTTAATGTTTATGTCCTGATTAAAAGTTTTGAAAATCGTACATCTCTAGTCCTTCTGGTTAAGAATTTAATCTAAACTGCTTGCTTTGCATATGAATTTGATCTCATTTTCCATGATGTTTTCTCGGCGCTGTTTGTTGTTTCATCATAAAGTTCAAAATTTGTAGCATTTTTCTGCATTATTTGGATATCTTAATATCTTTTTGTCCTTCCCCCCCTGCTCAAACTTATCTCAGCGGTTCAGAAAAGAAGACATGCAACTTTCTGGATCTCAAGCGTACATGCGCCGGTCAGATTCCCTGAAAAGGGTAAGATTTGATTACCTTGATTACATCGTTTTCTCTTATTTCCTTGTTCGTTGTACCTCCTTATCTTTATTCTAAAGTTTCATGATGACATGAAACATTAAAGTTGAATGAGGATCTCAGAAGATGGCACTGGGGATGTTTATGTTTCTATATGGATGTGAAAGTGATAACTTTTTGTGTGTTTTCACTGATTGTGCTCAAATGTTCTAGCTTTTAGTGCATGGAATCAAGTTGGTTATCTTTTGCAAAATGATCAAGACATAAGTTTGTTCTCATTTTAAGCTTTGAAATGTATCTAGTTGCCCCTTAATGAGGCTCCTCAAATTTTACCACGCTTCTTATTAGTTAAATTGGTGGTAGTTGAAACGTATTTCGTTCTCAGTTGTACTTCGTTATTTTCTGTATCTGTCAGGTAACAAATATACCAGTAAATTTGCATGATGCATGCCTGTATGATTAGATGATATGGACCTAAGTGGAAAAAGTGAAGCCAGAGAAAGAAAATTCCCTTTTCTCTCATGCATCACTCTCCAAATTAATTCCATCAGTGTTCGCATGACCGTTGTACTAATGGACTTTGCCTGTCTTGAATTTGGTTTTCTCTTTTTGTGGTTGCATTTTGAGTTGAAATAGTAAATTCTTTCTTTTTACATTGTACATAAATGTAGGCTGAGCAAAGGGCACGTGAAGAAAGCGAAAAGCTTAGACAACAAGAGCGAGAACAGATTGCGGAAAAGCGGAAAACAGATTTGGTATGCCCTCTTATGATTTATTCTATACCTTGTCTTTGGGATTATAATTTAACTTTTTTTTTATTTAAAAAAAAATCTTTCGAATTTTTGCTAATGTTCATTCTATCACTTATCTGTCAGACTCTTAGAGCACGTGTTGCAGCCAAGGCGGAAGAAAAGAAACTGGATCTGCTGTTTCTTCGATGGACTGAGCATCAGAAAAAACTTGGCAACTTTATAAGGTATCTTTAGAGGAACAAAATGTCCTATTGTTCTGATTATCAATAAGCATACTTTACCTCATGATGCTCCCACCTAATGTATGCCTTTTACCTTTGCAGGTTATTTCTTATTTTGGTCCACAAGTGTCCATATTCACAGTTTTATTGACACGAAGATAAGTTTCTTTTCGTGTTGCAGACGTTGAAGCAATTAGTTGATACTTGGCTTCCTGCTTTGCAGGGATTTATGTTTGCTTACGTTAGTTCTTTCACCTTCTTGCGATTCAGATTTTACAAACTAATTCTTCTGATGCTTTTTTTTTTTTTTCCAGGACAAAGGCAGAGCCTCACATATATTATACTTTCTCCAAACCCCTTGACGAGGATTTGAAGGTTCTTGAGCAGCAGAAAGAGCAGGTTAGCTGGTGAATGCTTTATCGTAGTTGTAGAGTCTGTAGTTTAAGATTCCTGACCAGTATTTTCCACTCATCTGTTTGATTGGTTATGATGCATTTTGCCACCTCAGATATTCGAGGAATGGAGGACTGCTAGGAGGGAGGAACTGTCTCAATATCAGAAGCAGATCACTGAGCAATATGTTGCAAATGTTGATAAGGAACTAGAGAGGTGGCAAAATGGAAGGAAAGGTAGAAAAGCAAACACAGATATGGCAAACTTGCAGGAGACAATGGACAAAGAGCTGGAGACTCATAGGCTGGAGCATGGTCCGAAGACCAGGATGATTCCTGGAGGTAGCAACAATGAGGATGAAGAGGATGTGGAAGATATTAACGTTGGAGAAGACGATATTATGATGGATGACGTGCTGGATGCTGATGATAACAGCAGGAGAGTCGACGAAACAACAAAAACTGAAACTGGTGATGGGAGTCCACAACCTGAGAATGAGATGAAGGACCACTAGGCCTTGATACCTGGCCGACATCCTCTATAGGTTTTTAGTTTGTAATTTCTGTTCATTTATTGTTATTTTGTGGGCTTTTGCTTATTAGGCTGTAGTATTAGTTGTGTTGTTTTTAATAAACTTATAGTGTGGCTTGCTTCCTTTTAGGCTGTCCCTGTAGTTTTCTTCTGCATTGTATTTGTACCAATATTTTTGTATTTTATGGTCTCGAGAGGTATGCTCTGAAATCATCAGCTCCCAAAAGAGGTGGTATGCTCCTTTGTTTACCCTCTTAGAAGGGGATATTCAACCAAAACAAAAATAGAAGCGAATTCGAAAACGACTAATCAGTAGGGATTCAAGCCTTTTTAATCATGGACATGTTACAGGTTTTGCTACTCTGGAAATATAAGAAGAATGGCTAAAATGTGATTTAGTCTTTTGCCTTGAACATAAATGGAAATGCCTTTTAATTTCTCTCCTCAAATTGATATAAACAAAAACAAAAGAAGGCAAAGAAAGATTTATATCATCTCATTTCAGGGCAATGGTGTACATGTAAACACATTATAAATGGGATGTTGCCGAAATGTTGGTTGGCATTTGCAAAAGATATATGCATTATCTCTCCGCGAACAAACTCTAAAAATTTTTACTTTTTAGTACTACTTGATTAATGTGGATTTATAATTTTTTTTATACAAGTGCTTGAAAATTCACCAGCCAGAGCAACAGAGTTGGTTGTTTGCAGTAAGCATTTTCCAAGCCTCTCTAGAATTCCTTCTCTCTTTCTTTTTTCTTTCTTTCACTCTCTTTCACAAAAATTTTTGAAAAGCAAGCTAAAAACTGAGACCGAGAGGTGGCTATGCAATGTCAGAAATCCAAAACTTAACAAGATTTGTATTACTCTGATCATTTAGTTGTAAACTTTAAGGAAAAAAAAAAAAGAAGGGAAATGAAAGAGTGTTAGGGGTAGGGAAAAGGATAAATTAGTCATTTGAGATATTAAAACTATTTGAACATTTCTCCTAAATCATAAAAAAAAAAAAATGATAATGCCCTTAGCAATAACCCATGCCTTCTTTAATAAAATTCTCCCTTCAACGAAAACAAAAATGAGAAGGGATTGGAACTATTTGGAAGACAGTTTTGGTGGGGAAAAGGCTGAACTGTTGAAGGTGAATAGTCTGTAGTAACTAATCAATGCGGATAGGAATTGCATGTGCCTATTTCAGAAATCATTCACAAGAAACATAATTTTAGGTAGTAAAATTTTGCAACATCGACAAGTTACTGTTAGATTTTGTTATTGCCGAATATTTTATATGTAATTTAGGCTTTTTGTCTGTTTGATAAGGTTTTGTTATCCCGGTAATGTTGTTACAGTTAAAAAATGTAATTTAGATTTAGTGCTGAAAAACCCCCTTTGTTATATCCAAATAATTATAATAGTAAGGGTATGCCTATCTACACTTGATCGGGATCTAGTATCCACCTGATATTTTCTGGTAAAACTCGATGGAATAAGAATTCAGTCGTTCAAGTTCCTTTTGGTAAAATATAGAACTGTATCTGGAAACATTAAACTTATTGTCATTTTGCTTCGAATTCATTATTTTTCAACCAGGTCAAAGGACACTTGGAGTGAGAAAAAGTTGGAAACTTCAGTGGATGGAGATCTTCGGGGTCCAAAGGAAAAGAAAAAAGAAAAAGGATATTCAGGGAGCTCATCAGGACTTGATCTTATTTGCTACAGGCTTTGTTCGAAAAATAAAGGATCAATCTTGCAGTCTCATTTATGGAAGGAGCAATTACAGCAGTTACTTGTAATAGTATCGTTTTTTGTGTGGTCTCATTTTTAATAGCCTTTTATAATAGCCTCATTTATAGGGGGTTTGATAAACACTTGGATGGACTAAAAGAAAATAGGGATGAAATCAACTATTGGAACTCTTCTTGCCTGTGCTATATTCTGGGAAGTCATCCACCGTTTAGGGTTATGAATGCTTATATCTGAAGAACCTGGGGAAGATTTGGTGTAGACAAAGTTTTGCTGCTGTCAAATGGTATCTTTGTGTTAGGTTTAACACTATGGAAGATAAGAATGCGGTTTTGGACCAACCTTATCACCATTTTGATGCAAAACCATTGATAGTGAAGAACTGGAAGGTGGACGAAGGATTCAAGCTCGAGGAGATATTGACAGTTCCTATATGGATCAAACTGCCAGAACTCAAGCTCAAGTACTAGAATCCACGTTCGTTAAGTAGAATTGCAAGTTCAGTGGGACGGCCTCTTAAAATAGATGATATGACAGCTGGATATGCAAGACAAACTGTGGTTTGAAGATGAATACGGAGTACTTAATGAGCAGAAAATTGTGTACGAATGGAAACCAACAAAGTGCAAATAATGTCAGGACTACGGACATGAAACAGAAAAGTGTAGAAAGAAGTTGCAGCCAGTCTCCAAGGTTAAGGTTAATCAGAAAGCTAATAATCAACCAAGAGTGAAGAGGACAGAGGCTCAATTTGTTTCAACTGTGCCCAAACATCAGAAATCTGTTGGTAATCAAGAGGAAGGGAATAAACCAAGTTACAGTGGGAACCCAGTGCTGGATTACAGAATGTGGGTGACTAAGGAAGATGGGGGAAGGGATATGCAGGGGTTTACCCCCATGAATAATATCCTCATTTGAAATACTATGGGACTTCACAGTTCCCTAAAGCACAGAGAACTCAGAAATTTAGTCTCTGTGCAGAATATTAATAATATAGTAGGTGTAGTAAAGCAAAGCTAAAAAAGGATACGCTTCTTGATATAATGAAGAAATGGGGATCAGATTATGGATTTACGGGCAATAGTAGTGGTAATGACAGGCACATAATCATATTGATATGGAAGAATGAGGATGTGAACCTGATTATTATAAAGAAGGTATAGCAACTTATACATCATTTGGTTGAGGATCGAATCAATAAACGGCGTTTTGCTCTCACAATAGTGCATGGTGCAAACTCTAGAAATGAGAGGATGCAACTATGGGATGAACTAACAAACATCAGTCAGTCAATCAGGACTGCCTGGTGTGTTGCTGGCGACTTCAACAGCATTATTGCTCAGGAAAAAAAAATGCTGTCTCCCTGTTACTCCCAACGAGATAGGGGATTTCAAGATGACTATTGAGGGATGCCAGCTGGTACATCTACAAATGCAAGGGGGTCCATTTACTTGGAATAATAACAAGTGGGAAGTAGCCGAATCAGTGCAAGATTAGACAGGGTTCTAGTAAATGAGACTTGGCTAACGGATTATGAGGAGAGTTATGTGATGATCCTACCGGAGGGAATGTCAGATCACTGCTCTTTAGAAATTCGATGGGATAATAATCGGCGTAGTTCAAGGAAAAGCTTCCGGTTTTTCAATATGTGGACTACTTCCGAAGAATACCAGAATCTAGTACAGGAAGTTTGGCAACAACCTATTAAAGGCAGCTGTCACTTTCAATTGGTGAAGAGACAAAAGAGGCTTAAACCAGTGTTAAAGGACTTGAACCGAAGATGCTTTGCCAACATTGATGTCCAAATGCAGCAGAAGAAGCAGGAATTAGATCGAATTCAGTTAGATCTTCAATAGCAACGTTGTAATGTTCAACTTCAAGAAAAAGAGAAAGCTTGTGTTCAACAGTATGTAACGATTTGTGCAAATGTTTATAGCTACTGGCAGCAGAAAACCAAAGAGACTTGGGTGCAATAAGGGGATTTAAACTCAGCTTATTTTCATTCTGTGATCAGACAAAAAAAAAAAAAAGAAGGGATCGTATTCTGGCATACACAAAACCTGATGGCAGCATCACAGATGACTGGGATAAAGTGCAAAATCATTTCTTAGGGTTTTTTTTCAGAACTTGTTAGGGCAGACTGTTCAGAGGAAAACTGTAAAGAGGGAAATCTGTATGAATGGATATACCCTGAACCTTGAGCAACAAGTAGACCTGATAAGGGAAATCACAGATGAAGAAATAAGACGAGCCATGTTTTCTATAGAAGACTCAAAAAGCCAAGGGCTAGACGGCTTCAATAGTGGATTTTACAAGAAATCCTAGAAGCTAATTGGAGGAAGTGTTTGTGAAGCTGTCAAGGAATTTTTCAGAAATGGTTCCTTACTGAGGCAGATCAATGCAACCATATTGCATTGATACCTAAAAAGGAGATTCCGCAAACAGCTGCTGATTACATGCCAATATCTTGTTGTAATACACTATACAAATGCATTACAAAGGTATTGACCAATAGAATGACTGATGTGTTGACAGTATTGGTAGACAAGAACCAAGGGGCTTTCATATGGGACAGACTCACTGATCAGAACATCTTGCTGACCCAGGAGATGCTGCAAATATACAACTGGAAGCGGGCCTCCCCCCCGATGTTTAATGAAAGTGGACCTACAAAAAGCATATGATTCGATTGCATGGGAGTTTATTGAGGAATCGTTAGCAGCCTTTCGATTTCCAAGAAAATTCGTCAATTGGATCAAAGAATGTATCTCCACATGCGGTTACTCTTTGAGTATGAATGGAGCACTGACTGAATTTTTCGAAGGTAAGCATGGAATCAGGCAGGCAAATCCCATGTCACCGCTCCTTTTCGTGCTTTGCATGGAGTACTTGACGAGATTGTTCAGAGCTGAGGTCGAAAAGGGGGATTTCCATTTCCATTCGAAATGCAAAAAGGTAAACATGACTAACCTTAGCTATGCTGATGATCTGATCATACTTTGTAGAGCTGATAAGGTGACTGTAAAAAGAGTAAAATGTGTGCTGAATGAGTTTTATGAGACCACAGGGCTCAAAACTGACCTCGGTAAGTCCCATGTGTATTGTGGTGGAATAGATGATAGTTTGAAGGAGAGATTAGAAGGATCACATGATTTAGCATGGGTGAAGGAAGAGATTAGAAAGATTACAGGATTTAGCGTGAGATCTAGCTACCAAGAAAGACAACTTATGGGTGAAGTGGTGTCACGAATACTACATTGAAGGACAGAACTTTTGGGATTATCAGCCAGCCAAAGCTGCTTGCTGGCATTGGCAAAAACTTATGAAGATAAAGGAGGAGTTGAAAGGAGATGTCAGGCATGGAAAATGGATGGCAGGAGATAAGGGTGTTTGTACTGTTCAATCAGGTTATACAAGTCCGAGAGAAGTTGGACAGAAGATGCAAGGTGCTGCTATCACATGGAATAGATTAAATGTTCCAAAACACAGTTTCATACTGCTGTAAGAATGTTGAAGTTGAGGATCATTAATGATCCAATAATCTGTGGTTTGTGTAAAGAAGAAGAAGAGAGTTGGGAGCATCTTTGCTTTCAATGCAGGTTTGCTAAACAAGTGCTAACAGAATTAGCTAGCTGATTGAAATACAGGAGCTTCCTGCTCAGATGGATCTTTGGAAATCTAGACTGCTGAAATGCTGGTATCATAACAAGAGCAGGCAAAGGTTTATGTTTGGTACTCTGGCTGCTGCTGTCTATTATATTTGGCAGATGAAAAATTATATGCAACATGTATATGCAACATGGGTTAGACTGTTGGTCTTTGGATGTACTGATTAGTAAAATCAAACAGGAGCTGTGTTGGCGGCTGAAAATGTACACTCAGAAGTTTAAACATGGAGACATAGATTATTTTGTCAAATTAGGTGTTGTTTAATTGCCTAGTTTAAAAATGTTGTAATAATAGAAATAGGATGTGAATTGTAAACTGATGGTGCAGTGTCTGAGAAATTAATACATATTAACCTTTTCATAAAAAAAAAAATCATGTAGAAAATTCCCAAGACGAAAAAACAGACATGACTCGAAACACCTACCCCATGGTATTTCTTGGTATAATGTGAAGTGAAATTTTGGTAGAGAATGATTCAAAACACAAAGACAAACTACAACACAGTATGGAGGAAGAATCCATGAAACGACCTCACGTACCATTCCACACCATCACCACAACCTGGTACTATTTGTTTGCGGCAATCAAAAGCAGCAAATGAAAAACCAATTAATCAAATGCAGAAACAACGACAATCATCATTATAATTAATATGTTCATTCAAGCATTAAATAGCAAGTAGTTTAAAGCTTAAAACATTCATCCATTGTTATTACATTGAAGAGGGTGCTCACTGGACTGAATTCTGCCCTACAGAGGATGATGTTCCTGCTTGTTGCCTTGAGTCCTGAAAGCGCTTCTTTATGTAGTCCAAAAATGTGTCACTAGAGCGACCCCCGAGACTGCGAAGGTACATGCTAAACTGTAGACAGCAAGAAAGTGTGCAGGGCTGATCCAGATTCCAATCCCGGAATGCCTCATCTTTGATGGCGCAAAAGACCACTCGTGACTGCACCACCCAAGCCTCATCACTGTCATCACTGTCATCACTGTCATCACTGTCATCACTCTCATCACTCTCATCACTCTCTCCCTCAGCCTCGCCCTGCTCCTTGTTGTCGTCGTCGTCGTCCTTCTCCTCCTCATCTTCGTCCTCATCCTCATCCTCATCCTCAGACGAGTTGTCCTCGTCCTCGGATGAATCCTCATCACCCACACCCACACCTACACCCTCACCCTTGCCCTCGCCCTGCTCCTTGTTGGTGTCGTCATCCTTCTCCTCCTCATCTTCGTCCTTATCCTCATCCTCATCCTCAGACGAGTCGTCCTCATCCTCGGATGAATCCTCATAACCCACACCGACACCCTCACCCTCACCCTCACCCTCACCCTCACTCTCACACTCACTCTCTAAACCACAAAAACGACTACGAAACTTGATGGGGTGATGGTCAAGATACTGACCTAGAAAGGTTTCTTGGATTTTGGAATTACCAACTGCAAAGGCTGTGAAGGTAATGTAATACAGAGTACTATTAAGTTTGGGTGCAAATGCCACATTCTCGATCTCGCTATTAATCACATCGTAGGCGTATTTCTGCAGGTATAGAAACTTAATTATCAAGCCAGAAAAAGAGTAAAATCCCATGGCTTCATTACAATATGTTATTATTATTATTGTAATTATATGAAGCTCACTCAGGAAAGTCCACACAGGGGAGTGTTATTCCCAATCAAATCACCCAGAGTATTACATTTACTGGGAAAACAGAATCAAACAACTGCCCTCAAAAAGCAACTTTACCAGTAGTAATTTCATGATCAAATGCTATTAAAATAGTGGTATCTTACCTGGTCATGATTGATGTTGTAAAAGGCAATGCATTCCTGGATCATCTCATTGACTTTATCCTCTTCTTCTCTGAATTTACGAGGTAAGATGGGTGCTGTGCAGGAATCATCAGGAGCCCAGGTGATGCCAAAACCCTGGAAGAAAAACCTCCATAATTAGCAAAATGACACAAACATAAACGTGATGGAATGAAGAAGAGGCGATCAAAATTAGACTCATCATCAAAATTAAACTAATTAAGCTACCTGGGTATCGTGCATCAACTTATAGTACTCCATCCATTTCTCCTTCTTTTCTGTTTGGGACGTTGGCAACTCCGACGATGTCAGATTGGTTGCATCTCTCACGGCTTGCCACCTAGCGGCTACTGCTGCGTCGTCAGCCTCCTTGTCCGCTAATACCTCGTAATATGCTTCCTCGGCTTCCTTGGCGGCGGCAGCTACCTCGGCGGGTGATTTGGGATCTGGTTTGGGCTTCGGCAATAGATAAAGGGCAACTATCCTGTTGACTCTTTCTTCAAGGGCTGCTTTCCTTTCGGCTTCTGCCCTATACGCGGCTTCCTTGGAGTTTCTTTCTTCTTCGGCGGCTTTAGCCGCTGATTCCTTAGAAGCGACTGCTTGATCGTACTCCGAGGGTGGCAAAGGTCTTGAATAACCTGATAGTATCATCGGTGGAGGACAAACAACAGGATACGATAGATCGGCAGCGCCAGAGTTAACGATATCGATATCTTCGAACTGGAACCCTTTGCCGTCTCTCGATGATCGTGAAGATGTCTGAATTTCAGAAGCCCTAATTGGCTGCGATTGTTCTTCTTCAGAAGATGAAGATGACATCATGGTGTTGATGATGACGATGATAATGTATTAAGAAGAAAGTTTTTTTAAAAATATCAGTTGAGAGAAAAAGGCTTATATATATATTTATTTATTATAGGCTGTATCAAACCTTTCTCAACCCTAAAGCAAGCACCCGGGCATTCTTAGTTTTAGTTCTTCTGTTTCATAACCACGCTTCACTTTTGGAACGAAAGCTACAAGGAATCGAGTGGGAAACGATGTCGCTTTCGGCGAACGAAACAGCGGATTCCAAGGGTCAACAACAAGAAGGAGCTCAGCTTCCATGGCGCATCTCCGATCCTGGCCAGCCCGAGGTTCTTTTTATATTAATTTTGTTTTGTTCGGTGGTTATGGGATCCGTGTTTCATTTTCTTCGGTGATTAGGCATTCTTGTTTTGTGGTGTTATGATTATCTGCCTTTATATGTTGCTTTCGTTGTTTATTCTGGGAGATTGGTGGCTTGGGGGGATTGTTAATTGTGAGATTTCTCAATCTTGATTGTTTAGATTAGTCGAGTTTAAGACCTTTGTCTTGATGGAGCAGAATTTCGGGTTCATTTTTTCCTTTTTTTTTTTTTTCCCAAGATGTAGTAGTGACACATTTGTTTCCCCAATTGCAGTTCGAGGACTCCGTGGTTTTGTTGACGAAAATTGTCCACTCCAAGGTCGATTCCAGTGGTATGATTTTTACCCCTCTCTCCTTATTATCTTGAACACAATTATTGTATCACTGAAACCCATATTTACAGATAGAGAAAGCCTAGATGAAATGGCGCATAAATACGCCGCTCGCTTAGTTGATGAGTTTCTATCAAGGGATGATGATCCAGAGCTGCAGGTTTGATGCTGAATCTGTTGAATTTCTCTTTGTTTACAGTTGTTCTATTTGAATTGTCTGACTTTATTTTTTATGTTTTAACTATAGTTCGAAGCAGCCTGGGGTCTTGCAGTTATTTCATCTGGTAGCTCCAAGTATACTGAAGTGGTGATAGCAAAGCGTGCTGTGCCTATCTTTAAAAAGCTCCTCGACTCTCCTCGTGATGATGTTCGCCAGATGGTCTGTTTTGTCTTAAGGCCTTATTGATATGGGGCTGAAAAGTCTGACTTCTATCTTGTTTAGAGGATTAAAATTAGTTTGACTGAATGATTTGTTAATGCTTAGGCTGTTTTGACGCTGGGAAACTTTGCGCATCAGTCTACTCTTCTCCGTGATATTACTCTTGAAATTGGTGCTTTGGGTCCATTGCTGAGACAATTTAATGAGCTTGCAACCCTTTCAATGCTGAGGGATGCTGCATTTACATTGTTAAACCTGTGTCGGGGCTTACCTAGACCTTCATTCGAGCTGGTTAGCTCCATAAAATTTTTTCCCCCCTTTGTTTTTCTCTCCTTTCAGTGCTAATGAGATTTCATCATTCAGGTGCGCGATGCCCTTCCAGTTCTTCATATACTTGTTTATTTTAGCGACGAGGATGTGCTAACCTATGCTTGCTGTGCTCTGTCATATCTTTCTTACGGTTCAATTGATAAAATTCGAGCTGTAATTGAGGAGGGTGTTTGTTCACAACTTATGGAGTTACTTGCGTAGGTTCCACTTGTTTATCATTCTGCTTTGTTTTTTTTTTTTTTTTTTTCTCCTTCTCAATGGATTTCTGATATAGAAACGAATTGTAATTTTTCAGACATCCATCGCCTTGTGTGTTAATTCCTGTACTAAGCACTCTCAGGAATATTGCAAAAGGAGATGATAGCCAGAGACAGGTTTGTTCAATCGCTTACTTCACTTAGTTTTGCAATGAAATTTGAGCTTTCATATGTGTGGGATAGAATATTTCTTAAATTTTTATTGCTTGCAAACTTGTCAAACAGATCAAACCTTTCTTAGTTTGTTTCAGAAAATATGGTCTTAGAATCTTCTGTTTTCTATGTGCCTACTCAATATTCATTCATCTGATTTTCATTTCTTTTCTACACTCCCATTCCCCACCCCGCCAGTCAGTCAGAATGTAAAGGTGACAAAATTTATGTTGTTAATGGTATTAATGGTAAGTGTTTTGTATTTCAGTGCATAATTGACCACAGGGTGCTTCATCATTTGCGAAGCCTTTTGGACACCAGTGATAATCTAGCCGTCAAGAAAAAAGCTTGCCAGACCATCTCTGCTATTGCTGCTGGAAATGAGAAGCAGACTCAGGTGTAATCTTTTTTTTCCTGCAGTTGCCTACTGTATGTGTTTATGGAAGTTTTTGTTTAAGCTGTTCTCTGATAACTATTCACTGAATTTACAGGTTGTGATTGATGCTAAGTTGATTGAACCATTAACGTCTTTGCTGAAAGATGAGGAGTCCAGTTTAAAGGAAGATGCTGTGCAGGCTGTTCGGGATGTTATCTCCTTTGGAACTCGTAAAGGAATCAAGTATCTTTTTCAACATTTTTCTTTTCTGGATTTTTAAGGTAATTTTTATGACATTAATCTAAAGGTTTATTTTTTTTTTCCTTTGGGTCATGACGGACAGCGTTCTTGGTTTGAAGGACTTTGTAGAGCCACTATGTGATCTTCTAGTGTGCTCGGATCCTAAGATCCTTACTGTTTGTCTAGAGGGGCTTAGTATGCTATGCAAGCCCAAGTCAGGTGGAGCCTTGAACGACTTTGTCATGTGGACTGATCATTGTAAAGGCTTGGATAGGATCAAGGACTTGAAGAGACATGGCAATCCTGATATCCGGGACATTGCGTTGAGTTCATGGGACATGATATATGAAGAGGCACTAAAACTATGGAAATTCTATGATGAGATGGGAGAGTTACAGGTACGAGTTGGATCATAATGCTTAAGCAGTGTCGGAGTTTCCCGGTGTCGTAGTTTGGTCCTAACTCCTGATACTTTTGGTCGTGTTGGATGGTTTTCAAAGATTTGATGACGGCTGTGGAGTTACTAATTAATAGGGCCTTGATTGATACTTGTGTGTATAATGGTTACCCATTCCTCCTCCTATTTTGTGTAGAGCATTCTTGGGCTCATGACTTTCGAGCATTGGAATTGTTGGTAGTAGGAATTTGGCTTTCTGGGATCTTGTAGTTTGCTTCTTGTTGCTTGCAAACGGGGTCTGTTGGAGTCATTTGAACTCAGAGACGTTTCTCAGCCGGCGGGTCAATACAATACATATTTTTTCACGAAATGTTTCGTAGATAGAAATGGAATGTATCTAAAAAAATGCATGAAATTCGTAGCTTTCGTGATCCCTCAATTGACAAGTACATGGCTAAGAAAAATACTTCATGGGATATTAATGCAGTATTGAATTTGGGTTTTAATCATGGGGTTGGGGGATGAATTTTTATGTGTTTTTGTGATGTTAATTTGGGGATTGATCCGCCGAGAGAAGCGGCAGATGAAGACTAGATGTAAAGGTCGACGAACTGTCTCTTAGTTGCCGTTCAGGCAAGAAAACGTTTTCGCCTGATACACTGATAGTAGTAGAGTAAACAAAATGAATCCGGCAGACCGGGAGAATTACCTGACCCCCGGCGGGTCTGAATTTCTGATGTGTTCTCTGCACCGTTGACGGCGGAGAAAAGGCTGAAGAAGAATCAGGCTTCATTAGCTCATCAATAACGCTAAAGTGGAGTAGAAAGCACCAAAAAATGTCTACTGTAAAATTGTTAATACAGCCGTTATTAGGGTTTCTTGGAGATCAATAAAATCCGTTCCGCATATTTACGCCTCTTCGGCACCAGGATATTTGGAAATGGAGCTGTGCAGACATGGCTAAACATCCTCAAGCTTAACGTGCACTATCTGACTCAGCCCACTCCTTGCTGGAATCTTTTAGTCCGGACTCCGGAGATAATCATCATTCTCCCCCCACGGTTTTTTCCTTTATCAGGTCCGCTATGGAGAAATTTTTTTGATTTTTTTTTTTCGAATCTATCTTCTAATTAGTGCACCTCAAACGTTTGTTGTATTGGCTAAACAGTGTATGAAGTGCTTACAGTAAATTTTAACTAGCATTGTGAAGTTGGGGCTGGGGAAAAATCCTGAGCATGTAGTCTGTGTATGAGATGCTCTTTTCACTTTCATCTTTCATGTAATTGTTCTTTTCACTTTTAGTATGTGGTTTCATTTTTCAGTTGATGGAAAATTATGTGCTTGCTAATTGTATGATCATTATGTGCATTCTCAAAGTCGAATTTAATTCTTTTCAGGAGGCAAAGTTTCTGTATATACATTAGTTGGATTGTCCGTAATATATAGTTGGATCAATCAGAGGTCGACCACGCATCGCTTATGTTACAGACAGATGGTAAGAATTACTCTCTCCGATCCTTATTATAAGGCATTTTGATTTTGTCTTAGGTTTCACTTAAGATGCGTTTTTAATTGAAAAAAAATTAAAAATATATTTTCACATTCGTCGTATTCTCTTAATTATTAAGAAATATTTTTAAGGTTTTTATTTCAATTAAAAAAATATTTTAAGTGAATTTATGACAAATCTTGGATAAATCAAATCAAAATGTCGTATAATAATAATGTGTAACTAGTTTTATGCATGACACATTGCAACAACCCACAAATCGCAAACATTTCCAAAGCTTCATTTGCTCACTTGGTGGGCCTTGTTTTTTCTGCTGACTTTGTTGCTTTAGGCGTTTGTCCCATCTCCGGGTTCCAACTGGAAAAAGAGAAAAGAAGGAGACAATATATCGAAGCTGAATAATCAGCTAATATATTATTACATTCGAGCAGCATCAAAATATTTTGATACAAAGGAGACTAAGGATGGGACTAATAACAATCACTAGCACATTTGTAGCATTACAAACAAGAATGCATTCACTGCCCTTGCCGAAATGTTCCAAAAAAGAATAAATAAATAAATAGAATACAGCAAAAAGAATCACCACATAAAAGCTTATAAATTCCTGAAAAGTGTGTGAAATCCTCAAGGTAAAAGTTAAAAAAAAATTCTGTACAGGCTACAATCAAAATAAAGGCCATTGAAAACACCAGACAAGCAAGTACTCAAGCATTGCATGATTCAACCGTCATACTTGTTGATCATTTTAGCTAAGCAAGAAAAAACAGGAAGAACAAATTGAAGAAAAAAGGGGAAATCAGATTTGGAGCTAGCTATGGTTTCTACATTATACATAAAATAGCAGCTGCTTCTACATCGGCTTGAAGCTTCTACATCATCAAAGCCTTCCCGCCAAGACTGATGATGGTGTAAGGCGGTGCACGTGAAGGTCCAGATCACCTCTATACCGGCCAGTACAAGTATGCTCCAATCCATCAACAGGTTCGAGTCCAGGCAACGTCGACGTTTCAACTGCTCATGCATGCAAACAGAAGACTAAGGCGGTTCTTGATCCTTGTTCAAGTACCCTCCCCTCCCATATACTTATACTTCGAAACTACCAAGTCACAATAAGACCATCCAACCAACACTTATGAATTAATATCAAAGAACAACGAAGACCAATTGAAGGCATTTGCATTGGAGAGATACCTATCTCTCCAGATAGATTCAAACGCATTCCATAGCGAATCCAACAAATTCTTCAAATGACCGGGGTTTTTTTGCGCGTTTAGCCTTATATAGGCTGACGTGTTGTTTAACTTCGAATTCCATCCGGGCTGAAGGAGAAACAAAAAACTAAAACGTCATCCAACATCAATGGTAATCCCAGATCTGGTGAAACGCAACAACTAGAACAAAATTAAGAAGTATACCTTTCTCTGTGTCTATCCTTAAGTTTCTTTCAGCCTGATACGCCGCCTTTATAGCATCCAATGACACCGTTAGTTCAGCCGGATCCCCTGCAGCTTTTGCTTTTTCGACGAGCTCTTCAACTTTAACCGAATCCATTGCTGCTTTAGCTTTTACAATGAGATCTCTAACGTTAACCGAATCACTCGCCATGCATGGCTGAAGGGAACCAAAACTATTCCAAACAAAAAGAAAATTACAACTTATTAATTTTGAAATAAAAAGGGAGATTTAGGAATAATTGAATTTTGAAAGAACAAGTTGAGAAAAAGTTTAGAGCGAGAAAAGAGATCAACGGCGGAAGCGAAGCGAACTGGTGTGACGCGAGGGTAGATTTTTTAGGAGTCCTAAATAATACGCCCACCACCAGGCCGCCCCAAGTTCGGTAAGCCGTTTAACCGACCACTTAAAACTTTTGCTAATTACTTTACTACCAAGAAAGACATATAACTTTATATCAACTCTTCACATCAAAGTAGGCTCTACACACTACAATCAATACTCTTATTACAATTACTCTTATTAGAGAGTTACCTTGCCTTGCAGGTTTTAGGATTTCAACGTCCCAACGCCAACCGTGATCACCGGAGAAACCAACCGGAGATGTTTGTACAATTTTTGCCTTCGTCAATTTATATATACCGTGTTCTTTCTTTTTTTTTTCTGGAAAGGTATATAACTATATATTTACTCTTAAGTTACAAGAAGAGTTTGAAATAGGGTTTAGGATATAAAACTGTCATTCCTGTTTCTTCAAAATTGAATTATTCTCAAATCTCCCCTTCTTTTTTTTTTTTTTCAAAATTAATCTGTAATTTTGTTTTTGTTGTTTGGAAGAATTTTGGTTCCCTTCAGCCATGGCGACGGTTAACGTTGAAGATCTGTTAAAAAAGCTACGGCTTTGTTTGTTTCATTTTTTTATGGTATTTTTAAATTAATATATTAATAACCGTCAATATATTTTTAAATTAAGAATCACAATATATTTTTTTTATATTTTCAATACAATTTTTTTACGTTCCTAATATAAAAAACACCTAAAAACACACTTTAAAAAAACGAAACAAACATAGCCTAAAGCTGTCGCGGGTCCGGTTGAACTAACGACGTCGTTGGATGCCATATGGGCGGGCTGAAAAAGACTCTCAAGGATAAAGGCTGAGGAAGGTATTTTAATTTTTGATCGGAGCTTATCTAATTTATTATTTTCACCAGATCTGGATTAGTGTTGTTGGATGACGTTTAGTTTTTAGATTTTGTCCCTCAGCCTTTGCGAAAGGATTTTCTGACGACAGCTTGCAAAAACTCATTGATCATGCTATAAATGTCCGTGGCGATTTGAAATTGTTAAACATTTTATTGGGTGGTATAGGGAGGGCATATTACTCTGCAAGACAATCGAGGGTCAAGGAGGAGGAAGGTATTTTTCGAGCGGCGCGGATTTGATTGAAGCGTTAATTCTCTTTTATTATTTCAAAATTGAATTCCTGGGGTTTATATTCCTGTGTATTGGTAAAACTTTACAACTGATAAGAATCGGGCTTGGTCCATATCTAGTACTTGTTGCCTTGTTTTATTTCTTTACTTCTCCAGATAGTTCCTTTTTTTTTTTTTTGTAAGAACTTGGATAGTATGGATATTTTCTTAAAGTCAATTTATTTTGCGGACTGCATTGCTTTCTGTCTTCGTTTACCACAATCATTTCAGGTTTAATTTTTAATTTTTAGGCATTCCACCGGATTTTGAAAATGATTCGTTAACGTGTCATCCTTTAAAGTATTGCTTTCTGCTTTCTCCCATGTAAATGTCTTCATTTGGGCAATATGGGTACTAGCCTGCTTTAGTTCCAGTTTATTTCAGACCATGGGTGACAAATCTGGTTGATCTTTGATTCTTCATTCATAAGGCCTTTTGTGACTTGTAGTTGAGGTCTGGGAGAGTATTTTGCAAATGGCCTTTAGTTTGCTGTAGCCTGTAGAGCAATTTTATTTGTTTCGTTTTTTTAGTGTGTATTTTTAGGTGTTTTTTGTATTAGGAATGTAAAAAGGTGTATTAGAAATATAAAAAGATATGTTAAGATAGACAGTTATTATTTAAATATTTTAAAAATACCATAAAAAAAAACCTAACAAACAAAGCCTCTTAAATTTTACCTTTAAGGATTCACACTCTATTCAGGCAGTCTTATTGACGTTTATGTGCCCATTTGTAAGCTTTATGTGGTGTGATTCTTTTTTATTTCGGAGGGGGAAGCGAATGACAGTGAAATCATTCTTCTGGTTACTTATGGTTTGTATGTATGTATTATTACTTTTACTTATGGTTATGTGGTTTCAAATGAGCATCTAAAATTGATATTGTATCAAATTGTTATTTGTTATTCATTCTTTTTGTAACATCTGGAAATAAATTACCCATTAACTTATGAAATTTATTTCTTTATATTTTTAGAATCAATATAATTTTTTTTGGGCACTTAACAAGATTGTCTATTTTAGGAAGAACTCGAGAACCATATAAAATTGTAAAGACATTAGAAAATGATAAAAATAACTTTGCGACCATAAGTTATGTTTATGTGAAAAAAAAAAACAAAAAAATACTAGGAAGAGGTAACAAGTGGAAAAACATACGGACTCTTATATGATAACTAAATCGGATACACTCATACACATGCCACTTGCATATCTTTTTACACTCTTCCGATAATCCTTTAAAGTTAGTTTCATTATCCAGATCTACAAGCAATATCAAAGCCATCAATAAATTTTTTGATAAGATTTTTGTTACCTGAACGCTCGCCATAAAACAAGGCATGCATGGCTGGGTTATAAAGAGATTTTTTTCCCTGGTTTGGTTATAATTTTTCAATTCGGGGAAGGGTATCTTATTATTATACTGATTATAAATAATTAAACTCAACTAAATTTTGTTGGCTCAAATTTAACAAGCGATCGACCCTCATTTTACTACAAAACACATTTTACACTACGTTACATATTTCCCGTACAACGCACAGGTAAGCACTAGTGATTTAGATTAGGGGCAGCATATTACTTTCTAAAATTCACAAAAGTAAAATAGCTTTTCTTTGACATAATTCTCCTTGGTTTTTATCTCTTTCACCCCGGCAAGAAAGACTCTCCCTCATTGGCGGTCTCAATCCTTTTTACCTATTTTCCGCTTATTTGTTAGGTTCTTTTATTTTTTATTGTAACCCAATCTAATGGCAACTTAAGAACCCAGGCAGTATTTCTTTTCTTACTTTAGCCTGGTTAATTTTGAAATTGATTAATCGTTGAAGCTTATTATTAATGTGCAATTTTTTATGTACAACACATAAATATAGATTGCTTGTTTGGATAATTAATTTGCATTGTTCTTCAAACAAATAAGAAATCTACAACTAACTCAATTTGAGTAAATCCATCAACCTCTTTAAAACACATATAGTTTTTTTTTTTTTTAATCAATGACAATCACATCAACAGTTGATTCACTCTATACTCTACTTAGTCTACTAACCCCTCGAGCTTGAGCAGCAATAAGCACAAATGGATTGATGGATATGGAGGAGAAGAAGATGAGCGCAAGCAATTAGGTTGGGAAAAAAAATATTGAAGTGGGAGAAGGATTTTCTTTCCCAATTGAAATACTCTTACAAGATGTAAGGGCAATCATGTAAGATGCAATTTACTGAATTCTAAGATGTAATTTATTGTCCCTAATTTTAATGATTAAAAAAGTTGTACCCCTTTAATATAATTTCATCCCCTATCCTTAATACAAATTTTCTCAACAAATTGAGTATGATCACTGTAGCAATAATGAGGATCTTGGAGTGCAGGTACGAAACCAATTCCAGAGTTTTGCAGGTGCTCTATAAGAATTTGTTCCAAGGGTGAAACTTTATAGTGGCAGCTGTATAGAGTAAATAATGTTTCAAAATATTATGATACACAACTTTTCTATATATATATATATATATAGATATATATATATATATATATATATATTGTAGCATTATTTTAAGTTTATCTTATTGTGTCTACCAGCTTAACAATCACTCATTTATGTCATGAAAATTTTAAAAACAAGTAAATTATAAAGGTATTCAACTTGTAAGATGACTAATATGGACATTACAAACATCAAACTTCATCACATATTCCTTTTTTCCCCTCTTGTTTAGACATGTTTGTTTCTAGATTGAATTGAGACAATGTTTTGTTAATTCATAAAGAAAAACGAGATGCAAAATGCATGAATCCTAGCTTTTATATATTTTTGCTACTTTTATTAAACAAAAGAAATTTTTTAATGCTTCTTAAGGTGTAAGCTTTGTAAAATTAAAAATAATGAAACAAAATAAAAGTGAAGAATTTGAGCATAGATGTAACTATTTAATTTAAATTAATGAGAGTGCAGTACACTATGCCACTATTTGTTTGGAGGAAAGCTTCAGTTTTTTCATTTTTTTTAATAATTTGTGTTTTTGTTTGTGGCAAGAAGAAAGAACAAATAATGGGTCGATTGGTTTTAAAACACAGTAATGGGCCGACTTACTTGGCTATTTTAAATGAAGAAATTAACATTGGGTTTATTGTTCTTCTTCCCCGTAAAAAAACTACCCTACAACTATTGAAAAACACAGCTCTGGAACTCTCAACTCTCTAACTCCCAATCACTAATTGATATGATTTTGAAGACATTCAAGTGTTTGAAAATGGTTTTTCAGTTGAATCTTTCTTTTCCTTTCTCCTTTAGTGCATGGATCGGGGGTTCTTCGCAAAAAATTATGAGTGGACAAAGGTTGGTCGGAAAAAATTTTCCGGCCAACCGGGGGTGCTTCAGCCAATGCGAGCCCCATAGGTCCGTCCTTGTTAGAGTGGAGTCAGAAAACATGCCACCTAATTTACTTAGAGGCTAATAATGTCCTTCCTTCTAATGTACGCGTCGAGTCCCCACAAATTAGAACTCACGCGATGATGATAATTAGTATTTTTCACGTACTAAAGTATGGGGATTACAAAATTCATGGTCCAAGAAATAGGGACAGAAGGGAAATATAAAGGTCGATTTAAAACTTCTCCTATAAAAGCCTATGTTGTTTGTTGAGAAACTCTCGGACATTCACCAAGTGCAAACTTAGA